CTCTCAAATGCAACTGTCAGAAGTAGCAGAACACGCGTGCCAACAAGGGCACTCAATTGATTTTGATAATGTTGACGTTTTGTGCAAAACTAGCGACTACTGGCCAACACGAATTAGAGAATCTATCGAAATTGAACGAAATCAAAATAACTTTAACCGTTCGGATAGCTACCGCCTTAGTGCTGCGTGGAAGCGAATCATTAAAAAATACATTATTTAAATGCATGCCTACAAAGGGCAGCGTACTTCAATAGGGGTTACCGTCGGTAGGCTCTTTTAATCAACACAATGGACAGGAAGGACAAGTTCAAAAGGCTCGCATAATGCACATGCATCATGTACGTCGCCTCAGCGATCCCTCCCCCCCATCATTGTGCAAGAGCGCAGAAGGGTGGTCAACACATCTACGCCTCTATTCAAGGAACGAAACAGTAAGAGACTTCTCCACAAATCTGGCTGTCGCCTGATGAAGCTAGTTGTAATTACTGGCGAAACGTCGTACTCAGATTGTAAATGTTGTGGCTTGGCTCTCCAACACACCGGTGTTGCTGTACTAGTGACGGATTGGGCACGTTCTGACAACCCGTACTAGTTGGCTGTGTCGGGTGGTGGCGGGTTTAACGACACATTTATATATTTACGCGATCTAACCCAAAAACCTCTATTATGGATGTTATTGGTCGCGAAAGCCTACGCGTTAAACCACCCCTCGTGTGCCATACTGGCCTTCATAGGTGCTCGCTAACTGCACTTGCCCCAACAGTCTGTGAAGGCTATACGGGGGATATTTGTCTTTATTTTGTGTTTTTGTAGCCATTGGCTGAGACAGGCTGAAACCATCAACTCGCTACCGTTGAGAGATCCGGTTTAACCAATCACGGCTGGCCAATTGTACTCGGATTTGAATCCCAGGATCTCAGTGGTGGCGGCTCTGTGACCCACGTGTGTTCTGTTGAGTACAACAATGGGGAGACTTCACCGCGTTCCAGACGGGTTGAATGAAAGTTCACTCAGTTGGACACGTGGAGAGAAGTGGGGAACACCACATGGGAAGGCACGTGATGGGCGTGGAAGCACGAGAATGGAGACCGATAGGCAAAACAAGCATACTCTTACCTCTTCTTGGTTCTTTCGGTAAAGTCACGTAGAAGGGAAATAATAAAATAATAAAAATAAAACATAATAAAATACAATTCTCACGACGTTTCGGCCACAACGCAAGCAGCCGTCCTCAGGTGAATTCAGACGCTGTCTTACCGACAGACCTGTTCTTCACCTGAAGACGGCTGCTTGCGTTGTGACCGAAGCGTCGTGAGAATTGTATTTTATTATGTTTTATTTTAATTATTTTATTATTTCCCTTCTACGTGACTTTACCGAAAGAACCAAGAAGATGAATCCGTGCAGTCACGAAAGCTTTAAATCGATACTCTTACCTCTCTGGCCTATGCGTTGTGAAGAAGGGTCATTGCCAGAAACGTCACCTATTATATATTTAGTTATTTTTAAAGCTACAGTGTTATTGACGAATGCGTTCCGTGTTTGTTGTCAATTGGCGCTTGTGCGCCACTGCAAACGCAGCAGCAAAACAGCATCACCAAATGATTTGTTAAATTCGAAAGCCGCGGTTCGAAGTGGTGAACCAGGATGTGAAGAACCGTGGGGTAGATGTGTGGGTAGATGACCTCCACAGCAGTGGGACCCATGCCAGGAGGAAGAAGAAAAAGAAAAACACCCTGTCTCGTGAAAAAAAAGTGGAAAATTTTAGTTCCATGGAATTGTTAAATTATTATCGTTTATTCATCCATTAATCAAATTACACTATTTACACATCGCTTACATCAAAATGGATTTCGCGAACACTGCGTCATTGGCGTGAGCTGTCACCCCTTGTCAGCGTGTGTTTACACGTGGGTAGGCAATAAATCTGTGGCTACGCTCTTGATACAGAGCTTTGTTCCGTGTGGTTTTGTTGTTGTTGTTGTTGCTGCTACTCGCAGCCTGGCTAAAGTGGGATAAAAGTTCCCCAGCTGCGATATTTACTCAGAGAACTCCCGGCATAATCCCCTAGCCGCTCGCGCTACAATTAAGCCGCACGCAACACCCTCGGACGGAACTCAAAGCACCTTTCAATGACGTCGTCATTAGCCTTGGTCTATCCACTGCTGGCTGAAATGTCCTCGCCAAGCCGTCGCCGCCTCTCACGGCCTCGCGATGCAACCAACTCAGCGAGTTCCTGCACACGAGCTGATTTCATCACTCCATCTCCGTGCCGGATCTCCTGCCCTGGCGTGTTTTTTCCCAGTTTGGCTGTCACTCCATGATTAGCCTCGGCCATCGCCTCTTCGAGTGACCGTGACCTGCCCGAGCCCACATACGTTTCATGGATAATGTTGTTCACTTTGCCAATAGAAATGACCTCTTCGTATAAAAATGGGGTTAAGTTACGTGCAAAAGTCACGCAATTACTCACCGCGGATCTCTATGAAATTCACATGCTTGGGGATTTTTTTTACTTCAGACATTCGTGACTACAGGAATTCATATGATTGGCTCTTTCGGTAAAGTCACGTAAAATAGAAAATACAAATAAAAACATAACATTTTAAATAAATAAAAAACCCACGACGTTTCGATCGCAACACAAGCAGTCTTCATCAGGCGGAGAGATGAAGACCGTTTGTGTTGCGATCGAAACGTCGTGGGTTTATTTAATTTAATTTTTAATTTAATTTTATTATTTCTATTTTCTATCTACGTGACTTTACCGAAAGAACCAAGAATATGCTTGGGGATGTTGAAGATAACAGCCACAGCGTATTGTATACCTCGCCACATTCCCCATTATCAATTTCAAACATCATGAAATGCAGACACATGTGGAACTCAGCACAGGCTATATCTGTGCTCTAAACGTCGCACTGATACATCCGTTGTATTCGCTGCAGGGCAGGTCGGGAGGTATCAGCCAGTCAGTCAATTTCTCTCTGCTGCTCTCGAGTCCTGACGCTGGCTATAGATCCTGGCTTTGTCTTCGGCCCAGCGATGAGGATTGGAAGGCAGACAGCACCTGGTGGCATGGTCATTCTTGATTTTGGCCTCTGCTGAGTGAGCTATGCTGTGCGTCCTATTGATTTGGCGTTCATTTCTCGCACGCACGATCATTATAACTTTGGCTACTCTGTGGAGGTCATTGCGCATGAGACTGTTTTGTGTGCTTGCATTTAATAAAAAACAATAGTGCGTCTGTGTTTAGATTTTTTGTAAAATACCCATCTCAAGAGTACTATCTATGACAACACTACGCTTTTTCAGCTTTTGTTGGTTATCGCTCCTTAACAATGACATTGGTTGCTCGACAGCTCTTCAAATTTTGCTTTGAGACATTTTTTTGTGTTTTGTGTATGTTGAAATTATTTCGTACCGTATGTAGCTAACCGTGCTAAATCGGAGGTGTGGAGGAAGGACAAGAAATGAAACACGAAAACCAGTTCTCGAGAAATTAGTTTACAAAAAAATCTTATTTAAAAGTGCATAGCTCCAGTGGCTTGCTATTTTCGGACGGAAGAACATTCCAGACGGCTGCAGAAGCGCATCTGAAAGCAAGTGATGCAGTGACCGTCTTTGTTCGATGGCCAGCCAATAGCCGCTGCGAGGATGACCAGTGTTTGCGTGATGGCTTATGCTCCTTGACAAGATCATCTTTATTCGGGCTCGGTTTAAATCAGCGGTTGATGATGAGAAAATCATAAATTGTCATAAAGTTTTGGGTTTGGGAACAGTTTTTTCGTTATTTCCAGAGCTTCATTTCTCACCGATTATAATTGGGCCACTGGTTGACTGGAGTAAGTGGCACGTGACCAGTAGCCACAGCCATCAGCGAAAGGAATACTTGATGTGGTGAAGCCGGGTGTGGAAATCATTTGCGGGTCACTGGATCAGAGACGCACCGGCTGAAATGAATCCCTGATTATTTCCTCTCGACGTACAATCATCAAGACGTTAATTTTAAACAAAAATCAAATATTAAATGATCGGTGGGGCTCCGCAAGTTGTACGAATGAGATGCCCGCTTGGTGAACTTGGCTCTTTATCGCAACAAAAAAAAAACCCACCCGCTGAATGACACCCTTTTCTTCGTAGGCGGAGACGCGAGGTAACTTTTGTTCCGGGGCTTTGTTCGCTCGGTCCGGTTTGTCCAGACGTCCGTGTCGGCGTTCGCTCTCGAGCACGTGAACTCCGATCGCTGTGAAGCTTTAGCCCGCGCGCGCGCGCTCCGATTTAATAAACAATAAAAAAAAACCCCCAACGTCTCGGCACGTAACCGTGTTGGTTTAGTGCTCGTAAAAAAAAAGAAAACCCTCCGTTATTGTTCTGTGTGGGATTTCACCACCGCCATCGCCACCACCACCGCCACCACCACCACCACCGCCACCACGATCATCATCACCGTCATCATCACCACCGCCTCCGTGAGATGAAGTGGCTTTTAGCGCCAATCCCAAAGGGCCTTGGACAAACCAGCGTTGGCGAGCCGTCTGCAACCTCAACCATTGGCTTCACACTCACGGATTCATGTCTTGACGACGACGATGATGATGACACGAATGCAGCACGTGGTTATCATCGTCTGGGCGATGTTCCCCTGTCGTCCATCGATGAGAAAGTTTGCCAAATTAATTAAATGACAGGGAACCTTCGTCGCAACGCTGGGAAATGGGCACCGTGTTTTGCGGATGCCGCTCCTCGAATTCATTAACATTTGTTTTGTATTATATTAGCGTCGATGATATTCATATTGTGCCATCGGAGTTGTGTCGCGAGCAGAAGGACTGTTGTTTGTTTGGCAGAGCCCCGCGTCTTGCCGTGTGTCAGGGAATGGCCCTCTCGGTGGCTCTGCTAAAGAGTGGTTCCCCATGTCCCAGTCATCTGAAATATATTTTATTTTCGTTTTAAAATTTCTGGCTCGCACAAGCTTTTAAAGTGGACAAAAAGAAACATTTCGTGTTTCGCAGTCAACCTGTTAAACGTTTAAACTGTTTCTAGTATTGCTGCCTGGATTTGAAGCCAGGATTCCAACAGTACGGGCGGAGTGCTCTGACATGACCATTACGAACCAATCTAGATTTAAAGTTTTCGTGACTGCAGGGATCCATACTCTTTGGTTCTTTCGGTAAAGTCACATGGGTAGAAAATAAAATTAAATCACGACGTTTCGGGAGCAACACAAGCTGTGGTTGTCCCACCTGATGACGGACGCTTGGGTTGTGCCCGAAACGTCGTGATTTAATTTAATTTTATACCTACGTGACTTTACCGAGAGAACCAAAGAGCATTATGAACCACCCAAGAGAAAATGACACCAAACCTCAGACTTAAACCCGCAATCTCACCAATACTGGCTTAGCTCTTGGAACATGGCCACTATGAATCACCCAAGAGAGAGAGACTCATACACACCTCGGCATGAATCCAACATCTCAGAGCAGTACCAGCTCAGTGTTCTGACACAGCCACCCGTGCCACCATGCCCACACAGGATGTAACGTCTAATTATCTCCCACAGATCGGCCTCGGCGGGCAAAAAGAGGATGTCGCCCGTCGACGCTGATGGTGCCAAAGTCATCTAAACGACTGTCGGCGCAAGCCTCCGTGAGTCTTCCCGAGTGTCTGCGAGTCTTCCCTGCGGGTCTCTGCGAGTCTCCGCGAGTCTCCGCGAGTCTGTTCGAGTCTTCCTCGTGTCTCCTTGAGTCTACCGGAGTCTCTGCTCGAGTCTTCCCCGCGGGTCTCCTTGAGTCTACCGGAGTCTCTGCGCGAGTCTTTCCCGAGTCTCCGTGAGTCTTCCCCCGAGTCTCCGCGAGTCCTTCCCCGTGTCTCCTTGAGTCTACCGGAGTCTCTGCGTGAGTCTTCACCCCGAGTCTACGCGAGTCAGATGAGCCGCGACCTGCCGAGGTAGCGCGCGAGAACGCGGTACACGAACTTGTAGTGCTCGAGCGTGGGCACCAGGTGAGGCCGCTGCTGCCTCAGGGCGCCGAGCACCTGCGGGACGTCGGCGTTCTGGGCACGGGGGCGAGCGGACGGAGGAGCACAAGAAAACAACAACAAATGAACGAGAATCAACGGCGAGGAGTTTGTGTGCATGTGGACACGCGCTGCCATTTTGTCGGTCCGCCGCTGGACTTAGGCCTCGCCATGCACCGCGTCAGTCACGTGGGTTGCTCGTCATACTTACTTCACCACATATCCCAGTGTGGGTTGGTGAAGAGGGCAGCCCAGTTCCGGTTCGGAAAACACTCACCATTTATCGAAGATTTCATTAATACACCGACGGTGATGGTGATAATGCTGCTGCACCATTTTTGGACTCCACTTAGACCGGTGGGGGCTGCACGCACTCTGACTGCCGGAGAAAGCACTGATGATGAAGCCACCGTCAGCGCATTCCAGTCTATGGGCATAAGTGTGTGTCTATGGGCCTCTGTGAGTCTATGGGGTTCTATGTGAGTCTGTGGGCCTCTGTGAGTCCATGGGCATCAGTGTGTGTCTATGGGCCTCTGTGAGTCTATGGGGTTCTCTGTGAGTCTATGGGCCTCTGTGAGTCCATGGGCATCAGTGTGTGTCTATAGGCCTCTGTGAGTCTATGGGCTTCTATGTGAGTCTGTGGGCCTCACTGTGAGTCTATGGGCCTCACTGTGAGTCTATGGGCCTCTGTGAGTCCATGGGCATCAGTGTGTGTCTATAGGCCTCTTTGAGTCTATGGGCTTCTATGTGAGTCTGTGGGCCTCACTGTGAGTCTATGGGCCGCACTGTGAGTCTATGGGCCTCTGTGAGTCTATGGGCTTCTCTGTGGGTCTGTGGTTCTCTGTGCGAGTGTATAGGCCTAAATGTGAGTCTGTGGGTCTCTGTGTGAGTCGATGGGTCTCTGTGTGAGTCTGTGGGTCTCTATACGAGTCTATGGGCCTCTATGTGAGAAAGCGCTGATGACGAAGCCACTGGCAACGCATTCCAGCTTCTCAACAAATCCACCTGCACCTTCAACCGGAAAAACCTCGAGTGGAGTTTTGTAGCCTCCGCAACCTGGAGCCACCGTGAGCCACAGCTGCTTATCATCGCACATCTAAACATGACAAACGATGAGCGAACTTACCTGTCGTGCGAAGATTAATCGTGCAAAGCCTCTTGTGATGTATGCCCCTTTTGTAATTATTTTTGTTGATAGTGGTGGTTGCCTCTACCTGCCACTCTTAAAAAAAGATTTGAAATATATATTTTGTGGAATTTCACAACTGTTTAGTTTTTGGTTATTTATTTGCGTTGCCTGCCTATTTCGAACGAGAAGAGTGCGTTTGGATTTCCTCATTCGTAAAGGTGGGGGGGAAGAAAAAAACCCAGCCCGTGTGTGTACCGATTACGCAAAACTCGGAGACGTTTCCCTTTTAGCCAGGATGGATCGCCTCCGAGTGCTGTTAGCGAGCACCCCTTTGTCCGTGTCGGTGCTCTGTAAAAAATAATATATTACATCCTGGAAACTTTACCTGCCCAGGGATTGTTTTCACAGATGCGGCTAACAATTAAGATTAAAAAAAGAAAAAATGTTTCGTCTGTTTCCCAAACGTATTGAAAATTGTGCCAACAGAGCCACGTTATGAGATAAAGTGTCCACTCGCATTTCACGCGAGAATGGGCCGTGGAAGGGAATGTCATATAACTACTTCTGAGATTCCTTCGAGTGAACTCTTTAGCCACACAACGCACATTCCCACGTGCCCTGCTCCAGAGAAAAATGTTTGCCACATGGCAGTTAAAGAATATCTATTTTAATCCTCGATTTTTGTTGCAATTTTTTTTATTGTGCAATCAATGGTAAACAGGTTCAGACAATCCGCTCGCTACCCTCATCGGTGGCTGAAACCCAGATTCACACCCAGGATAGTCAGCGGCGCAGGCTCAGTGCCCCGACTCGTGAGCCACTGGGCCACCTCGCTCGTGCTCTCTGTCAGTCCGAGTGGCCGGGGGAACGCTCGTGGGAGAACGTCCAACGTGGGGAGGAGAGCGATGGAGTCAGCACGCGCGCAAGAGATACACTGCATCGCGGGGCCGTGAGAGATGGTGACGGCACAGGGAGTCCCTCAACTAGCAGTGGATAAATCAAGGTAATAATGATGATTCTGATGCTGCTGATGATGATACTGCTGATGCTGCTGATGTTGCTGCTGATGCTGATGATTATGCTGCTGATGCTAATGATGCTGCTGCTGATGCTGCTGCTGATGATGCTGCTGCTGATGTTGCTGCTGCTGATACTGATGCTGCTGCTGCGGTGGATGATGATGACGATGATGCTGCTGATGATACTGCTGATGCTGCTGCTGATGATGCTGCTGCTGATGTTGCTGCTGCTGATACTGATGTTGCTGCGGCGGATGATGATGACGACGATGACGGTGATGATGCTGTTGTTGATGATGGACTGACCACGTTCTGCTCCAGGCAGGCGACCATGAGCTCCGAGAGGATGAGGACCCCTGTAGGACCGTCGTCGCTGCCGGCGCAGTGCACCAGCGTGGGCGGAAGGGGCGTCCTCGGAGGCAGCATGCTGCCCGTCAGCCTGCGCACCGACTGTAGCTCCTGCAGGAACTCTGCACGTGGCGGGGTGGTGGGAGGGGAGGGGACGATTAATAACGCAACTGAAAATGTTGAGCCGATGAGATTGTTGTGCTGGGAAAATGCACGGAGGGTTTATCGGACGGCGCGAGATCGAGCGGTGAAATGAACTCGCGTGCGGGCGCCAGGTGGATCGTTATCGTCGCGGAGATCGTGAAGAGGTTAGAATAGTTATTTATACTGGAGGAATCCGATGAGCTATGAAGCTCTTTTTCACAGCTGTCTAGTAGGGGTGGGTCAGGACGTTACAACAAGAAACAATACAAAAACTCGACAGGAGTGAAAATTATAGGAAGTGTAAACATATTTTAAAAAAATACTAAATAAAACTGAACTCTTTTTTGTTATTTTACCAGGTAAAGCCCACTGAGCTATTAGCTTCTTTTTTCATAAGCGACCTGGCCACGAATGATAGCTCCACGTGGATGGCCATGTGTGGACAGCTTGAGGGGGGCTCCATCCTCTTTGGTTTTTTTGGTAAAGTCACGTAGGTAAAGAAGAAAATAAAATAAATGAATACAACTATCGTCAGCAGCTTGGCGGGCATGCACACTCGCTCTGCTCGCCGTCTTCGTGACATTTAGATTGACGGGATTTTCGTCCACAACGCACGGTTTGGTAGCTGGATTTATCGAGAATATCCGTTCATCCAGAATAATTGTTCCCCTAGGAATGATTATTATTCATACCCGCCCCAAGAACTGATATTTGGGAATATCGGTTCCCTCCCGGAATATTTGTCTCCTCTAATTTTTTTCTTTGGAGGGAGGGGGTGGGGAGTTTGTAACAAAGTGACCTTCGTTTAAGATTGAAAGTGGCCACTCACGTCTGAAAATGGTTCGACAAAATCCGCCCGCGCCTTTGACGAGGAGGCGATGATTTTGGCCAATCCCAGCCGCTCGCGATTGCCCAAGAGGAGCAATTGCGTCTGGCCCATTCACCGCTCTCTTGACGTCACTAAAGTCTACACGAGGAGCTCTGTGTTGGACAGGGGGGTGGGGGGCCCTCCACGGCAATTTTTCTCAAATTAATGCTGTTGACAACTCTGCTCCGGCACGTAAATAAATAAATAATATTTGCCAAACATATCGCCGCCACCGACGCCGCAGCTGTCGACCGGCCAAAGTCACACAACGACGGCATCATCAATCTTCGTTTATCGCCCAATTCATCGGCGCTGCGAAAATAAACGCTCAGCCGCGCCGGTCACGTCATCGCTATCAGTCGCCCCGTCGCCTCGTGCCGTGGCGAAGAACCACCCTCACCCCCGGTGCTCTTCCCGATTCTTCTCCGAGTCCTCCCCGAGTCTCGCTCGCTTGTTAACATCACCTGCCACCACCACCAAGCCCCCCCCCCCAACCACCGCCTCCTCGGTCTTGCTCGGGAACTCCAACTTGGTGACCACGTGGGGGGCTCCCGTTGAGGCTGCGTTTGCAACGCAGAGCAATTTCACTTCGGGATTCCGCGCACTGCTGGCTGCCGGCTGCACAAAAACGTCTCTCCTCGAGAAGCAGCTGCCGCAGGACGAGCGGCGAGCCCAGTGGTCAGCGCCCCTGCGGTGTATGAACGCGGCAATCCCAGCCAGATCCCGGCCACGGTTTAACGTCAGTGGCGAGTGCTATCTCAACCTGTCCTGCGTGCCCTCATCAATTTGTTAACCCACGTTGACCGGCGTGGTGAAGTATGGTTTAACAACCCCGACACCCAACAAGGAGTAGGGAGATCTTCATCCAGATTGACGAATAACTGTAAATGTTTGCTAGACTAGAAGCACACACCCTGGGAACAAGCGCACGTGCGCTTATATCTGAAGTGTGCTTACATCAGAAGCTTCCCTGCGCATCCTCCCACCACCAGTGCCATGTAAGCGTGTGTTGCTTATACGAGAGCTGTGCTTATATCAGGCGTGCTTACATCCAGACTGTGCATCGCCCCCTACCAGAGGTCGCAACCGGGTACCCTATATCCATACCCTACCCGATACCCGGCTACCCGTACCCGGCCGGGTACGGGTACGGGTAGCCGTTTGCGACCCTGGTGCGGCCGAGTACGGGTAGGCCGTGAGTCACTGGTGAGTAACCGTTTGTCACTCATTTCGGGTAGGGTACGGGTAGGGAACGGGTAGCCGTACCGGCCGGGTACGGGTAAGGAATCAAAACCAGTTTGCGACCTCTGCCCCCTACTCGAAGCGCCCGCAAGGTGGGACATCACCGTCACCACCGGCCATGATTAATCCACTGCTGGACGAAGACCTTTCCCCAAAGCCATCGCGGCAGACGCCACTCACCCAGAAACCTCTCCACTCCATTGTCGTCGTCGTCGCCGCCGCCGTCGTCATCGTCGTCATCGTTGCCGCGGCTCCACTCGGGGTGGTGGAGGTGCCACAGGTTGCGCTCTTTCCCCGAGGGCGCGTGCGCCACGCGCAGCCCCGTGGTGGCGCAGCCGCCCGCCGACGTGGTGCCGCGGAAGGTGGCGTGGACCGCCAGGTCCCCGTACACGGACGGGCGCTGTCGCGAGCCCAGTCGCGGCCAGTAGCGATGCGGCTTCGTCTCCCCGGCGACCTGCGGTGGAAGCACGTGGCGCACTCGGTCAAGGTGCCATCGTAGACGTTGTTGTTGTATTAGTACCAGAGGTCGCAAACGGGTTTTGATTCCTTACCCGTACCCGGCCGCACCAGGGTCGAAAACTGGTACCCGTACCCTACCCGTACCCGGCCGGGTATGGGTAGGGTACGGGTATCGGGTACCTGATTGTGACCTGTGGGATGAAGCCATGTTGCAGGCGCGGGTGGGTTGATTCTAGGAACTTGAATTGTGAGAAGAGACAAGACGTTGGGAAATGAGTGACAAACAGTTACTCACCAGTGACTCACGGTCTACCCGTACCCGTACCCGGCCGCACCAGGGTCGCAAACGGGTACCCGTACCCGGCCGGGTACGGGTAGCCGGGTATCGGGTACCCGGTTGCGACCTCTGATTAGTACTATTTGAATCGGTGGCGGCTCGTGACATTTCCACTAGGTGGCGCTGTTGTGAGTGACCTCTGAAAAGACGGTGTTCTAATTCAGAAAAACCTCGTCATGTTATTGGCCTTCCTATGAACGTGATATAACTGTCTTTTCTACCAACGGTGGGCATTTATTAACAATGCGAAACAAATCAACAAAGGGCTCATGCTGTACCCATGACCCTCAAGTCCTTTGACACTGCCAAAATCCTGGAGCGTGTAGGCCGTGAGCTCTGAAATTGGGTCCATCTTTCTGAAACACCCTGTATTTGCACGGTGCCACCTCGCGTTGTGAGATCATCTCTCATTACAGCCACGGACGCCTTCTACACCGCCCTGAATGGGTCTCAAACGGCGTGGATAAAATGCGACGCTCATCGCAAGGAATGAAGGGAATTGTCTCACTCGGACGCCTTCACAGCCGCCCCGAGACCTCCCCGAGGCACAAATCAGACTGCGTTGCAGCGGTTTCAAATATGAACAACTTAAAATTGTATCTTCATTAGGCAATTCACGTTGAAAGAATCATGTTAAATCGTTTTTAAACGCAACAAAACTATTTATATAATAGTGTTTTTTATTATAAAATGTTTTCTCATCTCCAGCTTCTTGGTGGGGCAGTGCCCCACCGCCCCTAGTGGACGAACCGCGCCCGATGTGAATAGGTGCCTTCGTTGTCTTCAATCATCAGGGAAGTTCAAACCCCTTTCAGCTCCGCGCCTGTCTTTTTTAGGACCCGCCTCTTCTTATTTGAATTTTATTCTTATTTTTTATTTTATTTTTTATTCATTTTATTTTTTATTTTTTTCTATCTACGTGACTTTACCGAAAGAACCAACGAATATGAATTCCTGCAGTCACGAAAGCGTTAATAAGTGATGATCACGCTTGTATACCCAGGAGAGCCTCATTGGAGTCTCAATACTTTTTGTCAGGAGTGTCTCGACAAGTGTTTTGCAGTCGATGAGGGCGATGTTTTAGAAAATGTATATTTTGATTTAAAGCTTTCGTGACTGCAGGGATTAATATTCTTGGTTCTTTCGGTAAAGTCACGTAGAAGGACGGCTGCTTGCGTTGTGGCCGAAACGTCGTGAGAATTGTATTTTAGTATGTTTAATTTTTATTATTTTATGAATTCCCTCCTACGTGACTTTACCAAAAGAACCAAGAAGAAGAAAATTAATAGATCACCACGTTTCGATCGCAACACAAGCAACCGTCATCGGGTGAAACAGACACAGCAGGAGAACTGCTGACGTAGGAGAAAGAGCTGATGGAACACGTGTCTATAGAGGATCTATAAATTTTCTATTTACGTATGGATTCCTGCAGTCACGACAGCTTCAAATCAAGATTGTGTGCTCTTCTTGCTCTTAGGTGTTTTCGGTAAAGTCACGTAGGTAAAAAATAATAATGATGAAATAATAATAAATGAAAATAACTAAATTAAATCACGACGTTTCGGAGGCAACACAAGCTTCCTTCATCAGGTGTAAAAAAGGGCACAGCAAAATAAATACAGTTACAGTTATTTTCTAGAGGATGGTGCTTTTTCTGGAAGATTTTATTGTTTTTGTAGAGGATGTTTCAATTTGCGTACATGCAATTTTAAATGTATCTTGTAATTGTATTGTTTGTTGCGGTTGCACCTGAATCAAGAGCCGAATGGCTCACAGGGTTATCTCTATATATATACAGCAAAAGGCTAAGTTGTGATCATGTGTGTCTGTTCAAAATGTTTAGCGTACTTCCCGACATGCAACAATCTTGAAATTTGCCATGTGGGTACTTTCCCGACTGTACACCATGCAAACATGCTAATAATACACTTATATTTTAACTGCTCCTGGGCCTCCCCTAGGTCGACTCAGCCTTAAACGAGTAACTGGTGTGGTGTGTAAACATCGCCACTGTTTGTTGCATGAGACAAAGGCGGCCGGGCGTGGTGAATCCAAGTCTCCCGGGCGAAAGTAAAGCTAGTTCCAAATAAATTAAACTGAGTAAACTGTCAAAATCTGGAGGAAACGATTGCAGAACAGGGACGGTGGTGGAGCGAACACGAGAACTCCACAGAGGAAAAATGAACACCCCAAAGTCTGCAAACGAATTCTGGTGGGCCTCCTGAGCTCACCTGAGCCGGCGTGAGAGCCGCGATGACGTTCACTCCGTGTTCCCACACCATGTGCCAGAAGTCGCTCTCCGTGTGCGGCTGAGGCCACTGGGTGGCGATGTAGTGCCACATCTCTCCGTTCACTCGCACCTGCGTGGCAAAAGCGAGGTGGGTGGGGGATGTGTGGGGTGGGGGGCAGGTGTGGTGGTGAGCGCGTGCCGTGTCCGGCCATCCGCAGGTGCTACTCGCTAACAGAACTTGCACCATAACAGAATGTTAATAGCGGAACGAGGGGTGAGAGTGGGGAGCGGTCAGAGCCGGCCCAGCCACTAAGCGACCCTTGCAATTGCAAAGGGCCCCGTGGCCAGCAGAGGGCCCCCTAGAGTCACTGCTAGCTAGTGGGTGAAAAAAATCATACATCAAAGGGGCCTCCAACCAAATTTTGCTTGGGGCCGCCAAAGGTCTAGGGCCGGTTCTGGGAGCGGTGTTTTGTTCGAATTCCTACTCACGGTCAACAGCGGTGGCGATTGTCTGAACCGGTGCTGAAACCTCCCCTAGGTCGACACGGCCTCAATGGGGCCGTCCATAAATGACGTCACGCGATTTTGGACGATTTTTGACCCCCCTCCCTTCGTCACACAACGTCACAAAAATTCAGACCCCCCCTTCAAATATGACGTCACAAAGCTCTGCCCCCCTTCCCCCCCCAAAAAAAAGACATGCTTCAAATCGCTTTAAACTATTGTCATTGTAGTGCGTATTTAATGTGGCGCTGCACTCTGATGTTGTAGGAGAACACATTTAAGTAGAACGTGTTGTCTATATTTATTTAAAGTTGCGCATTTTGATGTGACATCACATTTCTCAACCCCCCCCCCCCTTTGTCCCACATTGTCACAAATGTCTGACCCCCCCCCCCCCCTAGGTGCGTGACGTCACTTATGGACGGGCCCCAAACGAGTACATTGCCCTGGTGTGATGTGTAAACACTGCCGCTGGGGAGGAAAAGGCGGTCGTGCGTGATGCGTTGGGTTTTGACGTTTTAAATGTTTTCAGCGAGTTCGTGGCGAACGTGTGCTTTTATTATCGTGATACGTGCGCGAGGAAAGCGGAGAAAATCCACGCGCGCAAGGGAGCAACGCTCTATCCCCGTACAGGTGGCGATGAGTCCACTTGCTGCGACTTTGCCTTCTGGCGAGCCAGGCTATGTCAAACTCCTCAACGGCCACGACATCTGTGTGTGATCCACTAACCCTCGCTGGAGAGTAGAGTTGAGATGAGATGGGTGACGTGAGGATGAGAGCGAGTTCGTGGATGACCTTAGACATGGTAATGTTGAAGTGTATCCACTTTGGGGCCGTCCATAAATGACGTCACGCGATTTTGGCCGATTTTTGACCCCCCCCCTCGTCACACGGCGTCACAAAAAGTCAGACCCCCCCCCCTCAAATATGACGTCACAAAGCTCTGCCCCCCCCACCCAAGAAATAAAGTATGCTTCAAATCGCTTTAAACTATTGTCATTGTAGTGCGTATTTAATGTGGCGCTGCACTCTGATGTTGTAGGAGAAAACATTTATTAAAAAGTCTATTTAATTAAGTAGAACGTGTTGTCTATATTTGTTTAAAGTTGCGCATTTTGATGTAACGTCACATTTCTCCCCCCCCCCCCCTCGTCATCACACATCGTCACAAATGTCTGACCCCGCCCCCCTCTCTAGGTGCGTGACGTCATTTATGGACGGCCCCTTTAATGTTGTTCGTTAATTACCCAGGCCACGATTCTACACTGTCGTTGACATTCTGAAAAATCCAGTTATGTCAGATGATCTCTTGGGTGAAATTGGTATTTTAAGCTCACACACACACACACACGTGTCTGTGTGTGTGAATTATGTGTGTGTGTGTACTCTGAATGTATGTGCGGTGTGTGTGCGGTGTGTGTACTGTGTGTGTGTGTGCTGTGTATGTGCTGTGTGTGTACTGTGAGTGTGTGTTGTGTGTGTACTGTGTGTGTGTACACTGTGTGTGTACTGTGTGTGTACTGTGTGTGCGTGCTGTGTGTGTACTGTGTGTATGTGATGTGTGTGTACTGTGTGTGCGTGCTGTGTGTGTACTGGGTGTATGTGCTGTGTGTGTACGGTGTGTTTGCTGTGTGTGTACTGTGTGTGTGTGCTGTGTGTGTACTATGTGTGTGTACTGTGTGTGATGTGTGTACTGTGAGTGTGATGTGTGTGTGTACTGTGTGTGATGTGTGTGTACTGTGTGTGTATGTGCTGTGTGTGTACTGTGTGTGTGTACTGTGAGTGTGATGTGTGTGTACTGTGTGTGCTGTGTGTGTACTGTGAGTGTATGTGTTGTGTGTGTACTGTGTGTGTGTACTGTGTGTGATGTGTGTGTACTGTGTGTGTACTGTGTGTGTATGTGTTGTGTGTGTACTGTGTGTGTCATGTGTGTGTACTGTGTGTATGTGATGTGTGTATACTCTGTATGTGCTGCGTGTGTACTGTGTGTGATGTGTGTACTGTGTGTATGTGATGTGTGTGTACTGTGAGTGTGTGTTGTGTATGCACTGTGTGTGTCTACTGTGCGTGTGTGATGTGTGTGTACTGTGAGTAAATGTACTGTGTGCACTGTGAGTACTGTGTGCGTGCATGCAGTAATTCGTGCTCGGTTGCCACACGCCCGGTCACCTAGGTTCGATCCCTGCTCATGGATACCATCAGCGGCAAGTGGTTTATGATCCTATAAAAATGCCTCCCCCAAGTTATCTTAATTGGCTCGCTACCTGGTGCGGTGTGTCAACGTCAGTGCTGGGAAGACGACATCGGCCGGCCTTAGCGTGATGACCACACCGCAACCCCCCCCCACCTCGTGCAGCTTAGCAGCCTCAACAGGTGCTCGCTAACAGCGAATTTCCTTCACGCTCCACAAGTCTACGTGGGGGGGGGGGGGTCTTCGCATGAAGGGTCTGTGCGCGGTGCAGCAGCAGTAGTCGCTGTGCCATTTTGAACGAACTCCCTCTGACCGAATATGAATTAAGCCTCCAACAAATTCCCCTTCCGTTGCGACGCCAATCGACTGCAGCGTTGACGAGAATCGTCGTCATGTCCACCTCGGCCAGGAAACGATACCGAAAGCACCAAAGAGTATGGAAATGTGACGTGTCTTTTTTTTGTATGATAACAAAAAATGTGGTGGCGGTGGGGCAAAATGTGGGCAGCCACACCCAGGCTCGTGTTATTAAATAGGCACGGTACAGCAAACCTGTCCAACCCCTTATCAGTACCCCTACCTTATTAGAGACCAATTCAGATCTTATTGGTCACCACGTGACCCGTATACATCTCAACGTTCATCATACAAAGTTCCAATCGCAAGCGAGAAACACAACACAAATATTTCTAGATTTGAAGCTTTCGTGACTGCAAGGATTCATATTTTTAGGTTTTTTCGGTAAAGTCACGTAGGTTAAACATTTAAATTAATAAAAGTAAAATAAAATAAAAATCACGACGTTTCGGAGGCAACACAAGCTTCCCTCTTCAGGTGGAACCGTCACAGCCACGACAGCTGAAGACGGAAGCTTGTGTTGCCTCCGAAACGTTTTACCTACGTGACTTTACCGAAAAAACCTAAGAATAACAACACAAATAGACTAAACGTAAATATTTTTGCCCGTATAGAAACGGTTGTACGCCGTATGGACCTGATAACTCAATTTCGCTGTACAAGAATACGGGTAAATCGTATGGGTTGACAGGTATGGAGTAGGCACTGTGTAGGAACTGTGCCTCGGACCTACGAAAACTGAAAGGGGACTACGAAAAATAAATGTGACTTTTTTTTGTATGATAATTTTTTTTAACCAAGATATCTTCTTGAATAAATAAATAACTATATTTATACATAGCAAACATATATTTATTTCCTGCCTCAGCAGCTCTCCCGCTATATTTTGTGTTGCGATCGAAACGTCGTGATTTATTATTATTATTTTTCTATCTACGTGACTTTACCGAAAGACCCAAAGAGTACAGCAAATATTGTCAGCGTGTATATACAAAGAGGCAGAGCTATGTCAATGTCAGTGGGTTTTTCTTCATAAGGTGAGATAAATTAACATCGGGGATTCATCTTCTTGGTTCTTTCGGTAAAGTCACGTAGAAGGGAAATAATAAAATAATAAAAATAAAACATAATAAAATACTAGTTATTTTATTATTTCCATTTTACGTGACTTTACTGAAAGAACCAAGAAGATGAATCCCTGCAGTCACGAAAGCTTTACATCGAAAAATCGGAGATTAACATTTAGAGATTTTTTTTCACTGCAAAATTAGCAAAGAACACATTGAAGTGGTATTGTTCGCACCATCTCATTCCGAACAGTGGTGCAAGTGTAGTCACATCAGGGCGGCAGCAGCAGCAGTACCATCTCCAGAGAGTTATCGCTGAAGGCCTACGAAAGAGAAGTGCCCAGGACCTACACGAACCTTCATCGGGGCCTTCGCTACAACCCTTATACGTAACAGGTTTGGACAGCATTGGAATGGGGCAAGTCGCCTGTTGTGGCAACACTGATTCCCCTCGCCCCGTACATTAACCACACTCGTGCGTCTTGTACACTTTAAACGCTGGCACCGTCGTCGCGAATTGTTTGGCTGCGCACTGGTGTTGCAACCCAGAGGTCGCCGGGTTCCATTCTATCTCCACGGCACGGCTGTTGAATGAATGGGGCAAGTTTTCTTGAATCCCTCCTCCGATGTGTGTTGAACTTCTTTCGCACCGCACGTAGCCAACCGTGGAGATAGAATGGAACCTCTGGGTTACAAGACCAGTGCGCAGCCAAACCTTTCGCGACGACGGTGCGGAGAAAGGACAACAAACTAAACACGTAAATCAGTTACTCTTAGTTTTTTCGGTAAAGTCACGGAGACTTGTGTTGCCTCCGAAACATTGTGATTTTTATTATTTTATTTTAATTAATTTCATTTTTTTACCTACGTGACTTTACCGAAAAAACTAAGAGTATGAATCCTTGCAGTCACGAAAGCTTCAAATCTAGAACGTAAATCAGTTCTAAAAAAATTCGTTTTAAAATCGAGATGATTTAAAAGTGCATCGTTCCCAATGGATTCCCAATATCGGAAGGAAGAGCGTTTCAGACGGCCGCAAGGGAGCGCATCTGAAAGCGCGCGGTGCAGTGAGCGTCTTTGTTCGATGGCAAGCCAAGAGCCGGCAGGTGATTTGTGGCGGAGTAAAGTGTAGACACACTGCTGGCCCTTCTGCCAGCAGTGGCGTGAAGAGGCACTTGCAGGCATGCGCCTTTACCTTTAACCCAAACGTAACCGGATTAAACGAAGGCTGCAGAAGCTCATGGCACGTTTGAAATATTGTTCCGTACGGATTGCCCTGTAAAATGGATATTCGTGTATTATTCATATTTTCTCCAAAAATGTAGATGTATTATTTACAGGGGCTGAGTAAGCCTGCACGGCTTCTTGTCGCGTCCGATTAGCGTAGTGGCAGTGTCAGCTGCGTTGGTGCCCACTCACACGTCTGCGCCTCTCTGTCTGGTGTCACCCTTATGGGGAGCGGTGGAGCAGCGGTCAGCGCGCTGTGCTACGAACCTGGCGACCCGAGTTCGATTTCCGCTCACGGCCAATACCAAGTGACGATTACCTGAATCGGTCCTGGGCTTCCCCTAGGTTGACTCAGCCTCAAATGCGTACCTGGTGTGTGGTGTCTAAACATCGCCAATGGGGAGAAAAAGGCGGCCGGGCGTGGTGCTGGCCACCCACCCAGCTCGTTTGCCGTGGCGGCCTTCATAGGTGCCTGCGAACAGCACTTGCCCCAAAAGTCCGCTAAGGCTTTACGGGGGATCTTTGCCTTTGTTTGTCAACCTGAAACTACTCGCCACCCAGTGTCTACGGGACACGTGACCCGAGATGGCTCGAGCTAGCCTGAGTTGACCTGAGAGAGTTAACCTGAGTGAGTTGACCTGTTTGAGTTGACCTCATTTCATCCTAGCACCCCCATTCCTGTCCAGCTCGTGCTGAACAGGAATTCTGTCACGTGAATTGGGCAGCTCTTAGACATGCACGGGGTCATCCATTCATAAATACCCTACAGACCTGCAATGAACCTGTCCTTTCAAATGACCTCGGCGTTACGCAGTCGTTGAATGCTGTTGGGCAAATCACTGCACCGGTAATACGGGACGATGCGTGTCGGGAGAATGTCGAGAGATTTCATGTTGTTAATCGAGGCTTCGAAATATACAATGTTATTTGTCTCTACAAAGTCTCCCTGTTACTTTAAGCGGTTATCCATAAATGGATCACCCTGTAAAAGTGAATAAAACTTTCCTAAGACATAATTGCGAGTCAAAGATTAAGGTTGGGTTCATGACAAAATTAAACGTTATTACATGTTAAATTAAATATTATTTTAAAAAGTGTGTTCCAGTAAACGAGACCGTCTGCGATTGACACAGCTGGTGGCATATTCTGTTTCTGACGTAGAGAATTCAGGCCATGCCTCGATGCAAACCCGGCTTGGAAAATTCAAACAAATCAAGTAGATTGTTTTCACCGACTGCCCGAATGGCAAATCGAGTTCAAACTCGGGTCATGTGTCCTATGGAAACAGGATTTTAGGCTTAGAGTGAGCACTGGTTCGAGTGTCTGTGTGTGTCTGGCCCATGTTCCAACCTACATGAAAGTGTCCACGTGAATCAGAGAACTAAGTGGCTATGTCTAATCGTCCACTGAACCCCGTGTCTGTGTGCAGAGGTGCCTGTGTGTTCATGTGTCTAAGTCCATGGGTTCCTGTATCAATGTGTCCATGTGTTTTCACGTGTGTTGTCCATCCATACACATGTCTGTATTTCCAAGCATGGACATGTCTGGCCACGTGCCTGCACATTTGTGTGTCTAAACGTGTGTGTGTCTATTGTTAGCACATTTGTGTCTCTGCATGCGTGCACACCTGTGTCTTTGCGCTTCTCCGTGTGTTCGCGTGTCCGCATGTCTGTGTCTCTACGCGTCTCCGTGTGTCCGCGTGTCCACGCGTCTGTGTTTCTGCACGTCTCCGTGTGTCCGCGTGTCCGCGCGTCTGTGTTTCTGCGCGTCTCCGTGTGTCCGCGTGTCCACGCGTCTGTGTTTCTGCGTGTCTCCGTGTGTCCGCGTGTCCACGCGTCTGTGTTTCTGCGCGTCTCCGTGTGTCCGCGTGTCCGCATGTCTGTGTCTCTGCGCGTCTCCGTGTGTCCGCGTGTCCACGCGTCTGTGTTTCTGCGTGTCTCCGTGTGTCCGCGTGTCCACGCGTCTGTGTTTCTGCGCGTCTCCGTGTGTCCGCGTGTCCACGCGTCTGTGTTTCTGCGCGTCTCCGTGTGTCCGCGTGTCCGCGCGTCTGTGTTTCTGCGCGTCTCCGTGTGTCCGCGTGTCCACGCGTCTGTGTTTCTGCGCGTCTCCGTGTGTCCGCGTGTCCGCATGTCTGTGTCTCTGCGCGTCTCCGTGTGTCCGCGTGTCCACACGTCTGTGTGTCTGCGTGTCCACGCGTCTGTGTGTCCGCGTGTCCACGCGTCTGTGTCCCTGCGCATTCACGCGTCGCTGTGCGCTGCTTACCCGGACGTGAGAGGAGGTGGCGCGCCGCGTGACGTTTCCCCGGGGAGACCGCGGCGCAGACGCTGGCACGGAGGACGCTGGCTGCCGGATCCTCTCCGAGTCCACCATCGACCCTCGCTCCCCGGGTCCCCACGGGATATGCCCAAATTCCTGCGCCGCATCCCCGCGCCGCACCCGCTCCGCCAACTGCGATCCCTGGTGGAGAATCGCACAGTCGGCGGATCAATCTCAGGACGCGGGGTCAACGAGGAGAGGTCATCATGGACGATGCTGTATGTCGTCGCCGCACTTCCCCGTTGCGGCCTTCCTTCTGCCAGATCTTGCAAGGGCAGCGTAGTTGCAATGTGACATTCAATTTGACCACCACGACCACCACCATCCGGGCGTGGCTCCAATTGTCTGTCTTGGTAATAATGCTAAAATCCTGAAATGAATCCTAATCATCATAAAATCATAATGTCCTCTCAATGTGAATTTCCTGAGATTACATTGATTAGTTTAATCGCCGTTTACATAGCGTGGGCAGACAAGATTAAGTGAATACCCACATTCTATGTCGTTTTTTTTCTGGATTCAACTTGATAAACGTTTGTTGATCATGGATAGCTGCCTGGCTTTGAATTCAAGATTCCAACAATACCAACTCAGTGCAATGACATGACCATTATGAGCCAAACAAAATGAACAATTAACAAAATTACAGCCAAATGTCAATCCACTGCTGGTCGAGGGCCTCCCCCACACTGTGGCAGTCAAGGGCGGTTGTTTGACCATACTTAACCGTGCTTGTCCCGTACAGGTTGGTGAATCATCGGAGGGATGTGGAACCAGCAACGGTTCGGATATCACTCGCCACTGATGTGAGCCGTGGCCGGGAATGAGACCTCGGGCCACCAGTTTCGTAGCGTGACGGGACAACTCCGCTCTACCCCTTACAATTTAATATGCACGCGAGTTTCCGTCACTCTGCATTATTTATCCTTTATGGAACATTACAGTGAAATGTCGCCCGTATGTAAGTTTTGTACTCATCAACTATATTGCCAATCGTCTGTAAGAAGGCAGCCAGGCGGGCGGGCGGGCGGGCGGGCAATTATGTGGATGAAATATCTACGTGCCCGATGCAGATAAAAGCTTTCTTGTCATACTTGTACGCATTTAGAGCTCGGAAGAGAGAAGCTTACCGAAAAAAAACTAAGAGTAGGAAAAAACTAAGAGTAAGCTTGGGGAGGTAAGAGTTGCGATATTAAAGCACGCGACTTGACACAGGGTAGGAGTGCAAGTGGTGCATCTGCCAGTCACCCCAATCAGAATCAGAATATTTATTTATACCGTAGGAATCCGATTAGCTATAAAGCTCGTTTTCACAGGTGTCCAGTAGGGGCGGGTCGCACGTCACAACAGCAAACAGTACAACAACACGATAAGAGTGCAAAGTATAGAAAAGGTAACCAAATCACTTTAAAAAAGTCATACAAATAAAACGAAACTATTTTTTTTATCTTATCAGGTAAAGCATACGTACCGTATGCCCATGCCGTACGTGTACTGTATGTGTACATACATGATAATTGTTTTTTTTACCCTTCTATCTGGCAACAAAACTGACACCTTTTTTACAAGGAGTCATGTTTGCATAGACCACAATACCTGCAGTCATAATGCAAACAAAAAACATAGTCTCACATGGGTTGGACCAGATGACGCCAAAAGGCGTACAACTCAAAGACAATGCACCATCAGAGTATGAGAGCTCGGGATAAGCATTTACACCATTGGAACCTCATTTGCCAGTAAAAAATATAAGGGTAAAAAACCAATTATCATATTTTTTACTGGCAAATGAGGTTCCAATGGTGTACATAATTGTCAAACAATCAGCCTCACTGTTTATTTTTCGTATCCCTTGCTTACCCCAGCTCCCCTTCCCCCTCACTAACTCCATCATCCCTCTTCTCAACCTCCCTACCCATCCATCCCATCCGATCATTATCATCGACCACTCATTTGTCATCTTTCGCCATCGTTTATTTCACACGCCATCATATTCATCACGCACTACCATCCTTCTCATAGGCTCATCTCACGTCATCACACCGTTCTGCTGGTCAAATTGCTAATACAACACCTGTCGACCCATCACGGTTTACCCCGTATTCTTGTACAGGGAGTTTTCAGGGCCATGCGGCGTACAGCCGTTTCAATACGGACAACCAAAGTGTGTTGTCTATGTGCGTGTGTTTCTCCATTGTGATGGGACTTTGTAGGATGAACGTTGAGATAAAAAAAAATCACTCGTGTAGCCTTATCAGACTGTTGGGGCAAGTGCTGTTAGCAAGCACCTATAAAGGCCGGAACGGTACACGGGTCGGTGGGTGGCCAGCACCACGCCCGACCGCCTTTGTCTCCCCAGTGGCGATGTTTACACATCGCACCAGGTACTCATTTGAGGCCGAGTCGACCTAGGGGAGGCCCAGGACCGGTTCAGATAATCGTCACTGGGGTTGGCCGTGAGCGGGAATCGAACCCGGGTCGCCGGGTTCATAGCGCAGCGTGCTAACCGCTACACCACCGCTCCCCATGATGACCAATACGGTCTGAATTGGTCTGATAAGGGGTTGACAGGTGTGTAATTTAAAATAAGACGAGACGTGCTTGAGAGTGACCGCCGGTGCTTTACCCGATCGGCAATGGGGCTGTCTCCCGTGTGCCTCCGGCTGACGGTGGTGAAGTTGGGCACACCGGGCAGATTCATCCTGGGTAGAGTCGTGACGTTCGGCTTCGTGAAATCCCCCGTGCTGGTGTTGTACTTCTTGGGTCTCTGCACACGCGCAAACGCCCGATTAAGCTAGTGCGGGGCCTGTAAGCATATGTTAAAAGCGGCCCTAAATAAAATAAAAACGCAAACATTAAAACACAAATTTCTAACTTGAATAGTGAAGTACCGTAATTGTATTTTTTACATTTGCTATACGACAAATCGATAACCTTAAACACCCAGTCGTTCATAAAAGTTGAAGGCAGTATAGTACTATAGTAATAGAGCAAGTGCAGACTCACTGAACCGGAATTGATAGCTTGAAAGCATTTAGCGCGGGGCCCTTGAAAGTGCGGGGCCCGTAGCTGCTACACATGTAGTAGCTACTACACATATAGCTACTACACATGTAGCTACTACACATTTAGCATTTGTAGCTACTTTCGCTGCTGGGATAATAATCCGGCACTGGGCAAGGCTCAGTCTTCAGCCGCGGTGTGTCCAGGACTCGGCAGGTTGCCAACTGGAGTCTCTCCCGAGGCCGCATGCGACTCTTAATACCATTTGCATACGGCTCTATCGTAGGGCAGTAATGTAGCACATACAACCACAGTAGCAAATAATAATGAATTAAAGTTTCACGATAAGTTGTATGATATAATTTTATATATGTACACTTGACTCATTGCAGAACTCATGGGCATTTCTTGCCTGTTGGTCTGTTACAGGATGGCCACCCCGAGTCAACGACGCAGCCAATATTTGTAGCACGCACCTGGCACACCACATCGAGTATACCCCTCCATATTGCCGTGGTTACTCGTCACGTGGCCATCCATTCCCGTCGGCCAGCGGCCCGGATAATATTTCCGCTCCCGGCACACCACATCGAGTATACATATCACTGTGACTGTGGCCCCTAGTCATGTGCCATCTCTTCTTCCAGCGACCTGGGAAATGTTCAGTGAAAAATGTTACCCCGCTCACGTGGACGTCAGAGACGTTCGGATGTCAGCAAAAATTCGGAAGTAATACATGTCTCTTTCCTCTGTTTTTTTTATATCTCAAATGAAACGTCCACTGCTGCGTGTTTGTGCACCAGCGTCCAATGTGCAAATCAATTTCTGCACTTATGAGAGAGAGAGAGAGAAAATGTAATGCGACGTACAACAATTAAGCGCCGTCACATTCCGAGACCCCTGATCATGTTTTTGGAGGTTCTTGTAACCGCCCATCCCATGTGACACCACTCGTAATTGGCTGTCCCCCAGAGCGGGCAGCCTCACCCGCGCTTATTAATAACCGCCCGCTCTCTGGCTCCTTAATGATATCGCAGGGCAATATAATATCCTCCCTCTCCCCCTCCAGCCACGATTGCCCAAATCGGCATGCAATGATTCATTCCACACTGCAATTCCAGGAATTGTCACGATTTAGCATCATGATTCAAGAATTTTTTTATTTTCATGTTGCCCGTCGTTTTTTTCTCGTGAGTACACTCGTTTTAGTTTTCGATTTAAAGCTTTCGTGACTGCAGGGATTCATCTTCTTGGTTCTTTCGGTAAAGTCACGTAGAAGGGAAATAATAAAATAATAAAAATAAACCAATAAAATAATTCTCACGACGTTTCGGCTACAACGCAAGCAGCCGTCCTCACCTGAAGACGGAAGCTTGTGTTCCTCACCTGAGGACGGCTGCTTGCGTTGTAGCCGAAACGTCGTGAGAATAATTTTATTGGTTTATTTTTATTATTTTATCATTTCCCTTCTACGTGACTTTACCGAAAGAACCAAGAAGAGCGTTTTAGTTTGTTCTGTCGGCTCTTGCACCGTCTTGGTTTGTACTGTCTGTACCATATTTATTTGATACAGCAATCGTGCTGTGACGGTTCCACCTGAAGACGGAAGCTTGTGTTGCCTCCGAAACGTCGTGATTTTTATTTTACTTTTATTAATTTTAATTTTATTTTTTACCTACGTGACTTTACCGAAAAAACCTAAGAGTAGGAATCCTTGCAGTCACGAAAGCTTCAAATCTAGAATTGTACTGTCTTGGTTGAACTCTTTATCCGATCTGATTGATTGGTCTGTACTGTCTTGTGTGCGTGTGTTCTCTCTTGTCTGCTGTGCAATATGATTGGTACGTACTGTCCTGTGTGTTCGTCTTGTCTGTACTATCAATGTCTGTGCAACCTTCCTCAATTCTTCCATCTCGTTTGATCAGCCTCGTTAGTTCTGTCCATTAGCATAATGGATACAACATTTGCATGAACGTTGCTTGAATCTAAACGTATCCATTCTCATGCGTAAGATTTAATGCCCGTAGCTTAATAGTGATATTTAATCGATCAGTCCATTATTAATTACGTCTGCTGGCTCAAAATGAAAATATGACTCCGTATCTTGCAGTCATGATGAGACAAATGATTCACACACACCCCCTTGACTGTATTCGTCTTACACTGAACACATGATTCGACAGGTGTTCAGGCAATAATTTTTTTTATCAATTTCGCAACAGAGATACACAGCTGACTTTTGATGAGACTCGGAAAGTCGATACTGTTTGCTCGAGGTGCCTAAACCGGCTTCTCGAGCGTAGTCAGTTGATGGTCTCCGCCCGGTGACTAACGATTGCACACACACACACACAGACACACAAAAACTCCCATCATATTAAATTCGGTTTTGCAATGAATTTGCCTAAACTGCAGTTCTCAAAATGAAAATAAATATCTATATCTTTTATTGACCGTCGTATGACAAGCACATTCTTGCCAGAGTGTGTGGGGAAGTCGGCCCCCTCCTGTGTATAGGATGAGAAGGCCGCGTGAAGGATTTTGACGATGTTCTGTGAACATCACCGTCTGGGCCGTCCTATGACTTTTCTGAATGGGTTCTTCACTTCATGGCCCGACGTAACAAAATAATAATAATCACAATTGAATTAAATTGGGGCAAAAAGACCAAACGATCTAAACTAAAAATTATACATTCAAGTAAAGTAAAAAATATTAACCCGTAAAAACAAAGTTTTTCACTATAAATCCTTTATATGCGTGGCGGCTAGAGTCCTCTCGTCCTCTGGCTTGAGATGGCTGCCACCTATGGGTCAGATGATTGCCTGCCACCATTAAGCAGTTGGTAGTTAAATATAAAAAAAATTCCTAAAAAGTGTAAAGTTATGGAAAAAAATTTTCACGAAAATAAATTGTCACGCACAACGAGTCTGTGTGCAAAATGTCAGCTCGATTGGATCACGGGAAGTGGGTTCAAAAACGACCGAAAGATTTGCACGGTCGTAAGCGCGCAAGCAAGCAAGTGAACTTAATATAAAGGATTTAAAAAGTCATCCAAGATGTGCATGTTTAAATGTTTCTTGACAACACTGATCCCACAGAAACTGATCCGCTTATGGCCTAAAACTGTTCATTCTTTTTACACGGCACAAGAAGAGGCTCTTATCTGTTGATCATTAATTCAATATCCACTCCTCGCTGACAGCCACATTAATTTTGGTATTAACAAGAACACCGTTGCCTGGCAGGCACAAACCCCCTGAGTTCATTGCATGCACATGCTTAGGCCCCCAAGTTGAAATTCCACCGGTGGCACCATCGTTACAACAGCGCAATGTGGACTCGCCATCTGCACGTGCACATTTCAATGATTAACAGACATTGCAATTATTGGAAAGCCACACTGTGCAGCTCAAGCAGAGCTGAGACCAGCATACTCGTAACCATCTCTGCCCGATCGCCAGACACTTCAGCCGCACAGGTACGACGTGAGTGCCGTACCAAACGAGTTTGAATGAAACTGCTGCAAGTTTTTTTTTGAGTTGTGTTTTGCAGAAATAAATCATTTTAACTCCCTCCACCGCCGCAGGGTCGGGCTACTCCACTCACCCTGATGGGCAACTTTTACAAATATCCACCACCACCACCACCGTAAATACCAAGCACGTGAATGGTTAACCGTCGCCTGCAAGAAATAAGCATCGCAACACGCCCGCGGATGTGTCATCGTGGGCATGTGGTGGCGTGGCAGCTGTCGAGTGCGCAGGCAGTGCAACTGCACCGGGGCCCACGCGTAAGAGGAGGGGCCCAGGCGCCGGGCTATGAAGAGGGGAGGAGGAGGAGTTGGTGGTGGTGGGGGGGCGGCAATTGGACAAGAAGGGGTTGCCCCATTTGATGCCTTTCACCGCAGGGCCCATGCCAAGTCCGCTGTGCCACTGTTACAGCGTGCGTCCCATCACGCGAGCAGCAGCACTTCGTCGCTGGAGGTCTACGGTGGGTGTTCTATGGATGGACTGGTCCCCGTCACGGGAATGTGGAGTTTTGTTTTTATCCAACCACTTCTAAAGACTGTCAAATGTTCGCTTGACCAGTGCGACTTTGATTTTGGATTCTGTACATTAATAATCGTGTTCGGCCCTTTGTCAGTCCACTGCTGTTGGGGTGGGAGAGAGGGGGGGAGGGGGGGGGCTCTCGCTTCAGGTGCCATCACTGACGCTAGCCCTGGCAGTGGATCTAACTCAGATCGCCAGGTGCAGTGCGCGAGCCACTCCCCAACTCTGTACAAATACGCATTGAGACGAAACAAGATCGAAATCCATCGCGTACGTGAAACATCATCTGCTGTACGCTACTGCAATGCCGTCCACCTTCACCAAAAACGCACTGACCAGTGTGGTGAAGTATGGTGAAATACCCCCTCCCCCCCAAAGGCACACATGGCCTGGGGATATACCAGCGTGCAGCAGTGGATTGACAAAGGGCTGTACGTGCCCTCGCGTAGACGCCTCGCTGCGCCGAGTGTCAAGATATTCAAGTTTCAAGTTTAATTTATTTGGTATAGCCCTGTGAGCCATTCGGCTCTTGAATCGGGTGCAAATGCAACAAACAAAACAACTAAAACATGAACAAGAAAACATCTTAAAGTGAATATGTGACAAGGTGCAAACAGAAAATCCAAGAAAAGACAGCAAAATATTGCAGAAAAAGCACCGAACACCAACACTGTGTGCAAAAATCCCAGTGGGTGAGGTGGGTTTCTTATATTTTCAGGAGGGTTTCCTTCTTTGGAATGCTTGGCCAGTGCCACGCTGTTGTTCACGATGCGTGCACTTTGATCTCCGTGGGAGGAAAGCGGAGCGCCCAGGGACAGCCCATCACGCACACAGACTGTGCCGTGTGCTGCAACGTGTACCGCCTTCATTAGACTGTGTACTAACCTATGTGCACTGCCCAGTTGTACTATGTGTACGTGTCCTGCCCTGTGTACTATGCTATGAGTGCTGCCGTGTGTACTGTGCGTGCACTTCCCCAGGTGTACCTGTGTGTACGTGTGCTGCCCTGTGTACTATGCCATGAGTGCTGCCGTGTGTACTGTGCGTGCATTTTCCCAGGTGTACCTGTGTGTGTACGTGTGCTGCCCTGTGTACTATGCCATGAGTGCTGTCCCGGTTGTGCTGTGCGCATTAGCCCATCGTGTGCCGTGCGCGCCCGTGCCGTGGGTGCACCTCACCGTCACGCCGTCCGGCTTCTCGAATCGGATGTTCTTCGACGGGAGGAGAATCTCCGACGTGGGCCTCTCGCGGCCAGGATTGGCCCACTTGCGCAGCCTCACCGACGACCCGGCTCCGGGGTCGAACTCGGGCCTCTTCGGCGCTCGGTCCCCGTCGCCCTCGGCGGGAGCGGCGGCGGCGGCGCCGGTGCCGGAGGGGCCTTCGAGGAGATCGAGGGACCGGGAGCCGCGCATGGACCTGAGGCGCGACGGGGCGGCCCTGGCCAGCGCCTGCTGCAGCCTCGTGTTGTAGGGCACGTTCACGTAGGGTATCAGGATGGAGGAGTCTTGCGCCGTCGACGGCGGCCCGTCCGCTGAGCCTCGTCTCGGGACGGTGCCGCCTTGAGGCCGGGCCCCCTCGAGGCGTTCCGCCGGCTGGTGGCCATGCCCCGCGGGGTCGTCGGCGGAGGGGCCGAGACCCCCCGAGGAGATGGTGGAGGATCTCCGATGTTCTTCCGTGGAGTGTTGGGAGGGATGCGTGCGTCCTGAGGAGCGCGCGGACGTTGTTAGATTTCCCGAGGCGCGGCGAGAGGTCCGGGCACCAGTGGAGTGGTCGGACGTTCCCAGGTCTTCCGAGGAACCTTGGGAGCGATCCTTCCTTCCCGAGGAGCGGTTCGCGTGAGCCGCATCTTCCGAGGAGACGTTGTAGGTGCCTCTGCGTTCCAGGGAGTGTTTGGAGGTGTCTGGCTCTTGAGAGAAGCGGTTCGAACCGCTCACTTGTTCCGAGGAGCGGTCGGACGGATGCAAGTCTCCTTGTCGCTCAATCCCCTTGCCCTTGTAATCGGCCGTCGTCTCGAGCGGCCTCCCGTCCACACCCTGGCCATGGTCTCTGCGGGGCTTGGTCTTGAGGATGCCGTGGCGAGGAGAGGTGGGTCCATTGGGCTGCTGCTTCGGAGTCACACTGCTCGCGGGCCCATTGCTGAGAAGATCTCTGTTTGTCTGCCTTGACATTTCGACCAGAGGCGCTGTCTCTGGTCTCGCCGGTGAACGGCGAGGCGACGGTGGAACTGTGAGTGTCCGCGTGCGCCTCGATTGTACGTGTCCTTAGCCTTGCGTGGACGTGTGTTTGTATGTCTCTGTGTCTGTATGTGTGTCTTTATGTGTCTGTGTGCACGTCTTTGTGCGATTGTATGTGTGCGTGTCTGTATCTTTGTATGTACGTACGTGTGTGTCCGTGTCTGTGGCAGTGTGTGTATGTATGTGCACCTAGCCTGGCACAAGCGCCGTGATGACGTCGCCGCAACTTGGCGGCGAACGGTGGTTGTACGTTTGAGTGTCTCTGTGTGTGTCTCTGTGTGCCTGTGCGTGTGTGTGTCTGTGTATGTGCGTCTCTGTTTTGTTTTGTCTTCGTGTGTGTGTGTTTGTCGGCGCCGATATGTGTGTTAGTCGTGTGTGTGTGTATCCACGTGTGTGTGTGTCTCCGCTACCGCTACAACAGGAGTAGTCGTAAATCATTTACTTGGCTTCCACAATCATCTTCTTGTGGGGTGGGAGGAGGTTGCCACCACCAGGAAGGTTTTAACTGCCAAAGACAAACACGTAAAAACATCAGACGATGTAATCATGCGGGCGCAATTTCGAAGTAAACACGCATTCCATTACTAAACGGGCATTCCATCACGCGAACTCCAATTATCCTCACACAGCAGCGGCGTTTGGCTGCTGGCCATCGAACAGAGACGGTCACTTCATCACGCGCTCTCAGATGCGCTTCTGCGGCCGTCTGGAACGCTCTTGCTTCCGATATTGGGAAGCCACTGGAGTTGTGCACTTTTATGTCTAGATTGACACATTCAATTTCTGTAGAACTGCTGTTTGTGTTTAGTTTGTTGTCCTTCCCCCTGCATCTCGGATTAGCGCGATTGGCTAAGTACGGCGCGAAATAAGTTCAACATACATAAATACAAAGACTCGCACAGAGGCCCATAGACTCACACGGCAACCCTATAGACTCACACAGAGACCCATGGACTCACACAGAGACCCATGGACTCACACAGAGACCCATGGACTCACACAGAGACCCATGGACTCACACAGAGACCCATGGACTCACACAGAGACCCATGGACTCACACAGAGACCCATGGACTCACACAGAGACCCATAGACTCACACAGAGACCCATGGACTCACACAGAGACCCATGGACTCACACAGAGACCCATGGACTCACACAGAGACCTACAGTTGGTTGTCCTTCTTCCCGCACCTCCGATTAGCACGGTTTGCTACATACGGTGCGAAAGAAGTTCAACGTACATACATTTCCGTGCAGAATTGCTGCATGTTCTTGGTCTGGGACCACGCGCCTCTACCACCACCACCACCACCGTCAACTCTTTAAAAAACTCACCCGCAACATTCCTAGGCCAGATAAAGCATGTTTGTGAAATGCAATAATTCACGACGGCGGTGGGGACCCACTCTAACGTGTGTCCGTACAACACGTGGAGGAAAAAGAGTGTGCGGATATTTCCTACATATATGCAATAGGCAGGTAGTCCACTCAGCTACCCCTACACAACCACGCGTACCCTGGTGTAACAAGCGGACTGCTCCACTCAGCTACCCCAACACAACCATGTGCACTCTGGTGGAGCGAGTGGACTGCTCCACTCAGCTACCCCAATACAACCACGTGTACCCTGGTGTAACAAGTGGACTGCTCCACTCAGCTACCCCAACACAACCACGCGTACTCTGGTGGAGCAAGCGGACTGCTCCACTCAGCTACCCCAACACAACCACGTGCACTCTGGTGGAGCGAGTGGACTGCTCCACTCAGCTACCCCAACACAACCACGCGTACTCTGGTGGAGCAAGCGGACTGCTCCACTCAGCTACCCCAACACAACCACGTGCACTCTGGTGGAGCGAGTGGACTGCTCCACTCAGCTACCCCAACACAACCACGTGCACTCTGGTGGAGCAAGCGGACTGCTCCACTCAGCTACCCCAACACAACCACGTGCACTCTGGTGGAGCGAGTGGACTGCTCCACTCAGCTACCCCAACACAACCACGTGCACTCTGGTGGAGCAAGCGGACTGCTCCACTCAGCTACCCCAACATAACCACGTGTAGTCTGGTGGGGCGAGTGGACTGCTCCACTCAGCTACCCCAACACAACCACGTGTACTCTAGTGGAGCAAGCGGACTGCTCCACTCAGCTACCCCAACACAACCACGTGTAGTCTGGTGGGGCGAGTGGACTGCTCCACTCAGCTACCCCAACACAACCACGTGTACTCTGGTGGAGCGAGTGGACTGCTCCACTCAGCTACCCCAACACAACCACGTGTAGTCTGGTGGAGCGAGTGGACTGCTCCACTCAGCTACCCCAACACAACCACGTGTACTCTGGTGGAGCGAGTGGACTGCTCCACTCAGCTACCCCAACACAACCACGTGTAGTCTGGTGGAGCGAGTGGACTGCTCCACTCAGCTACCCCAACACAACCACGTGTAGTCTGGTGGAGCGAGTGGACTGCTCCACTCAGCTACCCCGATACAACCACGTGTACTCTGGTGTAACAAGCAGGCTACTCCACTCAGTTACCCCAACACAACCACGCGTACCCTGGTGAAACAAGCAGTCTACTGCACTCAGCTACCCCAACACAACCACGCGTACCCTGGTGAAACAAGCGGTCTACTGCACTCAGCTACCCCAATACAACCACACGTACCATGGTCGAACAAGCTGGCTACTCCACTCAGCTACCCCAACACAACCACGCGTACTCTGGTGTAACAAGCGGACTGCTCCACTCAGCTACCCCTCTCGATACCGTGGAGTGGCTAATGACCTTCAACAAAATCGTAACCCCTTGCTGCTGCTGCTGCTTTGTTCACACGCTGAGCGAAAATAAAATAAGATTTGCTACCCACCTCACATCACGGAGTGATGATGATGACCAGTAGCATCTGCAGATCGCGTTGTCTCCACATTTCAAGTGAGTTTAATTAAGAAGCAGCTGATGCAGTTAGGGCCTTTTAAACGGTGGCACTTTTTTCGATATTTGTTGCTGTTGTATAAAGACGGCGAGATTAGCTCTTGCCTGTTGACTTTTGTCCGTCTATTTTAACTGCGTGGGCCCCATGAGCCACTTTACTTTTTAGTTTGTGGCCGTCACGAAAGCCGGCCACACATTTCGACGACGACGCTGAATTATCCCGTCTTCGACAAGCAGGAACCGCTCATTCACCCGTACATCACCATCATCATTCTTCTTCTACTTCTTAAAAAAAAATTGCGACTAGTCAACGATGTTAAAGCGCAGAAAACGACGCTATTATTAATTAATTGAAGGCCTTGGCAGGACAGGACGAATTAGACCACAGATGCGCCCTGGCGAATGCGCGCCTTTGTACCTGACAAGTGTTCAAGCGTAGTTTCAGTTGGGTGTCGCTTGCCTCGCCGAGCACTGTTTGGCCTTGGGCTTCAAATGGGTGTGTAAAATTAAATGACTGTCGAAACAGGAATCCAGTGCCAGGTCGGCATGCAACGAAAACTGAAAGAATGTCAGCCCCGCCTAGTCAGGCTGTCGAGTGTTAAAGCACTGTACAGGTACGGGCATTTAACATGGTTTGCCACAACGCATGCACTGCCCTTAAAAGGAAAGAGGCGCACGCGCAAATATTTATAGAATGGGTGACGTTTCAGGCAAATGTCCCTTCTTCCTCGCCGAGAGATGCTCTGGAAACTAAGCAGAGCAATCTGCCAGGTGGCTCAGTGGGAGAGGCTCGAAATCGGAAGGTTGAGAATTAAAATCCTGGTTGTGGGTCGACGCAGCCCATCATCTCTCCGGGAGTGTTGGGGTGGGGGGGTCGATAAAATTACTACCATTTTGTCGAGGACGTCAACAGTGATTAATTATCATATGAGATATTCGTCCCTGCCATATAACTGCTTTTTGTATTCAGTTTGTTGTCCTTCCCCTGCACCTACCATTAGCACGGTTGGCTACGTACGATACGAAAGAAGTTCAACATAAAATTGAAACGACAATTGACCTAAGCTCTCGAGTATAGAGTTTAATCATGCGTGGCTAAAACCCGGATTCGAACCCAGCCACTTAGAGGTGCTGTATATATTATAAAGGATGTTTTAGTTAACATTGTGCAATGTTGACAAGTGGCATTCCACAACGCGTAGCCACGACAGCGCTTAAACACACGAATCATTCGAATATTTTTAGGAACACCGTCGCGGAGAAGGGAGGGACGTTGATTCGTGGTGAGTTTGATTTCCGGCCACGGCTGACATCAGTGATCAAGTGATAACTAAACTGGTCATGGGCCACCTCTGCCACCCCCACGACACTTTAATTTTACTTGCACTGTCCAGCGTCCTGAAGTATGGTCAAACAACATCAGTGCGTATGTGTGAGCATAGCCTATGACCAAAATCACCGATCTCATCGTGTCTTATCCGACATAGGTTTACATAGCGCCTTATCGCAAAGCACTTTACAACAGCTATGCAACTGTACGTAAGATGATGGTGGTTGAAAGACATCGTAGGCTCAGCAGGTTTGAGCCTGGCGAGTGCATGAATGAGCCATCACCGTGCACAACAGGTTGTTATCGGCTGTGGAGATACGCGTAGCGCAGCAGACGGACAGTGCAGCGAAATCTATCGCATGTTCACCATTGGAACCTTTTGGTGTCATCTGGTCCAACCCATGTGAGACTAGGCTCTAAAAAAAGCTGTCTCGGGTGTGGACCAATCAACTTCAAGGACAGTGCACATTATCAGAGTTGTGTTTTTTGTTTGCATTATGACTGTAGGTATTGTGGTCTATGCAAACATGACTCCTTGTAAAAAAGGTGTCAGTTTTTTTGCCAGATAGAAGGGTAAAAAACCAATTATCTATCGCATGTTGTTTATTTCCCCCCCCCCCATACTCCACACCTTCAGCAATCTGCACCACTGACCAGCGTGGTGAAGTGCGGCCACACAGCCCACAATGATTGGCACGGCATGGGGAGGAGACGCTCAACCAGCAGTGGATTGGCAATAGCAAACCGTGGGTACTTGTACACCTGAGAGAATAGGAAGATGCTTACTCACGCTATTTTTACACACACCCGAATTCCGAACATTCCACCGTGCCGATGAATGAGCGAGCGAGTTGCATCGGTATGTATGCATGTAGGGTGAACTGATTTCGCACCCACCGCACGTAGCCAAACCGCGCGGTATGAACGTGGGATTGGGGCACCAGTAGCCAAAACATCACTGCAATGCATTTCTCAGTTTCAGTGTCAGCTGTGTTTACGGTCCGTGCTGATGCGGAATTTCAGGACACATGCAAAGAATTACGATTTCTCGCCGATAAGACAACGTAAAAAAACAAATCCGCGAGCCACCCTGTTCTGACCACGCCTGTTCTGACCGCCCTCAAGGTAAAACCTGTTCATGTACGGCACTCTGACAATCTACTGCTGTTTTTTTATTCTTTGGTTCTTTCGGTAAAGTCACGTATAAAGATAAAAAATGGTATATGTTATTATTTTATCTTTATACGTGACTTTACCGAAAGAACCAAAGAATAATTCCTGCAGTCACGAAAGCTCCAAAATTAAAATCTACTGCTGGTTGATGTGGGGCATTGTTTGACCATACTTCACCCACGCGGGCCAGTGCAGGCTGGTGAATCGGAGGGTCGGAGAACCAGGACCGGTTCGGATCTCACTCGCCACTGATGTTGGCCATGGCCGGGAATCGAACTCTGGTCACCAGTTTCTCGCGGCACAACGGGGGAGACGAGTTTCCGTGGGATCGCAGGACTCGTTCAGAATTCCAATATCACTCGTCGCTGGTGGTAGCCGTGACCGGGAAGTAAGCTCGCGTTACTGGGAACATCGCGTGGGTCCGCTAGCCAATGTGCTACCGCTCGCCTGATGATGACGATTATGACGATGATGTAAGACATATTGGGTCATGATGAGCGATGGGTGAGGTTTCCCCGCGACGAAAATGGTATATGTTATCTCTGATCTTAGGGCTGCAAAGGCAGGTTCCATTGTGAATTTGATTTATCTTAAACGTGGGCACAGACTGGAATATCGCCCTTTCTCCTTCTCCTGCCTACCCACGTTCCCTGGCGCATTACATAATCACTCGGGGTTGAAACGATGCACCATCCAATAAGCAAGCAGGCACTACCCAGGCTCAAACCCCGCTTAGCTTCCGCAATGTGACGATCTCGGGTGCATTCTAGGTCTTAGGCAATTGATGTCATCGGCAATTGATGGTACATACTATATATACACACACACACACGTGGCTTGTGCCTTCCTTGGAGTCAGCAAGACGCCTGGCTCGGACATCGAGCGCATCTCCCAGAGGCAGCTGTAGCTTTGCGTAATGAGCCACAGAAGCTCTTGAGTGGCTTTGGCGCCGTTCGAGAGGGATGATGTAAAATAGAATTCAGTGTCTCTGCTTCGCATCACGCTGAGGTGTACAACACACACACACACGCACGCACGCGCGCGCGCGCACATTGGCACACACAACCGTATCGAATGCCCGCCCCCGTGTTGTCTTTCACAGACTGTTGAGGCAAGCGCTGTTTGCGACCATCTATTATCAGCCGGCGAGGGGCACGAGGAGTTAGTGGTGTGGCTGCTAGCACCAGAGGTAGGTCCAAAAGAGGGGGGAAGAGGCCGATAAGGGAAATCCTTAACAGACTGTTGGGGCAAATGCTGTTAGCGAGCAGCGCCTATGAAGGCCGGAACGGTACACTAGGGGGTGGGTGGCCAGCATCACGCCCGACCGCCTTTGTCTCCCCAGTCGCAATGCTTACACATCGCACCAGGTACTCATTTGAGGCTGAGTAGACCTAGGGGAGGCCCAGGACCGGTTCAGATAATCGTCACTGGTGTTGGCCCCGAGCGGGAATCGCACTCGGGTCGCCTGGTTCGTAGCACAGCGCGCTAACCGCTACGCTACCGCTCCCCAGACACACAGAGAGACACACACACACACACAGAGACACACACATAGAGAGACACACACAGAGACACAGAGAAACAACGCCTCTGTGGCGAAGCATTATATATAGTGTCTCTCTCTCTGTGTCTGTGTGTGTGTGTGTTTGTCTCTCTCTCTCTCTGTCTCTCTGTGTGTGTCCCTCCCCGTGTCTGTGTGTGTCTCTCTCTCTGTGTGTGTCTCTCTCCGAGCTTGCATTATTTCACACCTGATGACGGTTTCTTGTGTTGCAATCGAAACGTCGTGTATTCTATTATTTATTTTATTTCATTTCTACGTGACTTTACCGAAAAATCCAAAGAGTAATTCACGAAAGCTTCAAATCAACCTGATATTATTTTGTTTCCACGGCGGGCAAATGTCATCACGGCGTGTTCTCTCCTTTGACAACCAAAGCCCACGTTTTTGATTTCTAAATTAGCTTGTTTGCCCGTCAAAGGACGGGTGTATATTGCAGTAAATCTGAAATATTCAATAGAAAAATTGTTCAGCTCATGATTATTAATGAGCGGGGTTGCCCCATGTGGAGTGACGTCACCCTTCATGGTTATTGGGGAGGGGTGCGGCATGTGGAGTGACGTCACTCGTTCACGATAATTAATGAGTGGGGGGGGGGGGCTCATGTGGAGTGACGTCACGCGCGGGACACACATTTTTGGCTCATTTCTTTATTTCTCTTTAAACAGTAAAATTTTGCTGCTTTTTTTTCATTTGAGGCTGCGACATAAATGACACATGGCTCACGGGGCTAGGCCTTAATGTGGAGAAATAAAATGTACGACTTCGATTGGATTTTTTTTCGGTGGGGGGGGGGGGGATTTTAAGATTGTAAGCATCGCAATTGACTTCTTGTCCACGGAGGGAAGAAACGGGAACGTGTCGCTGCTCCATGTGTGTCTATCGGCGGCAGCCGACGGCGAAATCGTTACCCCGGGGCGAGATGGGAGTCAATCGTGGGTGCGTTTGCACAGAGGGCCTCTTTGTGTCCGAGTCCCGCCCTGAATGCCAATCATGGACATTTGTCAAAAAAAATTGTTTTCATCGAAAGTTTTCCAGGTGTCACACTTATGTAGTGCAATTCGCTTAATTCCAAATGACTTGCGAGTACAAAAAGAGCCACAGATTTTGCCAAATGGAAGTGATTCTGTATGGAATATATCACACGTTCAAATCCTTCTTGGCTTCTGAGATCTGATGAGATCGCGCGTTTTTGAGAGTCATTTGGTCATAGGCTTGATAATGAACATGATGGATGTTTAATTACGATTTACAGCAAGTCCTACAATAGCAATCAAGTTGCTGCCTCGGTGAATTTGTACTTTAAATAGAAGGTTAGTTAGAACCAATCACAACAAGGGATTTTGTTGTTGTTTGCTGTCACAGGAAATAACGACATAATGCAGCTATTGATGTTTACAGAGAGAGTCTTAAAGATTCCTGGTAGGTGAGGTTTGGTTTCCAGCGTGGTGTCGTATTATGGGTGCACTGCGGCGAATTTTAACTCATCGGTGTACAACGTGAATTTGAACGCATTCCAGATTGTCTGGCAGAAGTTCGATGAAACCTCTCTCATTACGTACACGACCAGACGATGCCATACAGCAGGGCTATCGGCTGGCCAAATGAGACCCATTAAAATCCGTCGTGACGAACGGCACTGCGATTATGAGTCCACATTTCGAATCGCCAAAGGCAGCCATAGCGAGTGCATCCCTGCTTTTTCGCCACGCTTGGAATGAAATGGGACTCTGCGGTGCATTGATTGCTCCTGTTGATTGTGACGCCAAATGTGTAGACGCGTACGCGGGCCATCAGACCACACGCAACTCGTAAGTATTCGCAACAAGACAAAGATCTACCGCGCCCCCCTATAGCCTTAACAGACTCTTGGGGAAAGTGCTGTTAGGGAGCACCTATGAAGAAGGGTCGTATCTAGCTATATATTTATATCCTCTTCTTGGTTCTTTCGGTAAAGTCATGTAGAAGGGAAGTAATAATAATTATTATATAATAATATTATATAATAATTATATAATAATTATTTATTATGTTATTACTTTATTACTTCCCTTCTATATAATAATTATTATGTTTTATTTTTATTATTTTATTACTTCCCTTCTACGTGACTTTACCGAAAGAACCAAGAAGATGAATCCCTGCAGTCACAAAAGCTTTAAATCGATATTTATATCCTCTGTGTGTCTGTGTTGTGTGTCTCTCTTTGTGTCTCTGTGTTGTCTCTCTCTCTCTCTGCTTGTGTGTCTGTCTGTGTGTCTCCGTGTCTGTGTTTTGTTCTCTCTCTCAAATGTAGAAGTTCACTAGGTTTGTTTTCTACCTGATGACGACTATTTCTGTTGCAATAGAAACGTCGTATTCTATTATTTAATTTATTTTCTTTCTACGTGACTTTACCGAAAGAACCACAGAGTATATATTTATAATGTAAATATTTACTTTCCAGACAATACTTAATCCATTACAGGATGGACGAAGCCCACATTCTGTGTCAGTCACGAGGGTTATATTTGAGTGCAGAGGACGGTGGCAAGCGAGCCAGAAGGCCCGAGGGACAAGCCTGGCGATGCAACGGCAGCCAAAGGAGGGAAACACGAAACCGGGAGAGGCCGACGGACGCCCACCGCGGCGGAGATGGAGCGACGAAATGTCACGCACGTGTGTTGAACCTCTTTCGCACCGCACGTCGCCGATCGGAATCGGTTCATGTGCGGGAGCGAGGTGGATAGTGGCTCGGCGAGACCACGTGATGCGCCTGCTATTCTGCCCGCTGAGCGCAACGCGGCAGGCGCGTCGGGCAAGTGGCGTGTGCACAGCAGTCACCCGCGAGTGGACAGCGCCGCTCCACACAGAGATCGCTCTCCTGCGTCCAGATCGATAACTGCGACACTCAGCAGGGGCTCCGGACCATTGCATCCATCAACTCAACGCGTTTGAAGTTGCCTCTCCGTTCTTGGCCGGTTTCCTTTTGGCCTCCCCGGATCACATTTCCCCCCCTTTGAATATTGTTTTTTAATAAGCATTTTTTGGCATTGTGGTATGGTAAAGGTACAGGTGAAGTGCTTGCAATTGGTTGCTCACGCCACTCCTGGCAGAGGGGCCTCCACTACGGAGGGCTCCAGAGAGCCCCTCTTGGTGGTGTTTTGGCCTCCTCTTCCACGCTCGTGCGGCGACTTTAACGTGAACGTAAGTAGACGGTGCGCGGGTTGACAAGATGAGTCGTAGGTTTGGCATTGGAGTGAGGAATGATAGAGGTGAGCGTCTGCTCGAGTTCTCAGCCAGAATAAAAATTACACTCGAGAATAATGTACCACTTTCTAAAAAGAAGGAATCTGGAATAGCCCACATTGACAAATGATGAATGCTACCGACGTGATTCTACTAGACAAACCACAGATTGTATTATGTTGAACTTCTTTCGCACCGTACGTAGCCAACCGCGCAAATTGGAGATTGTCAAAGATGCAAGTGTCCTCCGCAGAATTAACACGGGGAGCAATCGTAGCCTGATGCAGTGGCATTACAGATTTATACCCACATTGTTGTTTGACTGTATACACGTAAGTATATTTTCACACATGTCACTTTTACATGGACCTTCCACACGTAGTTCACATTTTTTTGCACAGTCCAAACCGTGTCAACGCGATTGCGCGTTTCCGACAGCAGAGAGAGAGACAAAGACGGATGAGAGGGCCCGCTAATGAGAGTTTATGGAACAAGCAGGAATTGCGGGGATGGCGGTTCACGTGGTGGAGGCAGGGCGGTGCGGGGCGAGTGAGCTTGCCAAACGGTGGTGCCAGCGAGGTCGATACACCAATCAGGGCAAGATTGGAATGTGTGGACTCCTCCTTCTGCTTCCCAGAGCGCGATGGCAATAATCAACATCTGACGTGTGAGGTTTGGATGGGGGGCAGAGGGGAGGGGGGCAAGAGGCGATAAATTAATTTATTAGAATGGTAAAGGAGCCCTCGGCAGCCAGTACGCACTATGGGTGAGTTTGAATTTCAAAAATGAGGATTTTAAAGGACAATTTTGGATCTATTTCGGGTGAATGTTCATGGTGTACGAACGTCAATTGTGTTTCGTGCTAACAAGAGCGACCTCGTCCGATGCAACGTGACACCACATTTCTCCTGTAAAAGCGTGGACGTGACTTTTCTATCGCTTCCGATTTTGGGGCTCAATCTACAGGGAAAAGTCACGCATGCGAGGGGGCAGCACTCGATCCCACACAGAAGGGACAGATGATATCAGTTCACACTTTGCTGTGCCGCATTCTGCGGGCGAGTGAGAGTATTGCACCTCGATGCTCATGTTGTCATTTGTCCCAGCCACCAACTCTCCCTGCCTCCTGCACAGTGCCGGATTGCTGGCGAGCGCCAATGGTTACATCTCGCATATTTTTAAATCCTTTATATTAAGTTCGCTTGCTTGCTTGCGTGCGTGCTTGCTTACGACCGTGCAAATCTTTCGGTCGTTTTTTAACCCACTTCCCGTGATCCAATCGAGCTGACATTTTGCACACAGACTCGTTGTGCGAGACAATTAATGTTCGTGAAATTTTTTCCCCAAAATTTTACACTGTTTAGGGAAAACAAATTAAATATTTAATTACCAATTGCTTAATACTGGCAGACAATCATCTGACCCATAGGTGGCAGCCATCTCAAGCCAGAGGACGAGAGGACTCTAGCCGCCATGCATATAAAGGATTTATAGTGAAAAACTTAGTTTTTACTGGTTATACTTATTCTTGGTTCTTTCGGTAAAGTCACGTAGAAGGGAAATAATAACATAATACAAATAAAACATTATAAAATAATTCTCGCGACGTTTCGGCCACAACGCAAGCAGCCCTCCTCGGGTGAAGAACAGGTCTGTCGGAAAGACCGAAATAACCAAGAAGATGAATCCCTGCAGTCACGAAAGCTTTAAATCCAAACATATCGCATATTCATACTGGAGGATGCCTGCAGCCAATAATGATGATGGCTCACTAATTGAGACGTGGCTTTAATTTTCAATTTAAAGCTTCCGTGGCTGCAGGGATTCATATACAGTACGTGACTTTACCGAAAGAACCAAGAATATTAGTCATGGCTATTAATAGAGCTCAGCCTTTTTCGAGATTAATTTACCAAGGTTCCATTGAATGCCACGTCTCATCCGTGGCGCTAGTAAAACGCGTGAATAAATCAACCTCCTTTCTGTCTCTCCACGTAAAAATAAAATACGGTTTAGTCCATATCCCTAAAGACAGTCCGTACACCATTAAATTACCCAGCAGCCTTCATTTCAGCAAACTCTGAGCAGATAGTCATTTGAGGCTGAGTCGACCTAGGCGAGGGCCGCAGGACCGGTTCAAATATTCGTTGCCATCAATCACGAGTGGGAATCGCGACTCGCGTTTTCCGGATTCGTAGCGCAGTGCTCCAACAACTGCGCCACCGCTCCCCACAATGTGCCTAGCCACTGCATGCGCCACTGGAGGTATGCACTTTTAAATCTACATTGCAAATTTATTTCTTTCGAATTGTTTTTTTGTGTTCTGTTTGTTGTCCTTCACCCGCACCGCCGATTAGTTCGGTTGGCTACGTAAGGTACGAAACAAGTTCAACAGACGCACACGTGGATGTGATGTGTGTGCAGACGGGGAGCGGTGGTGTAGCGGTTAGCGCGCTGCGCTACAAACCCGGCCACCAGAGTTCGATTCGCACTCACGGCCAACACAGTAACGATTATCTGAACCGGTCCTGGGCCTCCCCTAGGTCGGCTCAGTCTCAAATGAGTACCTGATGCGGTGTGTTAAGCATCTCTACTGGGCATACGAAGCCGTTTGGGCGTGGTGCTGAACACGCACTCCCTCGTGCACCGTGCTCGCAAACAGCACTTGCCCAAACAGCCTGTGAAGGCTATACGGGGTGGGGGGGGGGGGTCTTTGGCTTTGTCTTTGCAGACGGGTGCACTGGTCCTATCGTTGCCTAAACGAGTTAAATATATCCCACGCCGGGCGTGCGTTCAGAGTGAATAGGTAAATATATAAATAAATGAGCCATCTCACAGCCACGAAGCGTCGAGTTTCCGCGGAGGCAATTCATTCTCGCCGAGGCGTGGAAGCGCGCCGCGCTTGCGTCTCTCTCCGTCTCGGTCTAGACCCCAGCTAGACGAACCCTCCTCTGCCTCTCTCGCTCTCTCTCGCACGCCTACCCCTCCACTCACTCGCCTACCCTTCCCCCCCACGCCTACCCCTCCACTCGCCTCAAGCACAATCACCGTCATCTGGGAGTGTCTCGTCACTTGTTCGTTCTCACCGTTGGTAGCCGCGATGTGAGTATCGTTGGGCAGGTGGAATTTACAAATATTAAACGCGTTCTCTGTGTTCTCTGTATCTTCTGTATACATTGTATGGTATTTTTTAATTATTACACATTTTTTTCTTCGTCATTGCTTTCTAAATTGATTTTTTCATGGATCTTTTTAACTTAACACAGTCATTTCAAATAGATAAGAAAATAATTGTATCGCTAATTTAAGACGTTTTAATACGGTTTGTAAATATACAACCACGGTTCTATGTAGGATGCACAATAGAGTACTTCGTAATGATTTATCCTTCCATACTCAAATATAATTCTAAAGTAAAGTGACAAAACATTGCATGCCCATACATATACACATATAAATACAAGTGTTATATATTTACCCTTTAGCTCTGAGCTTTATAGCTTATCGGATTCCTCCAGTCTAAATACATATTCTGATTCAACACATCACGTGCGCTCGTGTCTGCTGATGCTGCTGCTACTGCTGCTATTCCTACTGCTGCTATCACTGTTACTGCTGCTGCTATTACCATTGCGCTGTTACTGCCGCTACGTATCGCTGCTACTCAAGCTGCCGTTACTCATCTGCTGTTACTGCTGCTGCTGCTGTTGTAGTAGGAGTTCCTACTGCTGCTACATACATACATTCTACGTGTATATGTCTTCTCTTTAGCACTGAGCTTTGAGCTCATTCATTCAGTGCGCTCTGGTTTGTTTCTACCGCTGCTGCTACCGCTGCTGCAGAAGCAGTTGCTCCTGCTGCTGCTGCTGCCGCTGCTGGTCGTGATACAGCTACCGCTGCTGCTGCTAGTACTACTGCTGCTACTGCTACCGCTGTTGCTAGTGCTACCGCTGTTGCTAGTGCTACCGCTGTTGCTAGTACTACCGCTGATATACTACCGCTGCTGCTGATAGTACTACTGTTGCTAGTGCTACCGCTGGTAGTACTACCGCTGATATACTACCGCTGCTAGTGCTACCGCTGCTGCTGATAGTACTACCGCTGCTGCTGCTACTGCTGCTGCTGCTAGTGCTACCGCTGCTAGTACCACCACCGCTGCTACAACTACCGCTGCTAGTGCTGTCGCTGCTAGTACCACCACCGCTGCTACAACTACCGCTGCTAGTGCTACCGCTGCTGCTGATAGTACTACTGCTGCTAGTGCTGTCGCTGCTAGTACTACCGCTGATATACTACCGCTGCTAGTGCTGCCGCTGCTGCTGCTGCTAGTACTACTGCTGCTAGTGCTACCGCTGCTAGTACCACCACCGCTGCTACAACTACCGCTGCTAGTGCTGCCGCTGCTGCTGATAGTACTACTGCTGCTAGTGCTGCCGCTGCTAGTACCACCACCGCTGCTACAACTACCGCTGCTAGTGCTGCCGCTGCTGCTGCTAGTGCTACCGCTGCTAGTACCACCACCGCTGCTACAACTACTACCGCTGCTAGTGCTGCCGCCGCTGCTGGGGCAATGAAGTGGCAGGCGGTGCTGGTGCTGCTGGCCGTGGTGCTGGTGTACCTGGTGGCAGGTGCTCTAGTCTTCCAAGCGCTGGAGCAGCCGTTTGAGATGAGCCAGCGCTCGTCCATGAACGCCGAGAGGGTGGACTTCCTCGTCAAGCACGAGTGCGTGAGCCGACACGAGATGATGTCCCTCATACAGGTGAGCAGTGGATGAATGAGGAGATGGAGGCGAGTGACGACGTGGAATTGGTGCTGTGTGTTGTGTTGCCGTTACCACGCACCTCCTGATTAGCACGGTTGGCCGCGTACGGTGCGAAAGAAGTTCAACGTAACGTGCACGCGACTCCACGCCAAGCTGTGTGAGGTCCTGTCGCCTGAGCCGAGCGTGAGCCTGGTTCGTATTTGCACGGGCGACTGCCTGAGAAGCCCTCTGGGGTCGTTTGTATGTTGTCCGCAAGGTGGCCAGGAGATGGCAGTGGGGTAACCGATTATTGCATCTGTCCGTGCGGCGCTCTGCGTGTGTTATCAGGTCGCGTGCGACGTGTTTGGGGGGGTGGGGGGTGCCTCCGGCTTCTCCCGGTTCCGTCGCGCATGAAGCCAAACGCCCATTGATGGATGTAGCCACCGAGTATCCGCCATGTAGGTAGCGGGAACCTTCCGACAAAGAGTCCAGAGACTGCGTGAGGCTTTCCTTGGTTAAAGGGTTCGCGGTGGAGCAGTGGGTGCATTGTTGATGGTCGCGTGCACCATCAAACCCAGCGAACCGAGTTTGCTCCCCGACCACGGCTAACACCGATGGCGAGTGATATTCCAATCAGACCTGCTCCCCCCCCCCCACACCTCTCCTCCAACACACGTTAACGAGACTGGCGAAGTATGGTCAAACAAACCCCACGACCAACACACAGCATGGGGAGGCCTTCATCCAGCAGTGGATGAACATTCGGATTACAATTAGTATTCATTTGAGTTATTGGATTGATTGAACTTGTCAGTACCACGCAAGGTGGCAGAACGTGTTGCGGTACTACCCTCCTGTATTGATATAGCCAGCCGCAGTGAACCACGTGACACGCCTAGAAACTTTTCAAATGAATGGGGCTATCACATCATTAACTTTTACTGCCCATAAAAATACATTATTAGGCCTGCCAGTGACGTTTGGCCACCTAGGATGCTAATGATCTTTGCTCCTGCTGAAGATTGTCCAATCAGTCTTCCCGTTTCCAACGAGTAACTGGAGTCATACTTTGGTCAATACGAACGTGAAATACATTTGGTAATTGCCACCACGACCGTGTCCAAAACTAATTTGTATTCATAAAGCCGTGGTACCCGTGGCACGCCGAGCGCGTGGGGAGTAGCGGCAGGGATACAATTGACGTGGAAAGAGCAACGGGGGGAATTGAAGGGATGTCGGGACAAAGGTACCCAAGATGGACAAAGAGGGTGGTACGGCTGAAGATGAGCAGCAGGGAAAGAGAAGGAGGAGAGAGGCGTAGGAAAGGGAGGATAAGGGCAGAAGGAATTTATGTAAGGGGACGTCCATAAATTACGTCACGCACCTAGGGGGGGAGGGGGGTCAGACATTTGTGACGATGTGTGACGATGAAAATGAATATAGACAACACGTTCTACTTAATTAAATAGACTTTTTAATAAATGTTTGCTCCTACAACATCAGAGTGCAGCACCACATTAAATACGCACTACAATGACAATAGTTTAAAGCGATTTGAAGCATGTTTTATTTGGGGGGGGGGGGGCAGAGCTTTATGGCGTCATATTTGAGGGGGGGTCTGACTTTTGTGACGTCGTGTGACGAAGGGGGGGGGGGGGGTCAAAAATTGTCCAAAATAGCGTGACGTCATTTATGGACGGCTCCTAAGTATGAAAAATAAGAATAGGTTTTACGCTTTCTGGCAATAAAACGGGTGTTGAGATGTTCAAACACCAAACAGAAACCCTTTGCAAGGAATCAAGTTCGCATTAACCACACACACTCGTTGTGGTGAAAATGTAAACACACATGCTCTGATAATTATATATGGCATCGTCTTTGAAACTGATTGGCCTACACCAGGGCCTCGTCTCACCAGTGTCAGACCACAAGCATACGTGTGGCTGATGCGAACATGATTCCTTGAAAAAGGTTTATATTTGCTGTTTGAAACTTCTTAACACCTCCTGTTTTATTGCCAGAAAGGGTAAAACCTATTCTTATCTTTTCATACTTTGATACTCGCAAAAAAAGCGTCCGTTTTTTAAATTAATTTACGTATGTATTAATTCTAGATTTGAAGCTTTCGTGACTGCAAGGATTCATACTTTTAGGCTTTTTCGATAAAGTCACGTAGGTAAAAAATAAAAATAAAATTAATAGAAGTAATAATATAAATAATAAATGACGTATGTATGTTCGAACTTCTTTCGCACCGTACGTAGCCAACCGTGCTTATCGGTGGTGCAGGGGTGGGGACAACAAGCTAAACACAAAAAAGCACTTCTAGAGAATTGAATGACCCGGCCAAGATATCTGGAATGAGAGGGAAGGAAAGAGAGGGGCTAGAGTAAAGAAAGGAGCAAGCAGAGAAGTGAGCCTCAGTCTGGAAACTGATTTAATTCATTAGCTCTCACGATCCAAGGCCTTGATATAACAACCAAAAATATCTAGATGTCATCAAAACCATTTCTAAAATTGGGAGCAGCTGTGTTGAGACTGCATCAAGAAAACAAAAATACAAATCACGAGTCATGCAAGGAAATGCGCTCTCACGAAGGCTACATTTCAACAGAGAAATGGGAAGCATTCGAGTTAACGATGTTACATCCAGGCATGGTGACCGGGTGGAGACCCTAAGAGGTGGGGTAGACTGTCAGGACAGCTCTCGGGGGTCGTCGCTGCGTTTCTCGACCGTTGTGGTCGCGATGGTGAGGGGGGCATCAGCGGCTTTGGCCGTGATGACGTCTTGATCCCGAACGCATTAACCGTGTCACATTTTCTCTACGGCAGTCGTTAGTCTTCTTGGTTCTTTCGGTAAAGTCACGTAGAATGGAAATAATAAAATAACAAAAATAAAACATTATGAAATAATTATCACGACGTTTCGGCCACAACGCAAGCAGCTGTCCTCAGGTGAAGAACAGGTCTGTCGGGGGGAAGACAGCGTCTGAATGGGCACGACCATGCTTGGCAGCGTATATTTAAGCTGGGATGGAGGGGGGAAGAGGAGCACCTTGACAAAATAATTTGCATATCAAGAGGAATTTAGCATATTTATGGGAAATTCATTGTGTCGCCGGGCATTTCTGTGTATTAATCCGCATTCATCTCCGCATCTGTTTGTGTCCGCGGCACATCCACGCACACGCAGCACGTGAAAGATGCCATCAGCGCCGGCGTGGACCCTCTCGCCAACAACACGAACCACAGCAGCAGCCTGTGGGATTTAGGAAGCGCCTTCTTCTTCGCCGGGACGGTGCTCACCACGATAGGTGAGAGCGACTCGGCACGCCTTCCTTCGCAGGCACCGTTTCCAACATTGGAACGAATCTGGCGTGGGCCCTCTAGCCAACCGTTCATGAACAACAGCAGCAGCCTGTGGGATCTAGGAAGCGCCTTCTTCTTCGCCGGGACGGTGTTCACCACGATAGGTGAAAGCGACTCGGCACGCCTTCCTTCACAGGCACCGTTTCCAACATTGGAACGAATCTGGCGTGGGCCCTCTAGCCAACCGTTCATGAACAACAGCAGCAGCCTGTGGGATTTAGGAAGCGCATTCTTCTTCTTCTTCTTTGCCGGCACCGTGCTCAACCACGATAGCTGAGAGCGACTCGGCACGTCTCCTTGACAGACTTGACAGACAGACACGTTCCACATTCAAACACGACGACGACAACAACACAAATCAAAGCCTCACTTGATACAGCAAATCTGGCTGTGACGGTCCCACCTGATGACGGAGACTTGTGTTGCCTCCGAAACGTCGTGATTTTTTTATTATTTTATTTTTTTATTAATTTTAATTTCATTTTTTACCTACGTGACTTTACCGAAAAAAAAAACTAAGAGTATGAATCCTTGCAGTCACGAAAGCTTCAAATCTAGAACAAATCAAAGTATTTCTGAACACGGCCCATCGGCCGCCACGGCATTTTAGCCCCGGTGATTCGAGACAATCGCCAACAACTGCAGAGCTGTTTCGACGCACAGTGTTTCTTGAATCGACGCTGGTGAACTGCCGATTGTGCAGGTTTACGTTAAGAGCAGCTGCTCAGGCGAGGGGCAGTCTGACCAACATGGTCACTGTTGGTTAGACGTCATGGTCACTGCTGGTTAGATGTCGTGGTCATTGGTTAGAGGCGGTGGCCCAGCAGGAGTGCATTTGCCGCCCGTTGCAGAGGTTAGCGGTTCGAATCCATCGACTGCCCTGGTTATTACTGTGGGCCAACTTTGGCATGTGGTTGGAACCCTTGGACCAGCAGCGTGGGCCCCACTGTGACCCAAAGTTCCTCGTTTACTCGCCAGCAGGCACTTCTTCACACTTCTCTGCGCACTTTTCTAAACTAAAACTATTAACGCATATGTTTTTATTTTACCAGGTAAGGCCCACTGAGAAATGTAGCTCTTTTTCAGAAGCGTGCTTGGCCACAAATGATAGCTCAACGAGGTGGTTTATCATGCGGAAATTTTATAGCAGCAAAATACTCTGAGCGCATGTTTCTAAATGTGGAGGGAAAAACTGGGGGACCCGGAGAAAAAAAAAACACAAGACCACGGAGAGAAAATGCAAACTTCAGATACACCGGCTTTAGGGTCGGGATCGAACCCACAACCTCCTGTATACCAGGTGGGGTACTTAACATCTCGGCACCGTGGCCAGATGTTTTCAGCTGTTTTTACATTTCCTTTGCTAACATTCATGTTTCTGATCCATATTTCACAACAGATAATATCCATCTTCTTGGTTCTTTCGGTAAAGTCACGTAGAAGGGAAATAATAAAATAATACAAATAAAACATTATAAAACGTGACTTTACCGAAAGAACCAAGAAGATGAATCCCTGCAGTCCCGAAAGCTTTAAATCGAAATTTAGATAATATGCATTGATAATTGTTTTCTCTCTAGGTGCATATGTGGGTGGCTTTTCATTATTACGTTCCGCTTATCGCACACGCCACGGAGAAATCGATCCTCATCCTTAAAACAAAGTAAATATTGGCGGGCATCCGCTCGGTAGTATTTTTTAACGCACAAAACTCCAGGGATGTGGAGAAAAGCGCTGTCAAACCCACAAAAATAACATTTTCTGAGTGCCACGGCTATAAACATTTATGACAGTTGCAAACTCACGCTGGTGAATGGCTATAGGATAATGTGGAGCCATTGAGTTGCTCTTCCATGTTAAATCTCATCGCCACGTGGCGTAAATGCACACATTTCTCCAACAAGGTGCTATGAGCACTTTACGCTTTCTAGAACTACGCTTTAACCCTGGAGAGTGCAATGCCTGCATCCGGTGTGTTTTGTAGAAGCATTTATTTCCCCCGTGTGCAAAGACATTTGTGAGTACGTGTATTCCCACATGCACAGAGGAAGCCCAGCATCCGGACCACAAATCGTTACCCATTGCCCACAGATAATGAAGGTCAAAATTAGGCTAATTCGAAATTTACCCGAAAGTCACTCAATTAGAGTCAGTTTGTAATCACCAGAGAAACGCCACAGCGCTCGAATTGTCAACGTTGTCGGTTTAATCTCCAACACACAACCGGTGTGCCGAAGTAGTAACCAATTGGCAACGTTTTGTTACCATGACAAACCTTACTAATTGGCCGCGTCGGGTGGTGGCAGGTTTAGTGGCACATTTATTTTTACGCAATCTAACCCCAAAAAAACCCTTTTAATATGGATAATATTGGTCGCGAAAGACTACGTGTTAAAATACTCAATGGGAATTATGCACAGCAATCATCGCCGCCTACAGACAGACCAATGCCCCAGGTCACTCTTGCAAGTGCGACTCAGCCGTCTCTGGAGTTCTCACCACGTGGTGAAATAAAATAAACTTGAAAAACGCAACTTGAACCTCCCTTTTGCTAATCCACTGCTAGATGCAGGCCTCCCCATGCTCTGTTGGTCGAGGTGGGGGGGGGGTCATTTGACCATACTTCACCATGCTGACCAGTGGTGGTGAGTGAAAAGGGAGAGGTTCAGGATTGGTTCAGATATCACTAACCACTGATGTTAGCCAGCGCCTGGAATCAAACTCAGGTTGACATATTTGTAGGTATGTACGTTGAACTTCGTTCGCACCGTACGTAAACCAACCGTGCTAATCAGAGGTGCGATGCGGAGAAAGAACAACAATAATTTCTAAGGAAATGAGTTTTAAATCCACGTTTAAAAGTACATAACTCCAGTGGCTTCCTGATATCGGAAGGGAGAGCGTTCCAGACGGCCGCAGGAGCGCGTCTGAAGGCGCGCGATGCGGCGACGACGGTCTTTGTTCGATGGCCAGCCAAGAGCTAGCCACGTAACCACCGCTCACTCGTGATCCCCTTACTCATAAATCAAACGGAAAGCACCAGCGTCCCGACCGCAAGCTGGACCCCCATGCCACCCACAATTAAATGCGCGAATGGTCACGTGGAAGTGGCACGCAGCGGACCGCTTCTTGCAGTGCCCGCGCTGTCGGGCGAGCGCGGAGAAAGATGTCCGCGGGTCACGTTTTTCTCGAGTTACCACGCCGCGTGTTGGGTGTCGTAGCGGTGGTAATGGTGGGCTCGGCATTCGTCCGAGATGACGGACGATGATTCGTGGCGACTGCTTCCCTGTCAACCCACCCGTATTCTTGTGCAGGGAAATTGAGCTTTTAGGTCCGTACGGTGTACAGCCGTTCCGATACGGGCAATTTAATTTAAGTTGTTTTGTCTATTTGTTTGTGTTTCTCCCATGTGATGGGACTTTGTAGGATGAACGTTGAGATTGATAAGGGCACTGGGTGACCAATAAGGTCTGAATTGGTCTGTAATAAGGTAGGCACTGATAAGGGGTTGACAGGTTTGTGACTGCGCACCCTTCAGATGGCAACACACCTTCGCAATGGTATAGCGCGATCCGTTTGTAGATACCCCACTAAAATAATCGGGAGAAATTACCACAGTCCTGTACGTATGGGGAGAATACTATTTAAATTAAAAGCCTCGACACATCGCCCACCGATCTCAATAACAACGTAAATTACTATATATATTTTTTTTAACTCTCGCCGGATGTACTTTGTCCAACGTAGCCACTGTGAATTGCTTTACAAGCCTTCCGTGATGACGACACTTACGCCGAGGTCACCGATATCTTGCGGCACACACACACAAACACAAAGACAAAGATCCCCCAGTGAAGTTTTAACAGACTGTTGGGGCAAGTGCTGTTAGCGGGTAGCTCCCATGAAGGCCGGCATGGCACACGAGGGGGTGGGTGGCCAGCACCTTTGTCTCCCCAGTGGCGATGTTTACACACTGCACACCAGGTACTCATTTTAGGCTGAGTCGACCTTGGGGAGGCCCAGGACCGGTTCAGATAACCGTCGCCGGTGTTGGCCGTGAGCGGGAATCGAACACGGGTCGTCGGGTTCGTAGCGCAGCGTAGCGATCACCGCTACACTATCGCAGCACGCGCACACACACACACACAAGGTCTTTGACCTGGCCCTTAAAAGAGAAAATATCCAGAGGCGAATGCTGGGGCAATGCGATTGCTCCATCTCCGACGAAAAAAAAACAATCGAAAAACGTCTCCTCCCATAACACCCACGCGTCACGGCACGTGGGACCCAGGTTCAACCGATTTAGCACGTGGGGGCATTCACAACGCTCCACATGGAATCGTAGAAGCCCTGGAATGAGGCCCGTGTCTGTAAGTTCATTTCCTCTCTGCGGAAACATTGGTAGCGTAATAATAGAATCCGGTTCATGTGCGTGGTGTTCTGAGTAGCGCCAGTATAGCGTGTACCATCATAACCCTGGCAGATTCTGACAACTGGGTTTATGTCAATGGATCACTCTGTACATCTGTAATGCTGCTAGTCTTTAATGCAATAACTAAACGCCGATTGCTTCGTATGTCTGTAGAACACACCGCAGATGTGTTTATCATTCCTCCGACTGTTACATTCTTAATTTATGTACGAGCGGCAGTGTGCAGCTGTTACGACTATATTTAAGGATTTCAAAAATAAATCTTAATCTTTATTTTTCATTCGCAGAGTAAAACGATACGCAGCTGGCAAACAAGCTACACTTTTTCGAGCGCATATACAAGTCGTGAGCACAAGCGATGATTGTCTTTCGTGAACAAGATATTTTCCTTTTTGATATATATGTGTAAGAAAACGGAATTTCTTGGACGCTTGCACACATTTATACTTTTTCTTTTTGAAATCCCAGGATTATTTTTTCACACCTTGTCGTTAAGTGGCAAGCACCGGCGTGACCCCATCTTGACCAGACGATGATGTTACTTCGCACAGACTGGAGCCAAACTCCACGGCGGTATCGCAAAGTTCCACGGCCGACACCCACCCCTGGCGATCAGCGTGTCTCTACCGCTCTATTTTTATATATATATAAGAAATGTGGGGCACATTCACACTCATGGCCAGATGGCACGGGGTGGCCCAAGGTGGCCGAGACTGTCTGGGCTTCAGCGTAAATTATTATCCCTTTCATGTGCCCCTCTGCCCCCTGACCCCTGCTCGCAGACCTCTGCCCTTTCAGTTTCAAATGTCCGCGTGCCCCTTTAAAGCTGACAGCCACACAGTTGCGAGTGACCAGTTTGTCCAAGTGTTCACTCACTGTCCCCTGGCTTATGGAGACCTCTTGCTGCGGTGATTGGGTGGATTAGGATACCAGCGTGCGTCGGCGCTGGCACCGTCGATATCTTGGGTTTAAATTTGTGGTTCAACCGCCCTTGGTTAAATCAAGTTGTCAAGCGGAACGAGTTCATGGTCTCAGTGCTCTCTCGCCAAAAAACGGAGGATCTTCGAGATGGCGAACGCAGCCCGGAAGTTGATCTTGGGATTGGATCGGGAGCCGGTGGAGGGAGCATAGTGCGGTGTTGGGGGTGGCTTGCTCACCACATTTGCTGGCGTGGGTGAGCAATCTGGCGGCAGCGTTTTGAATCGTCGTGGATTCATGAGGGATTTGGTGAGGCCGTAGTGGACGAAAAGGTTGTAGCAGTCACTGGCGTCGCTTGGGTCACTGGTGCAAGGAATGCAATGGGGCCCCTCGTGTCCCATCACTGCGCGCACTTCTACCGATACAGGCCGAGGTTCCTTGATGTCACGTGAGCAGGTCACATGACACCCCCGGTGTCATTCGCTCCCCCCCAAGACTAAAGAACTTGACATTGGTGCCCCTCCCGAGTCTGCCAGCACTCCAGGCCAATTTCCTATGTTGCCTAAAGCTGGAACTGCCAGGGCCCCCAAGCCATCATCGTAGCCTGGCACCTGGGCCCCGCCAACCCGTGGGCCCCGGTGCAGTTACACCACCTGCACACTCCGCACCTCCGGTGCGAAAGAAGTTCAACATCTTCTTGGTTCTTTCGGTAAAGTCACGTAGAATGGAAATAATAAAATAATAAAAATAAAACATAATAAAATAATTCTCACGACGTTTCTTTAAATCGAAGTTCAACATGCACACACTCGATACTTGATCCGTCGTCGGCGATGATGACGCCGACGATTTGAGGGCGACAAAAAACGATGACGACGGTTGACGACGGTCACGATCGATTATTCCGTGTTCGCGTCCCTCCGTGTCGTCGCCAGGCTACGGCAACGTGTCGCCCAGCACGGACTGGGGCCGCATCTTCTGCACGGCGTACGCGCTCGTGGGCATCCCCATCTTCGGCTTCCTCCTCGCCGGCGTCGGCGACCAGCTGGGGACCATCTTCGGCAAGGCCATCGCGCGTGTCGAGAAGGTCTTCATGGTGAGCCCCCTCCTGCTGTGACGCTCCTCCATAACGTCACCCACTCATAACATCGGCATTCCCTACTTTCTTGAATCGTGTTGTTTATTCATACTGGAGGAATCCGATGAGCTACTAAGCTCTTTATCAGAGATGTCCAGTAGTTTTCACAGATGAGCGTTTTCCTCTATGGTGGCCTTTTGGCGTCATCTGGTCGAACACCATATGAGACTAGGCTCTAAAGAAAGCTGTCTCTGGTGTGGACCAATCAGTTTCAAAGTCAATGCATAAATTATCAGAGTACTATTTTTTGTTTGCATTTGACTGCAAGTATTGTGGTTAATGTAAGCATGATTCCTTGCAAAAGGTGTCAGTTTTGTTGCCAGAAAAAAAGGGGAAAACCCTTATTAGTAATAATACTTTTGTTCTAATTGTACTCTCTCGTATTCTCGGCCCGTGCGTGCGCGCGTGGGCATTTGTTCGCCGGCCTCCAGAAGTGGCACGTGAGCGCCACGTGGATCCGGGTGATCTCCACGATCATCTTCATCATGATGGGATGCGGCCTCTTCGTGGTGCTACCCACCATCATCTTCATGCACATCGAGCTGTGGACGCCGCTGGAGGCCATCTACTTCGTGGTCATCACGCTCACCACCATCGGCTTCGGAGACTACGTGGCAGGTGGGAACGCAGAGGGCTTTTGCTCCTCACCGAACGCTCACCGGGGCCCCGCTGGGGTACGGCACGTGGATCGTAGCCGTGGTAACGCTGCAAAACGTAGGCACTAGATTTAACCCCCCGACCCCCCCCCTTCCTTGATCTATCGGACCCAGAAGCAAGAAACTATTAATCACGTACGGTCACCACATTGTCTTATGCAATAGATACATAGATAAATAAATACATGGTTGTGCATTTCATTCAGTATAATTTGAACACAGCCACAATGGTATTTGAAATTAATTGCAAAGGTCCGTGATCTGATCAACAGTCTTCACGTGGTCGATTGTAGAGAAACCTTTCCCAAACCCTGCCTGCTCCCGTGGTCGGCTGGCATCTAGTGATCATCATTGTTCTGTCCCCCAGTTGGATGCAACTGGGAGTATCTGATGCATGGTTCTTGAGTAATATCATGGGCACAGCTGAATGGAAGGCCATGATCGCCTGCGTCTTTGAGAAAGGACGTGGCACGTAGAGAAAGGGAGTGTGCATTTCAATTAATCTCAACGCACGTCTTTGTGGGACGGTACGATTAATCTTAATCCACTCGGAGAGAAACTTCCCACATCGTGACAAACAACACGTGTAACTGAACGACAACGCATCGGAGAGCAAAGCGTAGATTTTCACTTCATGAAGAGGATACAAATGTAACGCCCTCCTGCTTCGGGTGAAATAAGGGCGGCGTCTTGAGCAATTAGCGCGTTTTGGGCAAGTGTTTCTGTCGCGTCGAGACAGCTGTTTCGTCTCTGCTCGGTGCTTTTCAGAATTCAGTTAGGAAGGCCCCCGAAGCGCTACGAGCAGGAGTGAAATTCATCGGGGATTTTTAGGAATTGATGGGTTTGCCCGTGGCTTCCCGAGCCAAGCCAGATCATAAAACAGGAATGAGATATGCTGTTGAACTGTGCACGCGTGTACACGCACAGCCCCGTTGGTCAATCCACTGCTGGATGAGGGCCTCCCCACACCGATCGGGTCATGGGGGGTTATTTTGCCATCCCCCAAGCATGGTGCTGTTTCATTCAGACGCTGTCTCCCCGACAGACCTGGTCTTCACCTGAGGACGGCTGCTTGCGTTGTGGCCGAAACGTCGTGAGAATTATTTTATAATGTTCTATTTTATAATTTTATTATTTCCATTCTACGTGACTTTACCGAAAGAACCAAGAAGATGAATCCCTGCAGTCACGAAAGCTTTAAATCGAAATATTTTGCCATACTTCACCACGCTTGGTCAATGCAGGTCGGTGAAGGTGTAAAGCATAGAAGTGCAGCATTTAAGGTCGAGTACAACGATGATATTTGCTGCACTTCCCTCCTCTGCTCACGACATAGACCCTGCAACCTATAACACCTGTCATGCATGGTGGTCGCCCATCAAACAGAGGCATGTCTATTTTTGAAGTCTGAAATTAAGTCTAATCCATTTTTCAATTACGAGTATATCACATTGGCGGTCTGGTGGTATTATCCACTTATTTCAAAACTGATTCCAGTGCAGCATTGTTCGCCATCATAGCAGGCCGAAATGCATTTAGATTAATTACAACTTGTTAGTATTTCTTTATTTGTTTATCTGACAGACAATTAAAAACCATCAGTGGTTTCAGATGCCGGCTTGAGGATCAGACAGGTTGGGCGGTTTCAATTCCTCTCCCACCCCCAACCCCCTTGTCGGTCTCTTGAGTAATGAAAGTCATTTGGATGAGCGTCCCATACAATTGTAATGGCTAGATTTGAAGCTTTCGTGACTGCAAGGATTCATACTCTTAGGTTTTTTTCGGTTAAGTCACGTAGGTAAAAAATAATAAAATGAAAATAATAATAAATGAAAATAAATCAATTTACTGTATCAAGTATCATCTTGACACAGTAAATTTAGCTGTGACGCTCCCACCTGAAGACGGAGACTTGTGTTGCCTCCAAAACGTCGTGATTTAATTGATTTATTCTCATTCATTATTATTTAATTTTTATAATTTTTTTACCTACGTGACTTAACCGAAAAAACCTAAGAGTATAATTGTAAAGGCATCTACGGGGCAGTTTGGGAGGAGGGGTTGCTGATCGCTCTTTCAGCCGATGAATTCCCTCCCACCGCGTGCTGACGTCACGCAGAGAGCACTGGAGTGTAAACCAGATTTAAGACTCCGCAAAAGACACAACAATAACACAGCTATCCATTTTTAAATCGATACGGGTCCGCTTAAGTGGTACATCTTGCCGTGTGGGTAAGTAACGGCAACGACAAAAAAACACCGGGCACGAGAAAGGTGGATATCTGGTGCAATACGACACGGGCATGATGCAGCCCCATGATCTTAGCATCTCAGTCCCGGGCCACTTCCTCGCCCCACCCTCTCCAGTCGCTCCAGTGGAGCAAACGCGTGAAAGCGATAGCTTCACCTTCCTCGCGTACGCGTCTTCCTCGGCCCCGTGTTTGACCACCACGTCAAATAGAACAACGTTGGGACACGTGAAACAACGGTTGCCTCCATTGCTGACGGTGGCCCGGGTTCAAAGCCAAACCGGGGGAAGGTCAACAGGTGGCCTCTAACCTCTGAGTACATCGAGGACCGCACGGTAATGAATGCCGGTGTAACAGGCTGAAATAACCCCTGCCCCGATTAAACCCGGGTATAGTTTGGCCCAGGCCAGAGTCTACCCGGGGGGATAAAGTGTCCAAGGCTAAACTATACCCCCCGGGGGGTTAAACTCGACTGTGCCAGACCATACACCCCTCCAGGCCAGAACATGCCCCATGTGAAAGTTCAAACGAACTTCAATCGATATCTAAAAAGAGTTTAAATGGAAGTAAAAATCTCGATTTGATCAATTGAAGCATTTTTAGGGTTAGGGTTAGGGATAGGGATAGGGTTAAGGATAGGGTTAGGGATAGGGTTAGGGATAGGGTTAAGGTTAAGGTTAAGGATAGGGTTAGGGATAGGGTTAGGGTTATTATTAAAGTTTTTCTGGTTGAAGCAATCAAAGTCTATGTGTTTACAGTTTTAAATAAAATGTTGGAAAAATGTAGTAATTCATGTGTATATCGCTCAACACTATTACTATCATGGGGGTATGATTTGGCCTAGAGGGGTATAATTTGGCCTAGGCCATAATATACCCGGGTATAATCTAGCCTAGGCCGTTTTAACCCCGGGTATACTACGGCCTGTTGCACCGGGCCACTGCATAACGACGTTGAATCGTAACAACGGGCAGTGTCGGCGCACGCCTAAGATCCAGCGCCGCGGAAGCGAGGGTCGGTCTATCACGCACGAGTTGCGAGGCTCACTTTCCGTGGCCACTGAGGTGCCAAACCCTGGCTTGCCGGGAAAAGGCTGGCACGTGCATGTCTAAAATCGAATCGGTAGTCTCCACATCGCAGGGATGTGTTGAGCAATCATCAGGCACGTCTAGTGTGCAACCGCGTTAAGTCAGGGATAGCGGCAGAGGTCGCCAACGGGTTTTGATTCCTTACCCGTACCCGTACTCGGTCATACCCGGGTATCGGGTACCTGATTGCGACCTCTGGGATGAAGCCATGTTGCAGGCGCGGGTGGGTTGATTCTAGGAACTTGAATTGTGAGAAGAGACAAGACGTTGGGAAATGAGTGACAAACGGTGACTCACCAGTGACTCACGGTCTACCCGTACCCGTACCCGGCCGCACCAGGGTCGCAAACGGGTACCCGTACCCGGCCGGGTACGGGTAGCTGAGTATCGGGTAGGGTTCGGGTATCGGGTACCCGGTTGCGACCTCTGGATAGCGGCCAACAACTGAAGAGTCGAGCGGCTCTTCCGCACTCATTACGCACAGAGTGCTTGCCGCAAATGAACCGCGATGCCTTGCTGATCTGGTCAAGGAGCATAAATCGTCACGCGAATTCCGCTCATCCTCGCCACGGCTTTTGGCTAACCATTGAACAAAGACGGCGGTCACCGCATCGCGCGCTTTCAGGTGCACTTCTGAGGCCGTCTGGAACGTTCTTCTTTCCGATATTAGGAAGCCACTGGAGCTATGGCACTCATTCAGATTGAAAACTCCTTTCTTTAGAACTGCTTTTTGCGTTTAATTTGTTGTCCTTCACCCCCACGCCTACGATTAGCACGGTTGGCTACGTACGGTGCGAAAGAAGTTCAACATACATACACTGCTACACATACGTACGTTGCGACAAGAAACAAACCGCGCCGGTCCGGCACGGTTCGCGTCCGCCACTATAAAGGGCCGCGAGAACGCATCAGTGTTGAGACAGGCCTGACTCTGACCCGTGCCATTGTGCCGCCGTCCACGCTGCGCTTGCGACGACAGGCGGCAACCGCGACATCGTGTACCGCGAGTGGTACAAGCCGCTCGTGTGGTTCTGGATCCTCCTGGGCATGGCCTACTTTGCTGCCATTCTCAGCATGATCGGGGACTGGCTCCGCAAGCTGTCGGAGAAGACGCGCAATGAGGTTCGTGCGTGGACCCCCCCCCACACCCCCCCTGTTCTATACTCCGCACACCCGTCCTCCATTCGGGGCGAACCCTGCAGACACTAGAGGCCGCTGCATTCCCCACCGCTGTGAAAGATGACCAATGCGCGCGAGTCGAAATTGCGGACTCTGAATAGTCATGGATTCGCCAAGGGGTGGTGTTGGGGGGTGGGGGTCACGTACCGTCACACTCCAATTTTGTAGCACAATTCGATCGTGCATTGTGTTTTTGTAACAAAAAAACTGTATAGAATTTCTCTTTCCAAAACCCATTATTTAACGAGGTTATTCATAGACAGCCAGACAACAGTATTACACCCCCCCCCCGCCCCCTTAGTATTGGACCATCACGTCTTATAAATATTAAACATTTCCAAAAATACAAGATTTTTTCTGACACCCCCGTCTGCAGCAAAGCAATCACCCTAAGTGGTGCGCCGCTGTAAATTCACGACAGGCTAACAAAGACCAGCGGCCTGCCACGCTGCCTCGTGTCGGCGAGAGCGCGTGCAGGCATTTCGCAGACCGAGTGCCCTGGCCGAGCGGCGTGACGCCCCAAGTATATTTTCGGTCATTGTGCATTCGCAACATCAACGCCGCTCTTTTGGTGAGAGGGGCAGGGCAGTGCAAATATCTCTCCCCCCGGGGTGGGGGGTGGGGTGGTAAATCTTGACCTTGCTCGCTGCACTGGCATCGGTGTCTTGAATCTGCTGTGTGCGATGGTTGTTTGCGTGTTGCGTGGGGATTACCGCATTTGGAGCAAGATATTGGTCGTGAAAGCCTACGTGTTAAACTGACATTGCTAGCCATACAAATATATGTTTTCCCGAGTATTGTTTAATCGAATAAAGGGCTCTGTACAGTCCTTTAACACGGTAAGCTATTGAATATTATAAATAAATTTTACCAGGTAAGGCCCACTGAGCTATGTAGCTCTTGTTCAGGCGCGACCTGGCCACAAACAACAGCCCAACGAAGTGGTTTACCACTCGGAAATTATTGGCAGCCAAATACTCCAATCACGCGTTGATTCCAAATGTGGAAGGAAAAACAGGAGGACCCAGTGAAAAATCCACGCGACCAGCAAATGTACAGGCTTCAGTGTCGGGATTGAACCCACGACCTCCTGTTTACCGGGTGAGGTAGTTAACATCTCACCACCATTTCGCCCTATCAGTTACATGCTGCATGAACGTCACTCCATGGTGTGTCGGCCGTGGAGGTTGTATAGCCACATCAGTCAATACTGATGTTAGCCGTGACCGAGAGTTGTACTCCGGTCGCCAGGTTTGATAACGCAGTGCGCTAACCACTGCACCACCGCTCCACTGATTGACTCTTATTCTAAAAGGTTAGGAAACATTTGTGTTTACACGTGGATTATGTTATCGGTAGCTGGCAGGAAAAAATACGTTAAAATATGATCAAATTGGCCTCTTTGTTCTGGTTTTGGGCAACCCAATTGTCAATAGGGTAAGGTCCTAATAGAAAGACAACTTCATCCTAAACTCATATTTGATATTCTTTCCTCCGACAGACATAACAGATATGCATAACCACTTTCAACCTACGCTGTAAAGTTTCAGAGAGTGAACTGAAATTTCCGCGAGTAGCGGTCCTGTCGGTGAATCCGTTGGTCGTGCCGCCCCACCCCCCACCAACTCCCTGTGTTCCGCGGTTTTCCTGTCATCCCTGCGCAGATGGGCGGCATCTCGGCGCACGCCTCCCAGTGGACGGCCGATTTCAAGGAGTCGGGAAGCCGCTTCACGGGCGGCATTCACGACAAGCTGAAGGCGGCCAGCACCGCGCTGCCTGGCCAGCGAATGCCGGGCTCCTTCAAGCGCAAGCCGAATGGTGCTGGCGCCGCGGACGGCGACCAGCTCGATCAGCTCAGCGGCGGCGAACAGTCTGGCAGCGAGGGCGCCGCTTCTCCTCCTCCTCACCCCCCTTTTCCAAATGAGAACGGCCGGCCAGGACGATACGGCCCAAGCCGGCACGGGCCCGGCGTTCTGGCCCGGCTGGCAGAATCCAGACTCGCCGGACGACGCCGGCGCAAAAATGCTCACCAAGGCGCTCGGCCGGAAGGCGTCGACTAAGAACCCGGCGGCTCACGTCGGCAACAACGGTGCCGTGGAGCGAGAGTCGCCCGAGCGCAAGCCACCGTTCGCGCTTCCCGAGTCGGACCTGGACGACGCAACGCAGACCCCGGCGCTCGAGAGGGCCAACCGGAAGGGGACGCGGGTCAGGGCCGGCTTTGCGGATGACGAGAAGGAGCCGAGAGCCACGGCTGTGTGAAATTTACTTTGTAGACAACAGCGTGTGTGTTTGCCGTCACTCACTCCCTCTTATTTTCCACTGCACACCCGAGCAGGTGACGCGGCCGTGCCAAGCCACGGGCTGGCTGGGGAGGGGCCAGGTTGTTTTCCACTGCAGAAGCTGAGCCGTGCCATTGTCATTGCACGCGGTTATTGAGTCGAGACAATATGTAGGTGACGCGGTGATGCTGCATTTGAGCCCTACTGATTGACGTCGCACGCGATGAATGCGTAATTATCTCTGGCCCTGCTTGGCCCCGAGCCAGATTCGTGTCTCGCGAGGCCAGCGTATGTCACCGATTTGATTCCGGCTCGGCACGCCAAATAACCGGTGGACAAAAAATAAACCACGCGTACAATCAGGGCACCGCGCCGCTATGGCTCGCACGTGCCAGTGGGAAAAATGGGTACGAGTGACGTGATTTATTAAGAGTGAGTGCTGTCTCTTAGAGGCCGAGTGCGACGCATGCTGGCGCATTGCATGGTGCCCATTACGACGTGGTGCTTGCTGCGATTGCCAAGCGTGGCCCCGCTACCTTCAGCGAGAGGTGCGCAAACCCTTCCGGAAAGCGCCTCGGTTTTGACCTTCTTGCGAAGGTCAGACTTTGTTTACTCATTTCAAGAAGTTAGGAAATCATCGTTGCCCTGCACGGACCTGTTCGTCAGCTGGGTGCTGATGGTGAATGATGGGGGAACTACGGTTTTCAGCCACAGTTTTAGTTGTCCCTTAAATAAGTAATAGTTAAAAAAACAAAAAAAAACACGCTTTAATGAAATGTACCCTACGAGTAATGGAAGAACTCCACGACTCCAGAAAGTGGCCCCGAGGCTTGCCATGACGTAAGGGACCGTGGTGATTTACAGCCAACGTCAGTTGAGCGTGGACAATTAGACCCAAGCCGAAACATAACATGTAAAAAAGATTGTAAAAAAAACGTTTATTTTATTTTTTATGATAGAATATAGTATTGTCATCAGTATGACATAAGTATACCAAGTTTGCAGTCGATACCACCTTGGTAAGTGGGTTAAAATTGAGTTACAAGATTTGAGGATACAACGACAACAACAACAGAGTGAGTTAATAGAAAGCGTGTAAAAAGAGACATTCTCAATTGCCTCCCAAATTGGATTTAAAATGCATTACTCGATGTAAGGTGCTTTGTTGCAAGTATTATCTGGGGTAATGGGAGGGATATGTAGCCTGGATGAAGGCAAAACACGAATAATGCAAAACATGATAGTCAGGTTGTAAATTTTTTGTTGGTTTATCGCCGTAGAATGGCGGTGAAGACGTACAACACTTCACCTGTTTTTATTGCTCATTACAGGACATTAATCCCTCGTTTAACGCGGCAGTAGGTGCATTCCTGAAAATCACCGCGTTAAGCAAAGGGACACGCGAGCCAAAAAAACAATTTCCTCGTAAGAAATCATGTAAAAGATGTGGTTTTGCGAGATACGATGTACGCAGTAAGACGGCGTGACGAAAGAAGCGAGATGAGGGTACGCCTGCGTACTCTGTCATTCCGCGTGCATACCCAGAATTCTCACAATCCCACAGCTGCCGCAGCTCAAGAAAGTAGTTCGTCACTGGCCGCTCAGAAACCGCGTTATAACGTTGCGCGTTCCTCCTAATAATAATTTAAATTTACAACGCGCATTTCATCCTGGGATCTTAATGGAAAAACCGCGTTATATCGAAGATGCTTTGAGTGAAAACTCGTGAAGTGAGGACTTACTGGAATCGGTTTACTTCTTCGCGTGCTTGCATTCATGTGCGCTACAAGACACTGACCCTCGACGAGTGAAGAGCAGCACATACTTAAAGGAGTGTGAGTGTAAAGGTATTTTTGTTGTACATTTTTCGGATTATGTGCCCATAGATTACCAAGAGCAGAGGAGAAACTCCTCTGATCCGCAGCGGTGTGGGGCACGAACACTGAGGATCACTATTATCCCCAGGAAAAGAAACGTGGATAATTTTGCGGATAATAGGACGCATTTCCCATTCAAGCACCTTTTACCTGCGATTCTTTTTTTGGTGGATAATAGGAGTGACGATCTATGTTCTCGATGTGCATGCTGGGAAAAAGGGGCCGGTGAATAGAAGAGCATACCGGGGAACCGGGCCTCTAAAATCAGGATGGGAAAATCCACGAATAATAAGAAAAATAGGTGATTTAATTTAGTTGTTTTTCACTTTTTTATTTTATTATTATTTTCACCTACGTGACTTTACCGAAAGAACCAAAGAGTATGGATCCTTGCAGTCACGAAAACTTCAAATCTAGAAGAAAAGTAGGGTTGCGGATGTGAGGAGGTATCCTGTAGTTAGATTGTATGAGCGGTGGGAACAGCAGCAATCGGGAGGCTCGTGAATGTGTTGATTAACGAGTGGTGCAGGTAAACTCTCAGCAGGGAGCGGAAGGGTTGCGGTTCTTGGAAGGAACGGGGGTCATGTCGACCGGCACATACTCCTCTATAAATATCACCTTGCACGGAGGGATCATTGAACACCATCGACATTTTCACGCGTGTGCAAGCGGTGCGCTAGCAGGGAGAATGGTGAAGCCTAACGTTAAGCTTTAATTTTAAAAAATGTAATACCAAAAGCTCGATTTTTTTATTCGTCTTCAAGAATCGACATTTTTACGTGCTCTTTCTGGGGAGAAGAGGCCGAGGAGAGGGAGATAATTAAGATTCGTACCCTATGGATGCTATTGAAAATTATGCTAAAGTGGAACGATCCCGAAGTAATGTAGCTGGATACTTTTCACCCATGGACAGTTACACCAATTGGGATATACGCATTGAAAATTTTATGAATGCGGGCAATCTTTGGTCTAATCATGGAGTGGCTTTTTACTCGGGTATAATACACCAAGTCGGACTGTAATTCCATAATTCCTTGCTCGGTGGACACTTTGTGCTCATAAAGAGACTGTGGTGTCAGAATTACTCAGACGAACCGAATGTTTAGAGCACGCTGAGATTGGCAATGCTACATACAGTTCCGTGTATGTGTTAAATCATTGACTAATCCATGAAATAATCTACAGTTTCTCAATCTATTGATAAACTACCTTCAGCAGGACACCCTGTATGTATCGCTGTATTCTCCGGAGGATGATATGCAATTTGGCCCCTGTGTTATGAAGGAAATTTGGGGTTGTGTTAAACTTGGGCATATGTATGTATGGACTTCTTTTGCACCGTACGTATCCAACCATGTGAGACCAGATCTGTGTAACTTTATCGACACAAGTTTGGAGTGCATTTTACTTTCCGGAGCATCTTATAATCCGGTGAATACGGTATTAGGATAAATGTTGTGAGGTCACCTGAATTGTGGGACTACCCCCCCCCCCCCTGTAGCGCTATGCGTTATTGCACTATTCAGCCTCTTTCGTTATTCGCTCATAAATGTTTTTTTTGTAATAATTTGTTTTTATTGAACTGATGTACATTGTTGCTCGTGTTATTGTTGCAATGTAATATTGCTGCACAATAATTGTACCTTACGACACTGTGATTAAAACGCACAGATGTGAAGAGACTGTGGTTTTTAAGGGTGGATTTTTTAAAAGTCATCATCCAATCACACAGGGAGCCTTCAATCGTGGAATGATGCCTCAATCATCATTTTATTCAGAAAGAGTGAAAAATCAACTTGAAGAACGACAGGCCCATGAAATAAAATAATTTTTGATACTTTGTTGACAGTGGTGCATAAGCACAATTAACAAACACAACTCAACATATTCCTCAATCAAAGTGTTTTGCCTTTAATGAAGACAAATATGATCAGCAACTTTTTGATTTAAAGCTTTCGTGACTGCAGGGATTCATATTCTTGGTTCTTTCGGTAAAGTCACGTAGAAGGGAAATAATAAAATGATAAAACAATAAAAAAATTTCACGACGTTATGACTGCAACACAAGCAATCATCAAATTTGAAAATTTTCTTGCTGTGGATTTCACACCTGATGATGATTGCTTGTGTTGCAGTCGAAACGTCGTGAGAATTTTCTATAGTTTTATTTTATTATTTTATTATTTCCCTTCTACGTGACTTTACCGAAAGAACCAAGAATATGATCAGCAACGCTTTGGGCAGTGGAAATGATCCGTTTGATATGTTATGAAGAAGGGCTATTGCCTTAAACGTCGCTGGTTATATTTCTTTTGCAGAAATATGTTGAACTTCTTTCACACCGTGCGTAGCCAACCGTGCTAATCGGAGGGCACAGAGTGTTATTGACGAATGTGTTGATTTTGTTTTACATATCTATTAGCCTATCGCACTTTATACACATTCCTGCGGAGGGAGCTGGTAGGAACGTTGGGTTGCTCGGTCAATGGCCAGGGTCAACGGCGGCGTGGTGTATTCCGCAAATATACCCGACTGTGAGGGCGGGTACAAGCCGGCGTGAGTAGGTTAAAAGTTGAGTTGTATAAGGGGACCACGGGATGACCAGCCCCTCCCCACCCAACCCCACCCCTCCCACCCCCCACCCAGCCCCTCCCCACCCTCCCCACCCAGCCCCTCCCCACCCTCCCCACCCAGCCCCTCCCTACCCTCCCCACCCAGCCCCTCCCTACCCTCCCCTCCCCACCCAGCCCCACACTCCCCACCTAGCCCCCCCCCACCCTCCCCTCCCCACCCAGCCCCTCCCTCCCCACCCAGCCCCTCCCTGCACGACGGACACAATAATCCCCTGTGGGCTGGTGTAACCAGGAGGTTCCTACCAGTATGAATTCTTCAGGAAGATTCGTGTCAACATAACCTCTCTTTCTCGACGTGGCCACGTCCTTTCCCAAAGACGCTGGGGGCCGTGGCCTTCTGTTGAACTCTGCCCATGACATTCTTACTCAAGAACTTTGCATCAAATACTCTCAGTTACATCCAACTCGGGGACAGCACATTAAAGAAATTCGAGGCAGGATTTGGGAAAAGTTTCTCTGCGATCGACCGCTTGCAGATTGTTTATCAGATTACGGAAATGGCGATTGAATTTCATTTACCATTAAGTAGGGTATTATTTTTTTACGAGAAACGCTGCACAAAACAAGCTTTCCACATTGGCGTCTAAGCAATCCATTAGCCGCCCGTCTTAGTTAATTTGTTATTCAATGCGCATTTGCGTTTATTCTATTATTGTGAACATTGTGTCATTTCTAATGTCAATCTTGGCCAGATATCAGCTAGTGCTCAACGAAACGAGGAAGACGAAAGAAATGCCCCAACATTGAACAGTAAAGCGCAAGGTCGCATATCCGACTGGCTGAGGACTGAGCGTGTATATTGGTGGGTATGCGAACGGATCGGATACGTGAACGTCTCCAGAACATTTCGGTTACAACACTGTGCACAAATACTGCACTGAGTGTGAGCGCTTGACGGATCAAGGCAGATATATGACGGTCGCATATGTGACGTTGTACGGTATGACCACTCTGAACATATCTCAGGGGTGTCAGGATACCAAATTCACCCGAATGGGAAGTCGTCAGATTGATTTAAAACCTCCGCGCGTCTGTTCACGCAGCAGTACACACGGGTACACCACGTGGTTCATCGGATGGCAGTTCCTGTGTGGTGGGGTAAAGTGTGGGTACTCCTGTCCGGTCAGCATGGAAGAGTAGGCAAAATACCCCCTCGAGGGGACTCTTGAGAGCCCATCTAGTGGAGGCCCTTCCCCAAGCAATTGCAGGGCTGCACCTTGACCATGGGCTGGTTGTCAGATCAGAATATGTATTTACACTGGAGGAATCCAGTAGCATACTGGGGCTTACCCAGTCACTATTTTGTAGGGAGCAAATTGTTTTATTTCGGCATTTATGTGTATGCATGCACATATATATATACAGACATTTCACATTTATTGTCATATGCATGACTGACAACAGCTGCCATTCACCATCAACTGATGGTAACATGACCACAGCGCTTGTGCCAGGCTAGATGCACTTTGAGGTCACGCCAGGGCGATAGGAGGTCATGGGACAGACCCGGGTGCCATGGCTTGACTGACTGGCTCAGGACCAGCTCCCTACCGCAACACAAACGGTTACACACACGCACGCACACATTGTGGGTTGGGTAGCGGGCGGGGGCAAATGCCCCTTTTACTTACCCACCGAAGTTGTGCTTCAGATCTGATGCACTAAGACATGGGCTATTGATTTGTATGATTGTATTGTTGCAGTGGCGATGACTGCCGAGCCAGGGCGAACCATTCAACCGGCGCGTCTCCCGGTATCGCACGCGCATGTGATTTATGGTGGCGCCTTACCCGAATGTGCAATGTCTGAGCATCAACGATGGTGGTAGGATTGCCAACCTGTCCTGGTTTTTACAGAACGTCCTATATATATAAATATATGTTTTAAGTACACGATATAGCTGTCCTGAGAAATTGGTAAACCGGAGATTTTTGATCTCCGGTTTACCAATTTATTTTTGAAAGCTACATGAGAATGAATTTCAATTTATTTTTGAAAGCTATGTGAGAATGAAATCAGGACAATACATTTACGTGTGTGTATGCTCGGCTCAGTTGGAGCGCCACATTTGGAGAGCAGTGCCGCTCGAATGGGTTCACAACCAACACCAGTGACGATTTTTTTAACCGGTCCTAGGCCTCCCCTAGGTCGACTCCGCCTCAAATGAGTACCTGGTGCGGTGTTTAAACATAGCCGCTCGGGAGACAAAGGCGGTCCACCGTGGTCCTGGGCACCCACCCCTTCGTATGCCGTGCCGATTTTCATAGGTGCTCGCTAACAGCACTTACCCTAACAGCCTGTTAAAGGATATTTGGGTGATCTTTGTCTTTGTTGGGTCCCACAAGTTGGGCGTATATGTCTCTCCACCTTCGGGCGGCATTCTTTAAGTTTCTTTAAAGGCTGCGACCTCTGGATGTCAGCCGCGCTTATTCCACGTGTGTGATGAGTGGCAGTGTGTGTACGCGCAGCGGCTAGGGTTGCCACCTCTGAGGTGTAAGAAAAAAACTGAGACGTGTGATGGAAGAAGATCTCACAATGCCAGGAGAGGGGAGACCTAAATGCAAAATGCATCGTCTTGACCGGTGAATTACACTGGTCAACAAAAAAAAAAAAATTTCTGGCCTGGACTTTTGCAGCTGTTTTAGACTAATTTCAGGGTGCTGATTCCAAATCTGATCTCAGATTTGCTCTATCACATCATTTTTATGCTATCGGCATACCCCATTTTCATTGATTTTACCCGAAATTAACTCTGTCACTTATGATTGCAAGTTGTTGCGAGTCAGTGACTGTTTTAGTGTTAAAATATGGTGCTGTATTTTTAGGATAGTGTGTTTATAATATCATTTTATGTAGATATCCACATTGAGTTAATATTTTTCTTCTGCAGTTTTTATTGAAAATGCAATATTTGATATCTCAAAAACCTGACGTGATAGACAAAAACTGATGCCAGATTTGGAATCAGCACCCCAAAATTACATTACAACTGTTGGAATACCTTATGGCAGAAAAAGTGTGTTGACCAGTATTATTCGTCCTCAGCTGACAGAAAACAGGAATATTAACGTCCCAGGAAGACGTGAGATTTCCCAGTACGTCAGCTATCTCAAAAAAGAGGACAATGTTGGGAAAACCAGGGGAGATGGTGACCCCAGCAGCTGGTCTGTACTGTACCATTAACGCTACTACCAAGCCTTTGCACTGTTTTATGTTTAGTGTCTTGCTGTCTGATGGAAAATCTCCTAATTGAAGTGCGTTTGGCTTTTGCCTGGGATAAAATTCCCAGTGGCGTCATAAAATATATTTTTATTGGCGGTACGATGGCCTTTAAGGTAAAGGATGAAGACATGATGGCATAGTGCAGTCCGTGTGTCGAAAGGGGCCCATTCCAGTAAACGTACAAGATTGTCCCAACGTTGGCATAAATATTGGAACCGTTGGACCAACGTTGACTCAATGTTGCATGTTCACTGGGATAACGGCTGCAAGACAAAAACAAAGATCCCCCGTATATTTTTTATGAATCCCTCGTATAGCCTGAACATACTTTTGGGGCAAGTGCTGTTAGCGAGCACCGGTACGGCACACGAGGGGGTGGGTGGCCAACACCACGCCTGGCCGCCTTTGTCTCCCTAGCGGCAATGTTTTACATACCACACCAGGTACTCGTTTGAGGCTGAGTCGACCTAGTGGAGGCCCAGGACCGGTTCAGATAATCGTCACTGGTGTTGGCCGTGAGCGGGAATCGAACTGGGCTCGCCGGGTTTGGAGCGCAACGTGCTCACCGCTACACTACCGCTGCAAAAACAGACGCACAGGGTAGCCGAGTATGGGATACGTGAGGGCAGTCCGTCGTACGGGTGGGATTAGCTGACGCCAATCAATCTCCTGACCGTCACCAACTCACCTGACGCCCACCACGCTATCTGTCATACACTCATCTGACCCTAAATTACGAGAAGTTCTCTCGAGTCTACATTACTTGACTACTATATATTCCACAAATGATAAGCCACTTCGATGTTTGGCCCAGGTCGCCCTTGAAAAAACAGTTAACAGCTCAATGAGCTTCACGTGATAAATAAAATAAATAATTTAGTTGACTGTTTTTAGACAGATTAGTTGCTTATTATATCGATGAGTTCATTTCTGTAGTGTGATTGACTTTTCTAATCGGTCAAAATGAGAAATACATGCAGTTTGGAAATAATTAAAATAAGATGCTAATCTAATGCCAATATTGAAATTAATGCAAACAAATATGTTTAATTTTCAATATCATAATTGTAGCTTGATTCATGTACAGTCCTTTGTTACTATTTTGTTGGACCAAATCCTTTCCAACTCTGGTCATTGTGGGTTGGTGAAGGATGGGACCAGGATTCCAGATATCCTTCACTGATATCTTTCTGTTGCCGTGGCTGGAATTGAAACTCATATTGCTGGATTCATAGGCCAGTGCACAAGCCACTCTGTGCCACCACTCTCCCAGCTTGATTATATTAGTTAATACTGTAATGAAATTATACTTTTGGCTTTCAATCACAAGCATGCTGTTTAACTCAGTATAAATAATTAACTCGGACTTAGCCAAATCAAGTCTGTCTTTGTGCATAAGCCCACACTGCATGGCGTGAAAGCCTTACTCTTGCCGTAATGATTTACGCGTAAAAATTTAAAGGCCCCGTATGATAGATTATATGTGGTGCGTGCTTATGAGGACATTTTTTCACGTGAACGAGCTGGTACTGTTCGTTTTTAACATCCTAACCATCACAACACATGTCTCTGGCTTGTAACATCAGATAATTTATGTCCATCAACCCAGAGTCAAAGGCGGCTCCCGAAACATTCTCAAATGATGCCGTTACACCACCGCCGCCCCGCTGAGACTGTTGTGACGTTGAGGCTTGGCAGTTGTGTTATTTGTGGAAATACCATCTCTAGGAAGGGCTATCGGCTCGGTGGGGTCTCTGTTGTTATATCGGATGTTGGTTTGGAGTTTCTCTCGCGTTTAGTGTTCGTGCCCAAGCCACTTGGCCCCGTGGAAAAAATCTCGTGCCCGATGTGACTGCCGTCCTAAAACGAGAGGGTCTTTACCCCTGGGGGGCAGAGGGCAGGCAGTAATTTCCAACCACAGCAGCTGGCCACCGCAAACAGCTCCCGCTCATTTGAAAAGTGCGGACGAGTATACGCAGGCACCGCGGGTTTCTTTAATTTGCGAGATGAGGTGGCCACTCTTGCACCAAAAATAAAGCACTTAAAGCGTCTAGGCCAGGATCGAATTTTAATTAGCAGCCTTGCCACGAAATACTGACAAATATTACAGCGTTACTGACGTGAGCTCAGTTTAGTTTTGAACTTATGAATGGTATTTGTACACCGGTGTCATCCTTATTGGGGATCGTCAGCGTAGTGTGGCACTGCTATATAGCAACCGTTGTCTAATTTCACTCTGAGTAAAGATCATTATCATCCACTGATGTATGGAACTCCCACCCCGACCCCCCCCCCCCCCTTAATTGTTCACATGTTTGACTCCGCTTATGTTGACTGGAGTACAGCCTTGGTAAAGTGGTTCGCGCACTGCACGATGAACCGTTCAACATTACAGTAAATAGATTATCTGGCCACGGTATAGCATCATGGTGTTAACTGCACCGTCCAGATAATTGGTTTTTTACCTTTCTATCTGGCAACAAAACTGACACCTTTTTACAAGGAGTCATGTTTGCATAGACCGCAATACCTGCAGACATAATACAAACAAAAGAACATAACTCTGATAATGTGCACTGTCCTTGAAGTGGATTGGTCCACACCCGAGACAGCTTTCCTTAGAGCCTAGTCTCACATGGGTTGGACCAGATGACGCCAACCCATGTGAGACTAGGCTCTAAGGTAAGCTGTCTCGGGTGTGGACCAATCAACTTCAAGGACAGTGCACATTATCAGAGTTATGTTCTTTTGTTTGTATTATGACTGCAGGTATTGCGGTCTATGCAAACATGACTCCTTGTAAAAAGGTGTCAGTTTTGTTGCCAGATAGAAGGGTAAAAAAACAATTATCATATTTTTACTGGCAAATGAGGTTCCCATAGTGCACCATCCAGCTTAGACCCCTCCCTCACTAATCCGCACTGACTAGCATGGCGAAGCATGGTCAAACAAGTTCAAGTTCATTGATTAGGTATAGAGCCCTGGGAGCCATTCGGCTCTTGAATTGGGTGCAACCACAACAAACAAAAAACTAAAACATGAACAAATAACAACTTAAAGTGAATATGTGACTAAGTGCAAACAGAAAATCCAAGAAAAGACAGCAAAATATTGCAGAAAAAAAACCGTACACCAACGCTGTGTGCAAAAATCCCAGTGGGATGCAAGTCAAACAACAACAACAACAACCACAAGACAACTTAGATTAAGGCCATGAGTCTAACTCTGTACTACAACAAACAAACATTGCTAAACAAATACACTTTTCGAAATCACCAAAATAAAGCTATGAAACAACCCCCCCCCCCCCAACGGTGGATTGGCAAAGAGCTCTAGATTTCTTTAGAGTATTACGATTATCCGCATCTCAAACCAATTGATTTTTTAAGTGCCACCTTACTTTAGCATAGACAAACATACAGAGAGGTACTTATGGTTGTCACGTCCCATCCTTATTCTGAGTCTACAAGAAAAAACTACGAATAATTGTTCCCATTACTTTAGTGATGTATACCTTGTGCTTTCTGATAAAGGCTATGTGTGGTTGCATAGAATGTGCTATTTTTAAAAAAATTCCCATCTTTCTCCTTCACTGAACTCTTTAGAATATCTCTTACTTGGATATGTATTATAATTGTCATGATGCGTTCAACCCCATTACCACAACATTCAACTTTACAAATCTGAATTAATAATACTAATACATGTCCATTATTTACAAAATAAATCCCCACCACGTGTCAGGACTCTTTTCTTCAGGAGGGTCCTGCATTGGTATGTTTAGCTAATTCCACCAAAGAACGTTTTGAACTGTGGGAGGCAACTGACGAATCTGCCACACACTCAACAGCTCCACACGAAAGATTTGAGAGTATATTGCCCTGCGGGCTGCAATATTTGGTATTCCCAGGCAGTCTCCAATCTATGCCGTCTCAAACTCTGCTTCGTTTACGAAATCAGGCAAGATTCAAGCCCAGTAAACATGGAGCGTTGGGCCAACTTTTCCAACCACATGCCAACGCTGTTTGAGGTTTGTACCGACAGCTAAATTATTAATTTAACTATTATTTTATATTTTGTAATTGCATCATCATTTTTGTTAAACCCTGCTGTTGTCCTAGATGACGACCGCTATGATTAGTTTCACCATTAGTAGGGCTCGTACCATGAGTCATGATGCTATTACATTATTCATAACACCCCACTGCGTCCGTACAGGACGTTTGACTGCAGATAGATCGACTGCAGGGCTACAGCACTGTCGCCCCCTAGTGTCTGGATGACTTCATCGTGCAAATTCAGCTCGAAGTTATTCGCCAATTGCTATGAGAGTCGGTGAATTACAGATTCTAATCGGAGATTTCTACCCCTGACGGGGGCCTCATCTCCTAGCTCCTGCAGAGGGCTCGAGGACCTAAACCACGAAGCCTCGGACATGTCGTCAATGTTTGTGGCTTTAAAAGAAAAAAAATATAGGCGACGTTTCAGCCAACGGCCCTTCTGCAGTTTAAATGTGCTATGAAGAAGGGTCATGGCCCAAACCTATTATATATTTTCCTGTAAATGCAGGTAATATGCACAGATTGAAAAAAGCGCCATGTGTTTTTATGAAGTATCTTTTTTCTTCAGGCATATTGGTACGATGGAGTGGCCTTCATCCAGCAGTGGATGGATCATGATAATTAAAGATTCAAGGTTCCAGCGGATTAAGCTGTTAAGAATTGGTTCCATTCCCCAGGTCCACTCGACAAGGATCGATTCCTATGTAAGTGAGCCTATAATTTCGATTCTACATTGCAATGAATTAACAGGTCATTTAGGAATCGAAATAAGCGATTCGATTAGACGATTCGACTCGTGCAGTGAGTACGTGGGAATCGAATGGTAGTAAAGAATCGGAAGTTCACTCTCAAACTCCAGCTGACTTCAATGGGACCGGTTCGAGGCCTTGTTCACAGCAGCAGTAGAAAGGGAGACAATGGCTTAATTAGCACGACAATTATTCGTAATTAACAGTGGATGCGGCTACACTGCCTCGCAGTGAACACACATTAATGCAATAGATGAGCGGCGAAAGTGAAAGCAGCCCCTTCTTGGACTCGCGGTTAGTGGGGGGGACACCGCGTGGTCTTACTCCGCCGGCGGACCTTAGCCTCATTCCGCGGCAGGGCCGTCAGGAAACAAAGGCTTTTAATTGGGACTCGCGGCCTACCGTGTGGTGAAACGAATGGGACGGCATTGTTATTCCGTTATAATGGGCTTTTCTCATAAGTTATAGATTTGAATTGGTGGTTGTGGTGGTTTAGGTGTTTTTTAGAGGTGATCGTTGGGTTATTCAGATTTTAGTGGCAGCGTTACGTAATTAATGGTTCTAGAGGTGTTGGTGGTTTGTGCGCGTGTGTGGGGGGTTCGAGTTGTAGTTGATGGTGCTTTAGATGCAGTTTTGGAAGTAGTGCAGATGGTTTAAATGGCTTAGGTGGTAATTATGGTGGAGGTTTAGGTAGGAACTCGAGTGGGATTGGTGGTAGTTGTGGTTGTTCGTTTCGTGGGTGGTGATCCCCGTGTCATATTGGTGGCGGCAGTGCCTCCTCCTCATTCGGCCTCTGGGACATCTCGCCTGCGTTATGGCCGGTGGCAAGGTTTGCCAGAACTGCGGCTGCAGTGACATCGAGACAGACTCGGCTCGCGGGGATGCTGTCTGCACGGCTTGTGGCTCGGTGCTTGAGGACAACATCATCGTGTCCGAGGTGCAATTCCAGGAGGGCGGTGGAGGAGCGTCGTCGGTTGTCGGGCAGTTCGTCTCATCGGAAGGTTTGCCACTTCAGTTTTAATTGCGTGTGTTTTGCCATAATCCTGTTTTGCATTCATAGCGCGCCTCTAATAGTTGCTGTAAATTGCCCATGTTAAATCATCATCATCACCTCGCCTTCAGTCACATACACCTCCGAGGGCTGTGATGGCACCGTGAAACTTCAGCAGCGGGTAGCGTGGATGGGAGTGGCACAAGAAAATGCATCTCAGTTAGAGAACTTGTTATGCTATCGAGATATTGTCGTGCGGCATAACAACTTACGAATGCAAAATTTTCACTCCAATGCTCGTTTGCACAGGAGGAGGCACCTTGGCTTGGGCGCCGCGGTGGCGAGATGTTAACTACCTCGCCTGTGTATACAGGAGGTCGTGGGTTCGATCCCAACCCTGTGACGCCTGCTGTTTATTTGGAGTTTGCATGTTCTCCCCGTGGTCGCGTGGATTTTTCTTTGGGTCCTCCGGGTTTTCCCTCCGCCATTTAGAGAGTATTTAGCTGAAATTGACACTTTGTGAACCACTTCGTTGAGTTATGATTTATGATCAGGTCGCATCAGAAAAAAAGATTTATAGCTCCGTGGCCTTAATCTCAAATAAAACCAAACATCACAAATGCAAGACCTTTCTGAAAAAAAAACAATAGATTTCGATCTCTAATGACCATCCTGTCAACTGATTGAATATTGTGACAGCAATGGGTCGGTGTCTGACAGGTAGATTTAATAATTGTACATAAATTTGTGGGTAAGGGGCCGTCCATAAATGACGTCACGCGATTTTGGACGATTTTTGACCCCCCCTTTCGTCACAGAAAGTCAGACCCCCCTCAAATATGACGTCACAAAGCTCTGCCCCCCCCCAAAATATAAACATGCTTCAAATCGCTTTAAAATATTGTCATTGTAGTGCGTATTTAATGTGGCGCTGCACTCTGATGTTGTAGGAGAACATTAAAAGTATATTTAATTAAGTAGAACGTGCTGTCTATTTAAAGTTGCGCATTTTTATGTGACGTCACATTTCTCAAACCCCCCCTTCGTCACACATCGTCACAAATGTCTGACCCCCCCCCCAGGTGTGTGACGTCATTTATGGACGGCCCCTAATATGTAGTGGCTTTGAAATAAAACAATTATTTCTGTAATAATGACCAGGGTTGTCAAACCCTTTGTATTAAGAAAACAAACAGTGAAACCAGTAGCCCCACATGTAGACATTTTTCGCAATAAACAACAACTTTACCGTTTTAACAGATTAGGTAGGGATCTGCCGTGGTGTAATGGTTGGCACACTGAACTTGTAATGCAGAGGTGGCCGGTTTGTATCTATCTCATCGCGGCAGTTGAATTAATACGTAATTTTAAAAAAATCATTCCGCTGCCTCTGTCCACCCAACAGTATAAATGAGTGCACCGCAGTTGACTGGCAGGTTGCGTGTGGTGGGGTAAAGTATTCGGCCTTCTAATACGTCTGGTCAGTGAAGAAGAGTAGACCATACACCCTCCAGCAGTTTCACGAGCAAGCAATTGCAGGGCTTCACTTTTAGCTTTCAACGGGATCACAGCTTGTAGTTTCAAGCGTGCAAATTGGTGCATTACTGTACTAATATTTCACTGGAAGCGGTTACCGGTTGCCGACAATTAGAATCGTTAAATCCACTTTGACAATAGTTATGGGTTACTGTTGAACAACCCAAACCAACTCCCTCTTATTTTAGTGGAGTATCTATGAGTGGATCACCCTATTGGGTGTAAATGTCATCGTGTCAATATACAAAATATAAAACTGTGCACCCAACAAGAAAGAAGGGTACTCGAGTTTTATCAACAAAACCAAAATTTTGATAAGATCATTGCACAATATACACTGTTTGAGTTGCAAGGGATACCATTTTTTTTACTCTTGTGATTAAAGTGAACCCAGCAGATATTTTATTGACCCTGGGTGCATGTTTTAACCGCAACGCTTTGCTTTGTAGGTCTAGGCAAAGCACCCTCATTTGGCACAGGTCTCTACACTGGCCTTGGAAAAGAGTCTCGTGCACTTACGCTACAGAATGGTGAGCTCCCCACCCAGCTGACACCCTTGTGCAAATTTACTTGTATTGTGTAATGTATTAACAAACCCTGAATTTTATTATTTTTGGATAGGGTATTTGCTTTGTATGTGGTACGTGTCTAACATGCTCATTAATCTTACATATGCAAATCGCAAAGATGTGGAAAACTGATTGTGTATGTTGAAAAACTGTTGTGGATTTGTGCCAAGGCATCAATTTTTGTGATAATATCTCAAGGGTAATTAAGATTGGAACTGATGTTAAATAGATTCTGATGTAAGACTTTTTATTTAAAGCATACTAGTTTGGCATTTGAAGCTGACTTTGTTCCATTCGATATAAATAGATTCTTAAGCGGTTTTACTTATTTGGTTTGGACTTTATTATTTTATTGTTATGAATACGAACCTTTGTGTAACTGGAATATGTTATCTATGGGTACAAAAGTGTGCTAGAGACATGCAAACTTTTTTTTATGTCTCATTGCTTGAAACATATTGCTCGATTCAGAATATATTACTAATGTAGTGTAATGAATAATCTGTTGAACAGGTCGGAGGCACATAACCCAGCTGGGTAGCCAGCTGCAGCTGAATCAACACTGCCTGGACACGGCGTTCAACTTCTTCAAGATGGCAGTGAGCAAGCGGCTTACGCGTGGTCGCAAGATGACCCACGTGGTGGCAGCTTGCTTGTATCTGGTGTGCCGCACAGAGAGCACACCACGTATCCTGGACAGCAGCTGCACGACAATGAACATTGTTTCTATTTAAATTATTCTGGTTTTCGCAGATATTCATTTTGCACGGCAATGGTGTGTAGATCAGCGGTCCCCAACTTTTTTGGCACCAGGGACCGGTTTCGTGGAAGACAATTATTTCACGGACCGGGTGGGTGGGGGGGTTATCATTGGGTCTTTCCACCTTTTCAAAGAAGCTCTCCAGCGACGTTTGTTTTTTACTCATTTTGGCTACTAGGGGTTAGAGCTTGTGGGCTTCCCAAAACTGTCACTGAGACAAGTGCGTAATGCGGGAAAGACGCACGGACTGAAGTGGTAAATAAAATAATGGGCGGGCCACGCGCAGACTCACCGCTCTCACCTCCTGCTGCTGTGCGGCCTGGTTCCTAACAGGCCACGGACCAATACCGGTCCGTGGCCCGGGGGTTGGGGACCCCTGGAGTAGATGATGGACTGGTGGAAAATCATGAGCGTGATTTTTTACAGCCCTTTTGTCAATCTCCTGCTGGATGAAGGCCTCTGCATGCCGTATTGGTCAAGGGGGTCGTTTGACGATACTTCACCATCCTGGCCATTGTGGTTTAGTGACACGGATAGACCTTTTACAGGTATTTGAAGCATACTCGTTTGGCATTTAAAGCCGACTTTGTTCCATTCGATATGAGTAGATTCTTAAGCGGTTTTACTTATTTAGTTTGGACTTTATTATTTTATAGTTATGAATACGAACCTTTGTGTAACTGGCATATGTTTTCTGTGGGTACAAAGGTGTGCTAGAGACATGCAAACTTTTTTGAATGTCTCATTGCTTGAAACATATTACTAGGCCTCTGCATGCCGTATTGGTCAAGGGGGTCGTTTGACGATACTTCACCATCCTGGCCGTTGTGGTTTAGTGACAAGGATAGACCTTTTACAGGTGTCGCCACTGGTATTAGCCATAGCCGCAATTTCAGTTCGGGTTTCCTGGTTCACAACGTAGGGGAGTATATTTTGTAAACAGACTTGCATTAGGTTATTAAATCATTGGCAGTTTTGTAGTCAGTAAAAAGTTGTCCATGTTTTCATACGTAGAAATATAGTTGTGACTGCAAGAAACAGTCTATTGTAAGTTTCAATTAAGTTCTGCTCACAGCCTTTTTCAGTTTTATATTGAGTCCAAAAATTGACACCCTGCAAGAGTTTAATGTTTTAGCAAAGTCTACTTTTATGCACCAAAACATTTTTCCCGAAAGGTTTCCTTAATTCATGTGACTTCCAGATATGTTGCTGGATTTCAGTGACCTCTTACAAGTAAGTTCCAATCATTTTTATCGATTACATTGTGTTTTCATAAAATGTAACCTGTAACAGTGCTTGATGTTAATGTAATCATTTTCAATTTGTTTTTGTGCTTCAGGTAAATGTTTATGTACTTGGAAAAACATTCCTTCTTTTGGCAAGATCCCTGTGCATCAATGCCCCGGCGATAGGTATGGCTGTTATTGTATACATATTATTATTATTGATCAATACATCTTTCCCTAATATCGCCTGTAATTACCTTTGCACTTACCATTGTGGGTGGCGACTATGCGGTGGTGTAGCATTGTTGGCATCGTCCCTGGTGCAAGGAATGAAATGGTTTGCCCTGTGCTGCTATTTCATTTCTCTTTGTACCCCAAGTGCCTGGTCTCCAGTGGCTCGTGGTTCCTGGAGCAGAACCACTGCCTGTACACTCAGTGGCTGCGCCGTGTAATGCTGGCAATATTGTGATTGTGATCCTAGTGCACATATACGACTGCAGTGTTTTCCAGACACTGGTACTTGTAAGGCCCTCCACAGTGCAGCTGTTCGTTTTTGCTGACATTCTTAATTCATACGTAAATCAAGCTGCATCACGGTGCATGGACCAGATTGTGATCGCAGGATGTTGCACCGTTAGGGGTCACAACTACTAGAGTTGGATAAACACTGAACTTAAGTGTATTAATAAAATACCAGACTAATTCGGGGGTGGGGTGCCCCAGTATATCAATTTTTTTTTTACCAAAACCCTTTAATCCATTCGGATATCTTTTTTTTAATCCAATTCCAACTTGTAATGGTATTTATTCTGGTTTATATATATCAAATACTACCACTGAAACCACCAAAAAACACAGAATAATTTGAGAACACACATTTCAATTCTACAGTAGTTTTTTGCAGTATTAAACTCTCGACTGCCTGGCATGTGATGTTTTTTTATCGCAGCTTGGAGACGCAGCTAAAAAGTTATCATTACTTTTCATACTCTTCAATAAAAACAATTCTTGCAATCGTTTTTCAAATATTTGATAGCGCTCCAGAAAGTCCCATTATATGTGGGACACGGTATATACCCACATTTATTACGAGTACGTGCTACACTGCAAATCCGTGCTGATGAGTGTGTGTGTGCGCGTGCGTGTGCGTACTTGCAGACCCTTGCCTGTACATTCCGCGGTTTGCCCACATGCTGGAGTTTGGAGACAAGACGCACGAGGTGTCCATGACGGCCATGCGCCTGGTGGCGCGAATGAAACGCGACTGGATGCACACAGGACGCCGCCCCTCAGGCCTCTGCGGAGCCGGTATCGCCTCTCAGTCCATGTCGTCCGATACTGCGCATACCGCATTGCAGGCAGCGTGCAAGCAAAGGCATAACAATAATATTTTTCATAATCAACGTTTTTGGGTTTAGATCGCGTTATTTATAAATATGTCGTAACCCTCCACCACCCGACACGGCCAATCAGTAAAAAAGTGTCACGTTGACAAAATAACTTTGTCTTTTGTCAACGTGACACTTTTTTACTGATTGGCCGTGTCGGGTGGTGGAGGGTTACGACACATTTATAAATAACGCGATCTAAACCCAAAAAGTTGATTATGAATAATATTGGTCGCGAAAGCCTACGTGTTAAATAATACTTTTATAATTTCCTGTTTTTGATATTTGATCTATGCTCCTCATCAGCCACGATCAATCCACTGCTAGATAACAGCCTCCCAAGTTGTTGCGGTCATGATCCCGCTACGTGATATTCCACATAGCGCTTGCACGTGGGCTGTTTTCATCGATCCATCTGCCCGGTGGATGTCCTGTCTTGGCTGCCACTCCGTTATTAGTCTCAACCACAGGCCATCATCCTTTATCGTGATGTACCTGGCCCAATCCCACTTAACAGGCAATGTGATATGACTTGTGTGTGTTTTATAATCCACGTGTTTCTGTTTTTTAGTGTGATTCCAAACATGTCCACTTTTGTACTCTTTGGTTCTTTCGGTAAAGTCACGTAGGTATAAAATAAATTAGTGATGTATATTTTGAGTTTTTGTTCCATTTTTAATGTCCACATTTCTGATCTATATATATCATAGCAGGTTCGATGCACTGGTCTGCTTATCTATGAATTTATTATTTGATTTGCATTTTGCTTTTGCAGCATTGCTGGTCGCATCACGCATGCATGACTTCAGACGGACCGTAAAGGAAGTAATTCGCGTGGTGAAAGTGTGTGAGTCGACCTTAAGGAAAAGGTAAACTTTGCTTATTAAGATTGATCTGCTCTTGTCCGTTGTGAAATGTTTGCCAGTGACCCCAAAGCTTTGCCCCTCAGTTGAACTTTGCATTGGCTTGGCAAACCGGCTCGATGTCAGGGCACATACTTTTCTGACCCATAACATTTGCTCATCGGATGCAAGAATAAACACATTTTTCTAGTAGTATACAGCTCATATATAATTTGTTCTTTTTAGTTGTGATAAATCCTGTTAATATACGGTATATTTCCATTTATTCCATGTGTTGTAGACACGACCAAAAATCTACACCTTTTTCTTGTAACATCACCCAGTTTGTCCTGTCTCCTGCCAAAAAGCTTTATCATACCACATGATCTCAGTGCATACCCAGCTTGGAAGAAGATACCGCCACTTGGTATTGATTAGTGGCTGCTGCTGTTACTGTAGTCACCAAAGCGGGAGGAATCGAGGATGTGGTGTGCTGAGTGCAGGGACATGTTCGTGTTTTTTTTCTGAGTCAATGACTCTCGGACCCTACTGAGATATTAAGCCGTCGTCATTATCCTGCTCTGCAGGCTCACAGAGTTTGAGGATACGCCCACAAGCCAGCTGACGATCGATGAGTTCATGCGCATTGACTTGGAGGCGGAGTGCGACCCACCCTCATTCATCAGCGGCAAACGCAAGGCCAAAGTGCAGCAGGTATGGCCACCTCTCCACCCAGCCTTGCCCGGACGTGCCGGGAGAACACGGCTGTTATGGTCGCCGCTTGCAGTAAATCTTCACTCGCGGATAAAACCGACCCGAGGGCTGTTACGCGTCGCACCAAGTGCACGCTGCTTGCATGTAGAGTCCTGCATTGCGTCGGGTACCCGCAAGAGTGAGTCGGAACGAATTAGTTTTTTTTACTGCTTCACGCGGGAGACGTGACCCGACAGGCACCCGAACGGCAAGCCGTAAATAAGACTTAGTTGTGTGACCCACTTTTGTACCTCTCGGTTCCCACCCACGGGTACCACACTCGATGCAGGATTCTACTTGCATGCTCTTGCTCGGCTGAAATTTCTGTGGCTAATCGGAAATAAATCTTGGGGTGTTTTGCTTTTTTGGCAGACTGGTATAGTAAAAAAAAAGTGTTTAGCCTGTAGATGAAACTTTAAACACCGTGTTGTAATCTCATGAACTTGTGAAGACGTTGAATATTAAAGTGTTTGCTTCTTTGTTGTGGGGTAACGATTCACCCGCAAGGCGATTTGATGAATTGTCCTAATTCGTGACCGTAATTAAATTCAAGAATGATTTGTTTAAATATTGCAGTGAATGGTAACGCCTCGATTGGCTGCAGAGATCACGTAAATCATTGCAACAAATATAGATAAAAAAAACATTATTATTGCATATGCAAGACAATGCAAATATCACGATAATTAATCATTCCTCATTGTTGCATCTTGGGGGGGTAACTGTCAAGTTGCACTCGGTTATTACTTCTGCGTACATCTGCTTATTTTTTCTTATTTTTATAATCAGTGTATACAATTACTAACAATCTTGATTTGAAGCTTTCGTGACTGCAGGAATCTATACTTTTTGGTTATTTCGGTAAAGTCACGTAGGTAGAAAATAAATCTCGACGTTTCGGGCGCAACACAAGCGTCCGTCATCGGGTGGGAAAGCATGGCCTGCTGCTGAGGCAGTCTGCCCGAAACGTCGTGATTTATTTTATACCTACGTGACTTTACCGAAAGAACCAAAGAGTATGAGTTACTAACATCTTTGAACCCTGTACTTTTAAAGATGGACCTGGAAGTATCAAAGCAAGAACTCGATGAATATGAAGGTGGGGCCTTATCCGATTCATCGTACCCTTCAACTATCTTAACTTTGTTTTCGGTTTCATACAAGACATACTTAAAGAATGAATCAAATACATACGTTCATACACCATTAATCCTGTGTGTGTGTGTGACTTTACTCACAGAGGAGATCAGCTCTTTCCAGCAGGAGATTGAGACCGAGCTTGAATCGCGGAGGCCCAAGCTGAGAGGACTTTATGCCAGCTTGCTCAAGGAAGGTACAGCTGTCTGACCTGGTGTTGGAATGAGCAGACTCCTTCACTTGTTACTTTCACTCTGTACATGTCAATCCATGGCTGGATGAGGACATCTTCCCATCACGCACCTCCGATTAACACGGTTGGCTATGTACGGTGCGATAGAAGTTCAACATACATACGTACGTACATATAGCAGAATCAGAATATTTATACTGGAGGACTCCGATGAGTTGTAAAGCTCTATTTCACAGATGTGCTTTAGAGGCGGGTAAAAACGTTACAACAACAAACAGTACAAAAACATAATTTGTATGCCGTACGGGTCTCGATAGTTATTTTACTATTTCACCACGTTGGTCCGTGTGGGTTGTTGAAGGCCGGGGGCATAGATGTGGGTGCATTGGACTCCACTAATTTATTGTGCATCATTGTCTTCTGCTTCCCAGTGAGTAGCTTCACAGCAGCCTACAACATCTGTTTTATACATGGTGGTAACCCGTTCAATGTCTATCCAAGCTTAAAATCTGAGATCTGATGACATTGGCACATTTCCGCGTGATTTGGTCACTCTTGGAAATTAGATTATCTTGGAGTCTTCAGTTCTCAACTGGTCTAAAAAATACATTTGAATTTGATAGGCATTAATTGCCTTTCGTCATCATCATCAACCGTAATCTGTCTAGTCTGGATGAAGGCCCCCCAAGCCAACCCTCAGTCCCACAATGCAACAGTCCACCCATCGCCTGCAATCGAGCCAATCTCATCCCTCCATCTCTGTGACTGACATCTCTCATGGGCGTTTCCCCTCCTTTGGCTTCAACTCAGTAATTTTCTGCCCCCCCCCCCCCCCTGGCCATCATGGCCAGGTTGCTTTTGAATACCTCGGTGAGCTTTGCCTGGTAGGATGGGTATGGTTAGTTTTATTTGTATGTGTTTGGGTGATTTGTTTATCTTTCTTGTACTTTGGACGACTATCATGTGTTTGTACTGTTTGATGTTGTAACGATCTTAGCCGCCCTCACTTGACATCTGTTAAAGAGAGCTTTATAGCTCATCGAATTCCTCCAGTATAAGTATTCTGATTATTAACCCGTAGCGATGTGCAAATCATGTTGTTACCAAGAAAAGCTTCACATGAATTTCAACAGGTAAAAATCCTGTCCTCAACCTCCAAATACCGATCGCGATTCTCCTGCCAGTGTGCAGCGACAGCAAGGACGACTTGATGCCTGACCTCGAGGAGGACAAAGAGGGCGCCGGTCAGGATGGTCAGGACGAGGATGATCTCGTGCTGATGGACGCCAACTTGCCGCTGGGCACGGACGACATCGAGTCGGAGATACGCAGCGACCGCGAGCCCTCGGAGCCGCCGAGAGACTCGCCGTGTCCACCGCGCAGCCCCGCGGTGTGGCGCTCGCCCGGCCTGGAGGTGGACAACAGCCTGCGTGCGGTGCTGGGGCCCTTGCCCACCGCTGCCAGCCTGGGCCTCAAGGAGTCCATCGAGGAGTGCATGGCCATCAATGAGGCAGAGCCACGTAGGTGACACTCTGAACCGCTTGCCTACACCAGGGTTGCCGTGGTGTGGCGGGATCCTAAGGTGTGTTGTGGGGACACAAGGTCAATGGGGCGGTGCAGTGGGGTTAGCGTGCTGTGCTGTGAACCCGGCGATCCGGTTCAGTTCCCAGCCATGGTTAACATCAGTGGCAAGTGATATCGGAATTGGTCCTGCCCTTTACCCATTCAGAAACCCGTACTGACCAGTGACGTGAAGTAGGCTCGAAAAGCTTATTTGAACGACTTGCTGTACGCAGACCATTGGTGGATTGAGGATGGCTGGATTTTTATTTATGTATACGAGGTCAATGAGAATGATATCTATCGTTTTGCAAATGATCAGTTATTGCTAATTTAAGCGTCTTAATATAATAAAATATAATAATTATGTTTAGACCTTTGTCAATCCGCTGCTGGATGAAAAGCTCCCCACTCCAAGGGGAGTTATTTGACTATTTTACAATGCCCGTCAGTGAGGGTTGGTGAAGGTGGCACCCAGGACCGGTTCAGATGTCACTCACCATTGATGTTAACTGTGGCCAGGCATCGAACATGAGTGGCCGAGTTAATTGCGCGGTGCACCAACCACTGTGTCACTGCTACCATAAATTTGTCAAAATAATGTTTTTAAACGCTTATTCGGTTTAGTCACGCAGCATGCAACAACGGTACAATTTGTACAACTTTCATATATATTTAAAAAAAGAGTGTTCACTGCTTGCAAAGGGACAACAGAGCAAGTTGATTCTGTTGTTATTTTTGCACGTGCAGTTGCGGAGGAGGAAGATGGGGACCTGGACCTCACCGACATTGATGACTTGGAAATTGAAGCTGTGAGTGTCGTTGGCCTGAAATTTTGTACCTTAAAAGTGCAGCCTTGTAGATGGTGGAAGGATCGTCTGCTGCAAAAATAAACAATACCATAAGGTTCTAATATGACCGTCATACCTGGGAATAGAAGTGTGTTCGTTAAGGTTGTATGAGGATAGTGAATGAACAGCAATTTTGTTTTGTTAAGAATGAGCATGCAGTACACCAGCACTTCAGACGTTTTATTTGTTTGGCTTTTAATCAATTCTAAATAATGTAAGCTGGAAACAATAATCACATTTACCCCACAATTTTAGTAAAAACATAAATGACAGCTCTTTGTTAAACCATCAATAGATGAAGCCATCCCCACTGCTATGTTTCTTATGAAGGTTGCATGACCTATACTTCACCATGCTGGTCAGTGTGGGTGTGAGAGTTCAGATACCTCACCGATGTTAGCCATTGCCAGGAATGGAATTCGCTAGGAATAAACTGACCACTGCACCAACAATACACCTCGCACTGTTAATATTGTCACAGAGAATTATAGGCCACGATCTACTCCACAATTTCAAGGTAATTGTTTCCGGCAATGCGTTAACCTTGAGCGACTGGCAACGCGGGTGGGCAATGAAATAGAATGACAGTTCTCCCGTCCCCAATCGAAGCAGGTATTGATTAAGAGTGTGTATACTGGACAATGATTGGTCGACAGACTGGATGTAAACCTCTTGATTAGGGATGGGTTAGGTCAGGAATGTTGCAATTTACCCCCTGGCGATTTGAGTTCATTATTACAATTCTGGGTTGCAATCATTTTATTGTGGCGACTGTGGTGACCTCTAGTGGTTGCATGGGTTATGTGCATTTATTGTATAAAACATCAAAACTTTGTCTTATTTGATGCAATTATTGTGAGCTTAAATTTATATGATTGGATGTCTAATTTCACCTTCAATACAAATGTATTTGCTATTTATACCTTAAAGATTTTTCAGATGGGTATAATGTATCGTGTTTTTTTGCAGTACCTTTTAAGCAAGCAAGAAATTGACATCAAAACAGAACTCTGGATGAAAGAGAATGCAGCATTTCTCCAGGAACAACAAGGTATATATTTTTCCCACGTGAATCTTGAAGGGTGTCTGCGGAGGATTTGTAAAATAACCACTTTAATATAATAAGGAAACGGTTTTAGATCAGTGCAGTAACATTTTGTCTGTCTTACTCCTTCAAGAAAAAGCTGACCGAGAAGCCAAAGAGAAGGAACTTGGCATATACAAGGAGAAGAAGGTAAGTGATCCATGCAAGATTCTGGTGGGATTAAAAAGAATAATTCTGGTGGGGGTCTCATAATACTCGTGTCTACTTCCCGGTGATTCAATGTGTTTTCACGATTCAGGGTCGCCATTCCACAATGTGATCGTTTGTAACATTGTGTAGTGCATTCTGCGGACACGACTGGCTGTATAAGGGTGGCCACCTGAATCCATGACCTACAATACATAAGAAGTAAAAATACTGATTCTCACTCACGCAAATTGATGTATGTATCATGAGCTTAAGACTTGATTCGTCGATTAATCAGTGCATCGTTATACCTTTTCGAAAATACACTTTTTCCAATAAAATACGATCGGCGCTATTTGTTGGCACACAGTTCTACCAAACTGGTTTTCTTCAATTTGTGGTGGTCGTTTTGGGATAGGTGACCTCATGTGACAGCATCTCATCTCAAGACAGCGATGGGTATATTTTGTGTAGGGAAAGGTAGTCCGTCGTAGGTAGAAGGAAAAAGGAATGTTTTGAGCCCCAGACTTTAACAGGGGCAGGGAATCGACAGCACGCATGACTGAGGGGAAAGAGTTCCAGACGTCCGGCGCAGTAGAGGAGAATGAGCGCAGTGCAAAGAGTTGGAGGGACGTGTGAGATACATTTTATATTTGTTATTATTCTTTCCCAATCGTTTAATAACAAATATAAAATATATCTATCTCGGAGGAGAATGAGCGCAGTGCACGAGTTGGAGGGACATTTACGATGCATTTTATATTCTTGATTAAATTTTTCCAATCTTGAAAGTCAGACTGAATGCCCATATGACGGTTAACTTCGCATCCTCAGCCCAAGAAGTCGGGCAAGAGGCGAGAGCCGATCCGGGCCAGCACGGCAGGAGAGGCCATCGAGAAGATGCTGGCCCAGAAGAGGATCTCCAGCAAGATCAACTACGAGGTGCTCAAGGACCTGAACAACAAAGGGGGCGGCTCAGCGGCTTCGACGCCGCGTCGCGATGACACTGCGGCCACCACGGCCGTACCGGCATCGCCGCGTCCCGAGTCCCGGGACCGCATGAGGCTGACCTCGATCAACTCCCTGGGCAAGAGGTGAGCCAACATCGCGGCCTTGCGTCCAGGCTGGTGACGTCGAGATTTCTAAGAGCTCCTTCCTCCCGTTGTTGTGCCGCCCCCGTCGTTAGACAGCTGTGCAGTAGAGGGATAGCTTTATACAGGTAGGAACAACAGTTCCACACTGCCCACCAGGGATTCTTTGTCTGTCGTGCATAGCCCCTCCAAAACATGTACGCTCCCGGATTGGTTGAAGTGCGTCACGTGACTGCGAGCTTTCTGTCGTGCACGAATGCGCTGTCCAACCAAGTTCCTACCTGCCCACTCCGAAGGAACGTGTTGTATACCAGACCAAGCAGCATGCTGTTAACACTCATAAGACAGAGATGCCCCCAGTATAGCCTTAACAGATTGTTAGGCCGAGTGCTGTTAGCGAGGACCCATGAAGGCCGGCACGGCACGCGAGGGGGTGGGTTAGTGGCCAGAACCACGCGTGGCCGCCTTTGTCTCCCCAGTGCCGATGTTTACACACCGCACCAATTCACATTGGACCAATTCAGATTGTCGTCACTGGTGTTGGCCGTGAGTGGAAATCGAACTCTGTTTGCTGGGTTCGTAGGGCAGCGTAGCACTAATCGCTACGCTACCGCTCCCCGCAACAGTGTGCACAAACATTACGCGTGTGTAAATTACACATACACTTATATACAATATTCGTACACATTACACACAGTATGCATACACATTACAAGCTCTCCAAAACACGTCTTGTGTTTTCTATACTTAAAATTATTTCGTGTTTTTGCTAACATATCTATATCAGTGCACATGTATTAATGTTGCTGCGGTCTTGTTGTGTTTAGGATAAAGCCTCTATTGTCATCTCAGTCGGCCAAGAAGTTAGTCCTGGACAAGGTAAGTGATTTTCATTTGTCTGATTGGCTGACGCATCCCTCTTTTTTTTAAAATATACTTTGCCATATTCCTGAATGTGTAAGGAACATAACTCCCTTCAGGTTAGCATTTCCCAACCTCTACACTCATTTGGTTTTATTGATAATTGTCAATGTTCCATGAAGAACACGTGTGGTTGTAATAGTTGGGCTACAGTTTTCATTGGGGTGAAGTGTTCAACCCAAAATACAAACAGCTGTTATCTTGTAGATATAGAAGTAGTTAAGGTCACTAATCCAGAATAAGTAACCCTAATGTTCTGGGCTGTCGGATTTTTTGGTCCTAAGAGAAAAGGATTTAGAAGTTAGTGCTCCATTCTAGCATTCAACGGGTGTCACTTCCATGACCACTGCGGCGACCATTAATTTGAAAGTCGTTTTTTCATTCAGGAAGCTTAAAACACAGACAGAATAACTACACGCATCCTCCTCCTAAACACCTATCAAAAATAAAATGACAGTTATTTTGGTTTGCATCCTCCTTCAAGCCACTGGCTTCTCGTATACAAAATCAGGACTTTCTCATCACCACCGCTGCCGATGTCTGATGTTTTTTTTTTTTTTTACGACACAAGACTGCCAGCGTGCGCAAAGAACCACCGGCCGTCCCAGCACTGGGAGGTCCTGCCCTGGCCCTGACGGAAGCCTCGGGACCGGCAAGAGTCGCGGATCCAGCTCACGTGGCGGCGGCGGCGGTGGTGGTGGAGAGCGGGCCCGTTCGCTTCCAGGCTGACGAGGAGGCGGCGGCGGCGGCGGAGGAGGAAGAGGAGGATGAGGAGGAGGAGCCGTGCGTCAGCGCGCTCGCGCTCATGGGACAGGCTGGTGAGTGTTCGTCGGCATTCGGAGAAACGCGTGTTTCGGCTATACACAGTTTGCTTAATGAGGTACGTTTTCCGGAACACGGGGGATGTAATTTATATCTAAATTACAAAGGTAATGAAATGACATTTAAGTTACATGTAATTGAGAGTGCCTGTCGCGGAAAGTCATTTTATATTTCGTTTATTCGGGCGGTCTCTCTCGGTAGATGCTAAATATGGGTTCCACATGAGCCGGATTGTGATCGCAAATCTGTGTGCGTTCGTGTTTTTTTTTGTTGCTGCAGACTACGGTTGCGATGACGATGAAGAATTTGACGACGCCTACTGAAGGAGGATGAAGAATTAATTTATTTACAAATCATGTAGCGAGGACTTTTTTAAACCCGAGGATGGCTCAAGCACTGACTTTGTCTCTTTACAAAGGCGAGTGCCTGCTTTGTTTTAAAAGCGATGAGGATTCATGAATTTCCATTTGAGAAAATGCCGTTTTGGATTGATATATGCGGCGCAGTGAAAACGCTGCACAAGTTGTGCTTTTTACGTGTATAATTACAATCAAATGTTGTAAAGTGCATCAAAACTACAATACAATTTTGTTTAAACCAAACGTCTGCTGGCTGCTTAAGCGTGCACAATTGCCTTAACAGTTTAACATCACACGTAGGCTTTTGCGATCAATATCCATAATACAGGTTTTTTTGGGTTACATCACGTAAATATAAATGTGTCGTTAAACCCGCCAACACCCGACACAGCTAATTAGTAAAGTTTGTCACGTGAACAGAACGTGCCAATTTGTTACTAATACAGCTCACCAGTGTGTTGGAGAGTAAATCCACGAAAAACTGTAGCCTGATGATGCTCGTTGTAATTACTGCTGAAACGTCCTACTCAGATTGTTAATGTTGTGGATTTGCTCTCCAACACACCGGTGTGCTGTACTAGTAACGAATTGGCATGTTCTGTTTACGTGACAAACCTTACAAATTGGCTGTGTCCAAGTGTTGGCAGCTTTTTACGACACATTTACGCGATCTAACCCACAAAAACCTATATTGTGGATGCCTTATCAGTGTATAGAGTACACGCATTATCCTCATAGTGTTATTGCTAATTTCATCCTTCTGATAAACTTGCAGTAGGCTTCATGGTTTTAAAATCATCTTTCAGAGAGAACAATGTTCTTGGGCTGCCAGTTCTCTGCAGAGCCAGCTTCCACACAGTTGGGAATCTGCTCACAAGAGGAGATCTTTTTCGATCATTGCGAGCCGATGTTCGAACCACAACCCAGAATGCTTCGACTATTTGCTAATTAATCCGACGTAACAACAAGCCAATGATAACAATTAAGCCTTTTGGCTAAATCGCCCAGAATGCACTGAATCTCATCAGCCGTCAGAATCTAAGCCAGGATAGAGCCTGGATCGTGTGACCACGGTGCACTGAAGGTTGCTCTAATTGGCTCTGGGGCTACGTGGTGGGCAGCAGAGGTCAGAGCAGCAACAACGTTGGACTAAACGTTTATGATCGCAAGTCTGTGCACCCCGTCGGCACCAATCCGCACTGACCAACGTGGTGAAGTATGCTCTAATAAGGCTCGCTTATCCGCACGGCGCAGGGAAGTCTTTCACCCACCAACCATTGGAATGAAAAAATGGCCGTACGTGTACCAGTATAACAAGTAACTTGTACCCAGGTATGGTTTTGTCGAAGATTCGTTTAAAATCTGAACTACAACTTGCATGGACCCTCACCTGGTCAAATAAAATACCCTGTGTGTTTTAAATCGGGGTATACAGTATACCAAGGATCTGAACATACATTCATTTCACTTATGAATTGCCCATAAATGTGTGAGTGGCAGTCATTTAAGCTGGACTTGCATTAATCTGTAACGAGTAAATGTCCGGGAGCAGTAAACGTTATGCACACCAAGATCTCGGGCGTGTATGCGTTTGGGCTGCACCCGCGCATTCTGCAGCATGTTGCCCCCGACATTCTTGCTTGTGCCACGCGCTGCGAGAATCCAAACGGGAAGTTTATTTCCCCGAGTCAAACCCATTGAGAGCCTGTGAAGCTGTTTTATTCTTCTTCCAAAAGTGACTCGGCTGCCGGCAGACAACAACAACAGCAGCGGCAGCAGCATCGGTAGCTTCAGAAACTGAATTCAAAAGACGTCCCAAACACGTTGAACGAAACGTCGGACATCGTGCCCCACCACAACACGTGGTAACAACACGAACCTCATCGGAGAACTGCGCAGCGCTGCCGTAATAAGACCGACGCCCTCTGAGCTATTTAAGTCTGCCCTGAAAAGTCGCCAATTTCAATTTGCCGTTACCCCCCTCTTAGTTCTGGCCGTTTGCCGTGGTTCTATTTTTTCTTTCTTTTCCATCCACGACGACGACGCCTTAGGATTTACGGATGGAATGCGCCCGACAAGTGGAGATTGTACTGGTAGTAACCTCCTGGTTACACCAGCCCACAGGAGATTATTGTGTCCGTCGTGCAGGGAGGGGCTGGGTGGGGAGGGGAGGGGTGGGGGTGGGGAGGGGTGGGGCTGGGGTGGGAGGGGGGGCTGGGTGGGGAGGGGCTGGTCACCCCGTGGTGCCCTTATAAAACTCAACGTTTAACCTACTCACGCCGGCTTGTGCCCGCCCTCAGTCGGGCATATTTGCGGAATACACCACGCCGCCGTTGACCCTGGCCATTGACCGAGCAACCCAACGTTCCTACCAGCTCCCTCCAGCAGGAATGTGTTTATTACTGAGATGTTTCGATTTAAAGCTTTCGTGACTGCAGGGAATCATCTTGGTTCTTTCGGTAAAGTCACGTAGAAGGGAAGTAATAAAATAATAAAAATAAAACAATATTTATTATTTTATTACTTCCCTTCTACTGAGATGTTGTGTGATGGTTTGAGCAGTAGGAGGCAGTAGAACGCCCAATTTCAATCCGTGTCTCCCGTGCGGTGAACGAATGAGGCTTTCAACTGATTTCCGCAAGCATTAAATTGATTACGAGACGGGGAACAGCTGAGTAAAGCTTAATTCCTGTCATACCACTGCACACTGGGCACGCCACCATTCACACAGACCAAACCCGTACATTTCTCAGTCGGAACTATTACTTAGCAAAACTCTGCGGTGTTCTGGAAGAAAGCGCATGCCGATTCTACAAAGCAGTGAGCCACATTCATTTATACTGGTAGGAACCTCCTGGTTACACCAGCCCACAGGGGATTATTGTGTCTGTCCGTCCGTCGTGCATCCAAAAATGGGAGGGGTGGGGCTGGGTGGAGAGGGGCTGGGTGGGGAGGGCAGGGTGGGGGTGGGAGGGGTGGGGCTGGGAGGGGAGGGTGGGGCTGGGTGGGGGTGGGAGGGGTGGGGCTGGGTTGGGAGGGTGGGGAGGGGCTGGGTGGGGGTGGGAGGAGTGGGGCTGGGTGGGGAGGGGCTGGTCACCCCGTGGTGCCCTTATAAAACTCAACGTTTAACCTACTCACGCCGGCTTGTGCCCGCCCTCACAGTCGGCCATATTTGTGGAATACACCACGCCGCCGTTGACCCTGGCCATTGACCGAGCAACCCAACGTTCCTACCAGCTCCCTCCGCAGGAATGTGTTTATATCGCATATTTCACCGTTATTGGCCACGTGAAGGAATTGAAACCACTAAAAGGTAAGTCACCTCAGACGGTACCAGCAAGTGGAATATTCGGTCTCGGCTCCATGGACCGAGTGAACCGAGTTTGATTCCATCGGCACAGCTAACCCCCTTCACGAAGTCGACCTGACCAGCGTGGTGAAGTATGCATAAATAACCCTCATAACAGGCATTGTGTGTGTAGGGTCCTTCGTTCAGTAGTAGATTGACGGGCATGTATGTATTATAATTTTTTTGGGTTTATAACTACTATCCATCCGCCTATGGACCTATGTCAATATATTCCGGGAGCGTTTAATTAAAGGAAGCAGTCCCTTGAGCCGCTTTTGATTTTATTGCCTCGTCAGCAGGGAGTGGCCTGTTGAACTCGGAGGCACATAATGAGCTCCACGTTTCCGCTACTTGGCAAGTCCAGTCAAATCTAATCACTTCCGGGCCAATATTTTCTCAACTGCTTTTTCTAAGTGCCACTAATGCATTCTGCCACATTCCTTTACTTAATTGTGCATTAAATGAATGAACAATTATTGCCCTCCGAATGTAAACCTCCGTTTGGGCTAAGTATAATTACGTCGGTTTTTTTTATGTTTTTGTTCCTCTTTATTCGAGGTGAAAGAAGAGCATGTAATCACTTGCAGAGCAATGCTTCTCTACGATTCCCATTGAAAAGCGAGAACGTTTTCACATTTAACCAGCAAAGTTTGTGAAGTTAAATCGGTACGTAAAAAAGGTTAAAAAAAGCGTCAGAAATTACAGAAATTACAGAAAGCATCTACCCAAAAATCCGAGTTAAAACTGCAACGAACAACTTGCGTGTACAGCCCTCTTGTCAATCCACTGCTGGATGAGTGTTCCTCGCCGCGCCGTACGCCTGTGTGGGTCTATCGTGGGGAATTATTTCGCCATGCTGCATTCTGGTCAGTATGTGTTTGTGAAGGAGGGAGGGGTGGCGCTGTGGAACATGTTAAAACTATTAAACGTGTTTTTCTTTTATTTGACCAGGTAAGGCCCTCTGAGCTATGTAGCTCTTTTTCAAAAGCGGCGTGGCCTCAAATGATAGCTCAACGAATTGGCTTATAGCGTGGAAAATGTATAGCAGCCAAACACTATAAACGCGTGTTGATCCTAAATGTGGAGGGAAAAACCGGAGGACCCGGAGAAAAATCCACGCGACCACGGGGAGAACATCAAAACTCCAAATATACAGCAGGTGTTTGGGTCAGGATCGAACCCACGGCCTCCAGTATACCAGTCGAGGTAGTTAACATCTCGCCACTGTATCGCCCGTGTATGTATGTTGAACTTCTTTCGTATCGTACCTTGCCAACCGTGCTTATCGGAGACGGCACAGCAACAGCATTTGAAGCACGCACGGCCTTTCTGCTTGGCAAAGAAAAATCGTCTCGCAAACGTATTTTACGTCTGCCACTGCAGAGGATTTTTTTGTGATCGACTTTTCTTGTCCAGTTCAGCGAGCGGATCTTGCTGTTGGTCCTCGACGTCAGGCACATGCGGTATTTTGAAAGGGCCTTGGTTTTTTTGTTTTATTTCGTGGTTTGGCTCAGCTATTGCTCGGTGGAATGCCGGGAGGGCTTATCACGAACACGTGGCGTGAGTGAACGTGCAAGTGTGCTAACCCATCCCCACGGCCCCAATCACTATCTAGTTCCAATCCCAGCGACGTGGGTCTCATTCCAGCCGTCACACCTGGCGTCGGAGCGGGGGGTACTGGGGGGGGGGGGGGACTCCCCCTCCCCCGGCAGGAAGACTTGGCCTGAAATGAAGGCCGCAAGGGATAAGGATGTCCCGGTGTGACGCTGGCCGCCTGCCACGCCACCTGCCAAGACAGCGCCACAAAGTGTCCGCTGGCAGCCGTCGCCTCCTCGTGGCTTGAGTCGGGGCTTTGTTTCTGTGTTTTTTATATTTGGGGCCGCTGGTAGATTGG